CGCGATTTCTTTTGTCGCACTCCAAAAGTACGTATGAGAGTTAGGGAACATTTAGAGTCCGTTGAGTCTTACTGATTTAAATGCTGAAAAGTCGTCTCGTGCTCTACGTATAAATATACTTTTTTGTCCTCGTTGACAAAGCTATTTCTTCAGGCTGCAGCATTGAGTAAAAAATTGCAAAATCGTCTGAATGAAAAGACAGAAGTTGAGTTAAGAGGCGAAATCGAGAGGGTGTTTTCGGAATAAAGTAAATGGTTTGAACCGTAAATATAAGTGTTTGAAAAGTAAATGGTTTCAACACGACAAAAAAAAACAGATCATCGTAAAGCATAATCAAACTCGCCTCGTTTGTTGATTGTATTTTATTGTGTAAAAATTCCCAGTGTAACACGGCGTGTATATCTTTAGAGACATAATATGTTTATGCGTGTATTGCTGTGCAGGTAGCCGCACAAATATTTTATCTCTAATTATAAATTGTGTTCATGATTTAAGGATGCTTACAAAAGCAAAATGGAAAACGATCGTCAGGCAAGCGTTATTTTACAATTTGAAAGTAAGTTACGCGAACATCAAGATAGTATTTGTGAACTGGAGGCGAGACTTCGAGGTAAGGAGACAATACGACGTCAGCTTCGTAATAAAATACAAGAGTTGAAGGGTAACATTCGCGTCTATTGTCGTGTTCGGCCAAGTCTGCCTTCAGAAACTAGTGTTTCGCTCACTAATATGGAGTTCGCCAATGACACTGATATTATTCTACGCAATAACAGCAAGGTATGTGTTTATTTATGTAGACCTTTCAATCTTTTATTGGGAACATTACGCTGTTCCGTTTATTTATGTTTACGTACGTACATAAACATACCAACGTTGTTTGGTGAATATTGAAGATTGATTCAAATGTTTTGCGAACTTTCCTGTTTAGTCTAGTACTTTGTCTAAGAAAAGCCAACAAGCCAGAATGTCATTTTCATTTGACAAAGCATTTTGTCCAGAAACCACTCAAGTAACGATTTATCAAGAAACAGCACAGCTAGTTCAAAGTGTGCTTGATGGATACAATGTTTGCATCTTTGCGTATGGTCAGACTGGATCAGGTAAAACATTTACAATGGAAAGTGATATCAAAGGCCGTGATACGTGGGGTGTGATACCACGTGCTAAGGAACAAGTCTTCTTTAGTGCCAAGGATCTCATGAGTAAAGGTTGGAAGGTAATAAATGTCAATTTTGTACACATAAAGTATATTATTAATGACGAGAGTTGACTTTTCAGAAAGATACTTGTAGCTCACGACACATGATTATGTTAAATCGCTCGATTGGGGTTTTTCCAGCCATTTATTCAATCATGATTTTTCCCAAAACTTTATGTAGTACGAGATACAAGCGTCTTTTCTCGAAATATACAGCGAGACAATACGTGATCTCCTTGGAAACCCAGACAGCAAACATGAGATTAAACAAGTAACCACAAACAATGGCAAACAAGCCAACGATGTGTTTGTTACCAACCTGAAAGCCGTTGCCGTTACATCATCCGATCAAGTAAGTAGCATTCTATTTCGTCATCGGCCTAAGTCGTTACGGGGCCGTACGAAAGGCTGTAACACCTGTGCGCAAGCAAGATTTTTTTTGAAGAGGTTTTTCACTTCAGTTTTTTGGAATTTGCGGTTGTGGAGTGAGTTATCTGTGTTGCTTTAAGTTTATATCGTTTTAGTTTATGGTTTATATGTTTTTTTTTAAACTTTCTTTCGCCTTAGTTTTACGTTTTTAATTTAGCTCTTTATTATTGAAGCAAACGATGATATCGTTGAATTTCGTAATTAGTTTTCTCATACTAACATGCCGGCTACGTACGTCTCCTACGTGAATCGCCATCTTCTATGTAACGCAAAAAATTATGTGTTTGTAAATGTAGATTGTCCAGATTGGTATAATCCTGATATGTTTGTAAATGTTGATCGTCCAGGTTAATAAACCCGGACCGACTACTAGACCAATAATCTTACAACCCTACATAAACAATCAGAACAATAACAAGACGTGCACAAATCATATGAACACAATCAGAACATTAACAAGAACATCATATGAACACAATCAGAACATTAACAAGACGTGCACAAATCACATGTCAGAACATTAACAATCAGAACATTAACAAGAAAATCATATGAACACAATCAGAACATTAACAAGACGTGCACAAATCATATGTGATTCACAGGACGCTTTACAATACGAAAACAACTATCTCAAACGTGTTTTCGACAAAAACAACTATAACTCTGACTTTATCAAACGCAACACGTACAAACCCAACGAACCCAACGAAACGAACAACTCAGTGACAACAGCAACGATACCTTACATCAAAGGTACGTCTGATAATATCACGCGTATCTTACGACCATACAACATACGTGTCGCACATAAACCAATCACAACGTTACGACAAGTACTAACGAACATAAAGGACAAAGAACAACCCCAGGAACGACAAGGTGCAGTTTACAAAATAAACTGCTCCGACTGCCACGCCTCCTATATCGGGGAAACTGGCAGGAACTTAAACATAAGACTTTCTGAGCACAAACGAGCTACTAAGAAACAAGACAAAACTAATCACATTGCCGAACATCACCGAATCACAAAGCACAACATTGACTGGGACTCGGCAAAATGCATCACTTACAGTACTGACTATAGACAACGGCTTACATTAGAAAGTTGGTACACCAACTAGAAACAAACCCCCCTGAACAGATCACAGCAATTACTGGCACCTTACAAACGACTTATTCACAATACAAACAAACGATCAACTAAAAAACATCACACTTCAAACTAATTCACAATGACAATACACAATTGACACCCACACATTACAACTAAAAACGTCACACCTATATCACACATCACAACTAAAAATAAAATATTTCACTTCACACTAATCCACAATGACAATACACATTTCCTGCACACACAATACAATGACGTAAGAACCAGACAACAAATACGGCTAACCTGACGTTTACTCCTCTTTGACTCTGAAGATGACTACCGCTAAGGTTGTCGAAACGTCAGTCAACAACAAAAACAGTCCTTCTCAGGACTTTATTAACCTGGACGATCATCATTTACAAACTTATAGTTGACTCTCGGGCCCCTTCTGATCATCCAAAACACGCATATCAGATGAGAAAACTAAAATTGTTCATAGAAATTACAAGCAAGCCACATGAAATGATTTTCGAGTTGATTTATACAAACAGCCAGTGTATCCCCTTAAAAGAATCTGTGACAACTGTTCTTCTATTTGAATAGGTAGAATAGCAAAGTGGAAAAGTTGAATTTTTAGAAAGGCAATATATTTGCTCCAGTAAATCATTTGCCAAAGAACATGCTTTTGAGGGTTTTTTCGGAAAGGCTTCAAAATAGATTTTTGTATTCTATTAACGCTGTGCACAATGCGATTTTTAAACATTACATAAATATAAGAAAAATACATACATCTGCAACAATAGACCGTTCTTTGAAATTCCAACAATAAAAAATTGCATGTTTAGATTATTTATTCCAGAAAATAAATGTTTGCGTCTGTTTTTAACTTTACTCAATCATACGTAGCTATACTGTGTAGAGAGATGATAGTCAAATAAATTATAATACATTTTAGGCTAGTCACGTGCCTTATAGAACCTCGAAATTAACTCATTTGTTGCAAAACTCTCTTGGTGGTAACAGTAAAAGGTTGGTATTACTGAATATATGTGTATCAGATTTTCATCAATGCACACACGTCATTGTAGATGACATGAAGTATTAACATGTGTTAGTTGTGATAATTAGTGTATGTAAATAATACATTCATATTTCAGTTTGATGTTCGTGAATGTTTCTCCTCGCGAGGACTCTTTCCAGGAAACCCTATGTTCACTTCGATTTGCCACTCAGGTATGATTCGTATATGTCATAGCATGATTTCGAGTGCAATTCGGGAAAACATGCACGAGTGAGTTTTTCAAAGACTATCGAAATTGCACGAGAAACCATGCTATTACTTATTAATAATATACATGAAAAAATTTCTCAATCCTGCCGGCAAGTTGTAAATATCGACCAACTCGTATTTTTGAATTCCGTGAAATATTACTTTTCACAACACCATAGCTTCCGCACACGCAGCTAGAACAAGGTATCTACTTTTAGCAGTGTTCATGTTTTCATACAGAAATAATTTGAAAACGGTGAACTGTAAGCTCGTTCGCCAAAGCATGAGTGTATGATCTATGAAGTAGAACATATATTTAGCATTTAATCTATTGTTGTATTTTCTCATGCTCTGTCATTAGGCTGCGACTACAGATATTTTTCATACGTCAATTTCTACGTGAGAAAGTGAATCTCATTTCATTTGGTTATAAACTATATATGTATGTTGCAACTAGCATTCAAGTTATTGTTTTTGGAAATTTAACGTAAATTGTAACAGTGAAATCTGCACAACAATATCATCAGGCATTAATATTTCACTATTGGCTGATTTCTAAAGGACATGACATAAGCATCCGCATAAACGTAAACTTAAAAAATATTTAACTCAAAGAAGAACAAATGAAGAATTGAATAAAAATTCCACGATGTCTTTGTTCTTGTAAACATTTTAGTAAGAGAAACTAAAGTCTTTTCGCTCATGTTCATTCCACTGTTGTAAAACATGCATAAACGTTTTAGCACGCTGCCTTACCCTACACTTTTATTCCATCAAAATCGCCATTTTCCATTCATTGATATTCCGTGTGAAAACTTTAAGAAATAACTTACAAGAAATTCCTCTGCAGTACAAAAGTGTGAAGTTCAAAGTAATTATAAATGTCTTATAATACAATGATATCAAACAAAATATTTCCACTCGAAGTTCAGGCACAAAATAGAAAATTTACTATAATATACATATACAAGGAAGTTTCTTTACGAAAACAATAAAATCCATAAAGACAAAAAATGTTTTCATATTCTTAAAAATTATTTATCAGGATTAATGGCACAATTTCACAGAATACATACGTCAGTTGTTTTGCGGTAATAGTCAATCTGATGAATGTCGCGAGCTAAACCAAAGTCTGCAATTTTCATTACTCTATCTTCACCAACTAAAATATTCCTGGCAGCAAGATCGCGATGAATACACTACAAAATTATTGGTGGTGTAAGGATAAATCATCACACCAATGCTTATATAGCTGTACAGTGATATAGTTCAATCTAAAGCTACCTTTCTTCCTGACAAATATTCCATTCCACGAGCAATTTGATAACTGAAGGAGACGAAATCCCTAAAGCACAACTTTTCTTCTCCTTCTATTGGAATGGTCTCTCCGTTTCGGTCAAGTCTTCTTTCACGAAGATATTCTCGTAAATTGCCGAAAGGTGCGTATTCGACAACCACCAGTAGCGGTCCTGAGAATTTAATGAAAGTAAATCAACGAAGCATAGTTTATGCGTGTAAGCATGTAGCTAGTAGGTATTCTCAACATTCAGTAGACTTTCAAAATCATCAGGAATGACACTTACGTCTGACAAAGCCGAGTCATGTCTTCGAAAACGCTGATTGTTCAACAGCGGATTCGTCGAGCTAGTCGACACAGATGATGAAGTAGAGCTCAGCAGGTCTCTCCCCTTCCGTGGATAATTTCGAGGGCGATAGCCGGCAACGCTAAACACGCGTTTCTTGTGTTTCTTGCATTTGAATATTAATAAGTAGGCAATAATTGAGCCTATGACACGAACGATGGCAGCCACGGATACAACAATGTAAAGGGAAATTCTTGAACTCTGAACTGATTCGTCCTTCTCAACTGGTTGTTGCTGGAGCATGCTGATGGTGCTGGAAAAAGTCTGGTTTGCTGTAAAAAGAAATGTGTGTAAACAAATAGTTGCAAACCTTGTTTTTGAAAATAGCTACAGTCAAACAGTCTTTGTCAGAAAATCACGTGTCATATGTAGATCACGCGTCAATGATAACACCTTTTTTATGGAAATAATCGTGGAAGTGAGATTAAAATCCATTGCTCTTAAAATTTCAAATAAAGTAAAAATCTCTAAAATAGCAGTTGCCCAGACAACGTGGAAAAGTTTTTTCGCTATTCGTAAAAATCATTGTAGTTTTTTCAGAGTTTTGTTGCTCCTTGTGAAAACATACAATGCGTTGATTGGTGTCAGAGTGTTAGATATAATTATATTTTATTTACCGGTTGAGGTTCGGATGGAAAATTTTCCGAGGTCTCAAAGCCCGTGGCCGCAGGCTGAGAGATATTTTTGAGACCGAGGGGAAATATTTTTCCATCCGAGCAAATCTAAATAACGTATATACTTTTGCTAAAATAAACAATGAAAACTTTGCTCTTCATTTTACTTGAGCAAACTCAAAATTCACCTAAAATAGATTATTATAATCAAAATATGGCTGATAATTTCCTTTGGAGTAAACAAAACCAAACAAAACAGAAAAGGTCTTCGCTCAAGTATTTAGCAAGAGGATTCCGGACAGCGTTCAGATATCGTAAAATTTCGGACCGCGATCAAATATCGCAAAATCCCGATGGCTGCTACAGCCACTCAGATTACAGGAAAAGCTAGGATTCTGCTCGCTGCGAAATTTTAAAAAAACAAAAAGATTTATTCATATCGCAGTTAAATTCAGCTAGTCACTTGATTAACAGTCGAAATAAAACTAATGAAACCATTCGACTAGACCAGGGATCTCCAAACTTTACAGCCAGAGGGCCACATGAACTTTCATTCAGCATGTTGAGGGCCGACGAACCGTATACCGCAGGTCAAAGAGCGAATATTTTAATAAAACGAAGTACATTACACAAGCTTCATTAGTTAAGAAAATATTTATTCAAAATTTGAAGGTTAAATTTCAACCAAGAGTAGTATCATAACAAAATAACTATTAGTCTGTTCAGTTTTCTCAATGTGAGTGGTGAAATTGGCTTCTTAAGTGTCTCTGCGGGCCAGATTCAGAGGCCGCATCTGGCCCGCGGGCCGTAGTTTCGAGACCCCTGGACTAGACAATAAGCTCATGCAATGGTTGCGAAACTGCGCCAATGGTTTTATATGAGCGAAAAATAAAACATAAAAACGCACTCATCTGACATGGAGACTGGCGTCATAGGTCTTGGTAAAACGTGGAGGTAGAATCATAACCCAGGTTATCGCCAACGACACAATAATAGTACCATTCGTCTTTTCTGGTTACGTTAATGAAGAGAATATGCACACCATGATATCGTTCATCTCCACCTTTCCATATACATTCGTCTTCGCTCAAGTTGGGATCCAGGACACGTACAGTTGCATTTTCTCCTTCGACGACAGCCCACTGAAAGTGCGGCAGACTATCGCTAAAAGCTTTACAAGTTGCCTTCACGTTGTCACCTTCTTCATATGCGTAATTAGAGGCTTTGTTATGAAGACTTCTGAAAATTGATTTTAGCATGCTTTTGTAAGCGATTTGTAAAAAAATAGGAAGAAAATTAAAGAAAGAATTGATATATATTAAAGCATTTGACATAGCAATTTTATTGGTGAAAGTCTCTAGATACCGATGTTATATGCTTTGTAAATAAGTCAATTAATATTCGGAAGAGTGTAAAAAAACAGGTCCATTTTACTACATAAATTAAGAAACGTGAAAAATGCCTTGATGTTATCTGCAAGATTTAATTTCTATCAGTCACTTAGAAAGTAATTCAACCCAGAAATTTAGCATTCAAATAAACTCATGCGCCTTTATTTTGTATAATGGTCATTAAAGAAAGTGTGCTATCCTGCATGCTGCCCAAAGCACCCTCAAATTTTGCAATTTCAGGCTGTAATTATTCATAGAAGGACTGAGGAGAGTGAATTTCACTAAATTCCATCAACCACAATTCAAAAATCGAAGATGGCGTCTAACGATCAACCAGCAATTTTAAAGATTTGAAAAGCAATTATTCTAGTTTGGGCGCATAGTTTTCTTGGGAATTTTTTTATGGGTGTATGCTAAGAGGAAAAGTACAAAATTGTAAAAATTTTCCATTTCTCAGATGTGTATCACGAAACAAAACAATTTGGTTTCATGGTCACGGCCTATCTGAAAGGAAAAGCATAAAACGAACGTTTTTGAGTAACTACCTTTGCTAGTACTGTGTATGTTGTTGAGATATTTCCCACTCTGTTCCATAAAACAACGGTAAGATCCGTCGTCTTTGGATTTACATCGTGAAATATTAATACTTGTGTATCGTTCGCTAGAGGGTTTTCCATCCGGCATCTACGACATAAGTTGACCGTTTTTGTACCATTGCACCTTTGGTGAAGGTCGTCCATTAGCTTCACAGTTCATTGAAAACCGTTTTCCAACAGGAAAGTACTTGTGTTTCTTTTTTATCAAATGCGGAAATAGAAAACGGGTGCAAAATCTATGAACATTTAGAGAGCAATGAATGTCCACAAAGAAGAGGTATGTCGTTATGATAGCCACTCCAGATTCTGAATACTCGATATTATAGGAGTGCCCTTTTTGGCACTTACCTTTAGTGATCTTGTCTACACGTGAGTCTGAAAAAAATAAACATAATAGGAAAACAGGAAAGCACAAACTACAAGTCTTTGCCAGAACTTTGTCAAAAAGAAAACCAGAAAATACAAATCAAAAGAAAGTTGAAGGTATAGCATTGTCGTGATCAAGGATCGAAGGCATTTAAACACTTACCCACGACAACAACGTTTATTATTCTGCTCACTTCTCCCGCCTTGTTTCTTGCCCAGCAAACGTATTCACCCAGCGTCAGCCATGTGATCTTTTTTATTCTCAGATATCTATTCTTCTTGTAACGATATATTTTGCTATTTGTTACGCGTTTCCCTTCTCGTGTGAACCAGTAGTCGTTGTCCTCAGCACTGAGCACGTTACAGAGAATCTTTCCCTTGCGAGACTCGTTTTCAACTTCAACCTTTGTGATGTTCGTTGTGAACGATGGAAGTTTCGTACTATTGGCTAAAATTGTTTTGAAAAAGATCGTCATTTCCACTAATTTCAATAATTCCAATAAAAATAAAAAATTCAGTAATACAGAAATTCAGTAATACATGCAGTAAATAGATAATGCTGCGGTATAGTCAATACATTGCAAACATATTTGTATTTTATTAAATCTATATTTGACATATCCTTAACATGACAATTTTCGTTCTCCTCATTTATGTATACAGAAAAAAATTTTTTCATTAAAAGTTACAAAAACATTTATGTTTCTCTAGAGATACCAAACAAATGAACAATTGCTAATTATACGTAACAAATACCTCTTTATTAGGACTCTGACAATCCTGTAAACTGAACGTACGATCCGTGATCTCGGGTAGTTGGACATCTGGTTCAGAGTTGAGGGTGGCAGGTATCATGCAGGCAAATCTCAAAGTGATAATAGAGCTCGCTGGATAGTTATTAGTTTCTGATGGATTATTGCCAATTTTAACCACAATATTTTGTTCCCCGAACTCCTTACAAGTCACGTGATAATAATGTAGAGAGCTTTGTTCACCGAACGGATGTTGTGGTATCACATCAGTTCTTATTGAGATCAGAGCTAACTTCTCAGAGTTCAATGAAGTACAAAATATATTATAATTAGTTACTAAAGTAATACAATGGATGTAATTAACTTTCTCATAATGTGTAGATCTGACATGAAACCATAAATGACGTGGTTACGTACCTTTCTCATAATGTGTTGATCTATCATGAACCCATGGTTGAGGTCCACCTTGTATGATAAAGTTCTTTGCTGAACCAAGGGTGACAACAGCAATGTCAACAGGATCGAGAGCCTAGAAGATAATACATTTATAACGTGACAATAATGGTGTGAGATTTCTCATTTAGGGGATTGAAATTTGACAGTAAAACGAAACAGTAAATAAAATGTTAGAGAAAAGTAGATGAATTTTCCTTACTTTAAGTATTAAGTACGCAGCTACTGTAACAGTTGCTTTAATATTAATATTTTTATATTGATATCCAGCTGTGACAATGACATATCCTTCACGCAAAGCTTTGAGGCACGCTGATGTACAACCAGGAGTAATAATATCATCAAACTCATCCAAAATAAACATTTAAACATTAAAATCCTGGCCAGAGATTTGCGAGGCGGAAAGCGAATTTTCAATATGAACATAATAGCCCAACATAAGACTTTTAAAAAAGCCATCACAATAATAAATAAAAGGTTTTTTTTTATTAATAACGTTTCGTCTTTAATTTAAGACATCTTCAGATTATATGAGATAAATTATATACATAAGGTTTTAAATACGAGCATATACTACAGGGTGTTAAATTACATTAGGAAGGAGGAAGAGAGAATTGAGAAGTCATTAAAATCGGCAGAGTGAGATGTATTTCTTATATGGAAAGAACTGCTGATGGTTGTGGACATAAGGAAGGTTTCTCTGTTAAGGGAGAGATTCCCAAGTGTTCCGATATTCTGGTGTGTAAATGACGCCAGTGAAAGTGTAGACAGAAGTAAGATAATGCTCCTAAGAAAATCATGTACTTCTGTCTCCGATTCACTGACCTACACTGTCTTCAGATTCGCACTCAAATCACTCGACTCTGCAATGCTGCCTTTCCTCATATCAACGTTCGCTTTGTTTTTCGTTCTTCCAGGCGTCTCTCCTCTTTCTTTCCTTTTAAAGATAGGGTTCCCAAGCTCCTGAGATCTGGTATTGTATACTCATTTAGGTGTCGATGCTGCTCTGCATCGTATGTGGGTCAAACCACGCGTCATTTACACACCAGAATATCGGAACACTTGGGAATCTCTCCATTAACAGAGAAACCTTCCTTATGTCCACCACCATCTGCAGTTCTTTCCATATAAGAAATACATCTCACTCTGCTAATTTTAATGACTTCTCAATTCTCTCTCCCTCCTCCGACAATTATGACCTTATGATTCATGAAAGCCTTCTTATATCCAAACTTAAACCCTCTCTTAACACCCAAGGCAACTCAATCCCCCTTCACCTTCTTTAATATACCGCCGTTCTCCCTTAATTCCGTCATCTAAACTTCCTACTCCCCTCACATGTAATTTAACAACCTGTAATATATGCTTGTATTTAAAACCTTACGTATATAATTTATCTCATATAATCTGAAGATGTCTTAAGTTAAAGACGAAACGTTATTAATGAAAAAACCTTATATTTTATTATTGTGATTGCTTTTTTAAAAGTCTTATGTTGGGCTATTATGTTCATATTGAAAATTCAAACATTAGTAATAGTGAGACGATCGTTAAAAAGCGTTACGGTACACTGATGTATCTCCAGGAGTTAGAAAATCATCTATTTGTCTTAAATAAACGTAAAGTCATTCAAAATGTACGACTCGAAAATTGTGCTGTTTAGATTATATTTTCATTGAACATAACTTTATTCACGTCACGTTTCACTCTCAAGATAATGTAGTTTGTGTAATGGACGCTTTACAAAACGTTTTTCGTCACATTGCATAATGAAAATTTGACAGAGCAGGTATACTTGCTGTTAACCGAAGAGAAGCTTCTTTTATTGTGAGGAGTTAATGATAAAAAAGATTTCCTCATAATTTTGACAAAAAAGTTGCCTTGAAACTAAAGGATGTTGGAAACTTTGTATCAACTCATTGTGCAAAATGACGTGGAAAGTTGTGTAAATCGGTTATTAAAAAAACTTTAATATCGCAATATCTACGATATGCATAAACAGTTCTACAAAATACACTGCCATTTTTAAAGTTCTGTTGAACGAAAATATAATTAGAATAGTAAATTTTTGGAGTCATATGCCCTTTAAAAATAACATTAGTATCATCATATGTTTGTAAATGATGATCGTCCAGGTTAATAAAGTCCTGAGAAGGACTGTTTTTGATGTTGTTGACTGACGTTTCGACAACCTTTGCGGTAGTCATCTTCAGAGTCAAATGAGGAGTAAACGTCAGGTTAGCCGTATTTGTTGTCTGATTCTTACGTCATTGTTGTTCTTGTTGTTTGATGTAATAGTTGATTCGTCTGTGACAGTTGTTAATCCGTGCTCGTATCAGTCGTCTGCTGGTGGATTTGATAATCTGAATAGCCTCTTGTGTGTTCAACGGAGACTTAATTCTAAGTCCTGCCGGAACGAGACCAAAATCCTTGCAGCGGTGGTTGAACCAGAGTTGTTGGCGTATGCGTCTGACGTTGCTTGCAAAACGTATGTAGTCGTTAGCAAGTTGTTCGCTCTGTCGTCCAAATGATCGTAATAAAGTAAATGGTTTGAACCAGTCAATGATTTCAGTCAACAACATCAAAAACAGTCCTTCTCAGGACTTTATTAACCTGGACGATCATCATTTACAAACATATAACGATACTCCCGGGTTCAAACCATTTACTTTATTACGATCATTTGGACGACAGAGCGAACAACTTGCTAACGACTACATACGTTTTGCAAGCAACGTCAGACGCATACGCCAACAACTCTGGTTCAACCACCGCTGCAAGGATTTTGGTCTCGTTCCGGCAGGACTTAGAATTAAGTCTCCGTTGAACACACAAGAGGCTATTCAGATTATCAAATCCACCAGCAGACGACTGATACGAGCACGGATTAACAACTGTCACAGACGAATCAACTATTACATCAAACAACAAGAACAACAATGACGTAAGAATCAGACAACAAATACGGCTAACCTGACGTTTACTCCTCATTTGACTCTGAAGATGACTACCACAAAGGTTGTCGAAACGTCAGTCAACAACATCAACAACAATCCTTCTCAGGACTCTACTAACGTGGACGATCCTCATCCACAAACATTTAATGATACTCCTGGGTTCAAACCATTTACTTTATTAGTATCATCAGTCGCCACGTAAACAACAAACCTGATGTTCCAAGTACTTGAAATATTGAAGGATCATTAACAGATATCGTAAGCTTCATTTTGCGACAATCATCAAAAAAACAATAAATCGTCGTTTTCTAAAAAAATTATTCATAAGTTAAATAACTTCAATTAATAATCACGCCTAAACTTTTGTACGTAAAGTTTCAATGTTTAGAAGTATTTAAAAAAGGATAAATTATATCTATCTTTAAACATGTATTATCGAAAGAAAGGATGAACTACGTATAACTGATTCTAAACATTACATGTTTGTTAAACAATATACGTATCTACAACAAACCTGATAAAGAAAATGCAGCAGCAGACACAGGAATCTTTAACTTTGTACCAATTTCAACTTCAACTCTTGAGGGGACAAACTTTAAGTTGTCCGGAGGCAATATATAAACCTAAAATACAACAAGTGAATTAAAAAAACAACCATTTAAAGTTTTCTTCTTCAAGTTACGCATACACACCTTTGATTGACCATAATGCAATAAATTCTCAGTGTCATGAGCCTTCACAATAGTGAATCCAGAGTCAGCAGTCGTAGTGAGAAGACCTCGAATGTTGACACTTGCAATAATCGTAGCATCAGAAGGCCACGAGTATTGTCCACTCCCCCCTGTGGCGTAAAAAGGTAATGCACAATGCTACATAAAGTATTTATATTGTATACAACGTGATCTACGTAAAATAACTGGTTAAACTTTTGGAAAGCGAAAACAAAACAGCAATTTCTTTATGTCAAATCCTCTTCCCTCCTCCCAACATGCAGTAAAATTAGGTTCATGTACATACTTCAAGTTGGTATTTGTAATGATCCCAACCATTTAGTATCCATTGAAACGCCAAAACAGCAGGTGTCACGGTGACAGGATTATAAATAATAACATTTTGTTTACCACGTACGGGAGTATCGAGGACCGCATTTTCTCCAGTGATAATTGACTATAAAATGGAGTAAGTGAACATTACATAACTTGACAATAATATTGATATGAAAATCATTATTGAGCAGCTGGCATCAACTTCTCCACAATAATGAAACAAACTGTGATATCCTTCACTTTATTAGTATAACGACCTACCGTACAAGGCATTTACGTATGATTTACATATGAGCGTTTAAATCTGATCAGTGAGAAAATAAACTTTGTAATCCATACAAATATCCATTACATAGTAGTACATATGTATGGCAATCAACTACACAACACAAAACATTCAAATTGTTACCGTAATCTTAGACAGTACAGCACGCAGCACTATTTTCCCACTGGTCAACGTCTTGGTCTCATGATACGATCCATTATCAGATGAATAAGAAACATCGAAATGGGATTTTGGAAATTAAGTTGTGATTTGAATGTTACCACCAACATAAAGTTTATGATTAAGTTTGTTAAAGACGTTCACTGTGACAAAACATTCACGTTTACTTTCTAAGATCCAAACATCGCCAGAAGTGATAGAAAATCCTAAAAAATCATAGAGACGGAATCATCTCAATGTTAACATTACATGAAAACTTTCTTGATTTTGCTTGAGTTTATGTGATAAATATTTACGTGATGAAGCAACAGTAACAACAGCTTAAGCAACGCACGAAAATTGAAGATTTCTTTCATAAGACTATTGATGTGGTTTTCAAATAGTTAGCAAATGTTCAAGTTAATACGAGAGAGTTGTGAGATTTCTATAAACGTTAAGCTGAAATATCAATGATATTTTACAAATCAAAACTTAAACATGTAGAACTCGTGTAAAACGTCACAGGTAAATGTGCTTTAACTCTTTCATTCAATGAAATCAATAAGAATTTTTCCAAATCCTTTTCTAACGCAATTTCTTCGCCCAAGTTTTGAAATTTTAACGTCGTTTCGTGTTTGAAAACAAAATTTGGCGCCAAAAGTTTTGCCTTGCAAACGTCACAACTTGCGCTCAGTGACGTCACACGAACACGCTTCAATAATGAATCAAGCACGTGCAAATCACGACGTCCATAATCATTTTAAACAGTTATGAATTCAAGAATTACCTAGATGAGGTTCATCAACATAAATATAAGCTGTTGGTTGTCTTGTAGATATTTGATCTTTCATGTCTCATCATTACGTTAAAGATTAAACCAAAGTATCCATAAAAGTACCTACGTAATGTACTACAAGTATCTACTGACGTACCATAAGTACATGCTGTCTATTGTATTGTACAGTGAAACAGAAATACGTACATACACAATGATTTTAAGAGAAGCTAATAAAGAACATGCATATATAAATGTTAGCCAGCCTCCCTCGCGCGACAATTGTCAACCCACCCAGTCCATAGTGTGCACAAAAGAATACTTTTATCAACAAGGGTGACTTGTACATACCAAAGAACAAAAACCTACCCCTCAGTCCAGAAGTACACACAAAAAGATACTTTTATCAACGAGGGTAACTTGTGTATAACCAAGAACACGACCAATAAAATTAGATGATGGCTCATGAAGAACTGCAACAGTTTTATTGCTTAGAACAAACTCAAATTGTGTTGACGGCATTTCGACATCTAATGATAAAATGATGTTTTACAATTTTAATTGTACAATTACTTTTCTTAAATCATTGATATTATTAAAGTAAACGACAGCACGGGAATAAGAAATGTAATTATGTTTACCTATCATAGAGTTTTGTCGAAATCTTTTGACTGTGTATTTGACAGCAGTATTTATCACAATGTAGACATCCCTCGATGGAATTATTAAGTTATCAATCACCAATAACTTTACTTCGTCAGATTGAACATCCTAAAAGACAACATGAACGTAAAAGTACAAGAAACATCAATAAATAATCTTAGAGTTTTCCTTCCAGCAATAAATTCCATTTGCGATATTACATTTTAGTGTGATAAATGGAAAAGTTTCTAATTTTGTCAAATCGTTCTGTTTTTACGGTAAAGATTAAATTGAGCGTCGACATTTTTCAATGACTTTGCCCCAAGCCTGGAGCAGCTAATCTTTGTGACGTCACGCACAGGATTCGTTAATACGAGAAATAAGTATATGCCAACTACCTTGGATGACGTCAGAATTAGGCTAGACCCAGACCTCGCGCCACGACGGACAAGGTTCATTAAAGGCAACTTAAAAGCGTTATAATAAGCCGACGATTTGACCGAAGAATTAAAAATTTTTATTCAAGAACAATAATAAAAATTTTGTTAGTTGGGGCACTTTAATACGTAATAAAACCATGTTTATGAAAAGACGATGTTGAGTTCAAATGTTTTATTTATAATTAAACTGCATCATTTTGATTCCACCCAAACATTGCAACAGTTATTGCAGCTTTTCTCCTATTTTTTTCGGAAACAAGGAAACGTTTCTTCGAAGTTTTCTAATTTACTCACGCTCTCAGATTGATATTTTGCTTTTTTTATATAACAAAGGAAATACGCTTATAAGCTACGTACGAACATCGTTATAATTTTCATCTCCGAAAAACAAAACTCACGTGATTAGTCTTTTCACAAAAATAACATAAAGTTTCTAACAATTTATTGGCAAATTGCAGAGAAGTCGCACTGACAGTACGGATCCAAAGATAATACAATGTAAAAAAAACACAGTCTTTTGACTCCCATTTAATTTTGATTCACGTACGTATTATGAGAAGAACATCCATTGACTTCAATTTACATTTTGAACAAAACATATCACAAGCTTATGGTGTAAATAACCACTTCTTGTCTTACAATCGACGGTTTGCAAGCTGAGCGATTTTCTCTTTAAGATCTAAAGTGTAATGTCCATGGTAATGTAGAAGCACGCCATGCACATATTGGACGTCAAGTTAAGTCTCTCAATGAAACGTTAACACGCGATGAACTAGTGCTTAAATGTCTCGTCCATTTTAGGGAAAATAAGAATTCATTAAACGCTCAAAATACGTAACAAACTATATAACATAGGAATTCTTGAATACGTGTGAATTGTTTGCACATTGGAAAACAACACTGTCTGGCTCGTTGTTAGATTTGTGAATTGATCTACGACGTATGGACTATGTTTCATACGTGCATAAAGCTGTCCAAGAAAGACTTAAGTACTACGAAGTACCATCCTTTACATAACCCACAAAATTTACAATAAACGCAACAATTTACAAATTGCCTAAATCATTTTTAAATGGGACAACTTAAACTGTCTAGTGTAAGTTGTGAATACATTAACGATAATTTATATATTTAGCAAACCTGGAAGGTTGGATGACTTAATTTTGCTCTGACCAGTGCTGTTCCTGTTGTTAGGCCTTCAACAATGATACTGCTGCCCCATTAAACCCTAAAAATAAACAATTTTCATGAGTTAAGTCCAACTTCAACAACAGCAATGTGGTAAACATAGAAGACTTGAAGAACTTCTGGTGATTTTCCCAGTAAAAGTTCATGTGTTGTAGTTTGGATTTGAATACAATTTATTTTGCTGACGAATACATCAGCACGAATGACATTGAAAGTTACTGAAAGTAAAAAAAATCAGATAAAATCATGATCTTTGCTTAAATGTATTGAAGTGAAAGGGAGACACTCTTACAGCTGAAATTGCAGATATATCTTTTTAATACAAGATGTTTGTGCTTGTGTTACAATGAGAAATTACTCTTTCCTCATTAATACACAAACATTTAGACAATGACATACATCACATTACAAGATTACAATTGGCATTTGCATTTTCTCTTGAAATTAAGGAGATTACACACACCAAATAAAATATTTAATATATAAGATATCTTTTAGCTGAAAATAGCTAATTTTAGTGTCAAGTAAACACATCTGTCACAGAGATCATTTATTACTAGACATGATCAAATTTCAATTTTATTAGAAAAATCCCTCATACAATGACACAAATAGTTTAAAATCATCAAGATTTGACAAACCTTTCTCTTCAGCAACAATTATTGCAGTTTGCTTTTCAGGTTTTGATGACTGTGATGTGACTATTGCCTTTTGACTACAGTCATTTTGACCTAATGACAAAAATAAATAATCTTTCTTTTTAGAAATCAATACTAGTCTTGCTGGACGTTATATTCATTATCATTCATGTACACATTCACACTGACTGTACACCGAATAATTTAAAGCATAATTTAGTGGGAAAAACAAAATTCACTTTTCTTTGGTGAAATACCAATAACAGGTCGAATTTCGGCAATCTTTGGTCTTGAAGAACTCCTAAAATCAAATCACATTATACGTTATAAGTCTTTCATGTTTCTTAATTCTAAGCAATTTTACCAGTACACAAATTGGGAATAATATCATCTTAATCAAAGCCGTTTTTTAAACCTTTCATCTTACATAATATACATATAAACAAAGACTCAATAGAAAGTCATATATAAAATTAAACACGTGCAAATATGTTCATTTCAACGAACCACTTATAGCAACCACTCTGTGCCCAAACAGTAAAGTTGACGTTAGCTGAGCCTGCCGTAGAATAAGGAAGAAGGATGCTTAAAACATTCAAAGCATCAGGTTGTTTTTCACAGAAAAATAAATCAAATAATGAAAGAAAACATTTTAACAAAAGAATCTTCCTAAACCCCGCCATTTTTTGGAGTTTAGACGAACGGTATGTTTCGTATTTCTTACATAAAGTCCTTCCTACAATAAATAAGAAGTAAATTTACCCAAAAATGCAAATTATCTTTTTAGTAAGAAAATAAACACAATAATTACAATCCACTATTTTCAAAAAGCTTATATCCGCTCTGCATGTGAAATTTATAAGCAATTTTTATTGACGGTTGAAGTAGGGCTGTATTAAGAGGAGGGCGTCAAGGCAGTTGTCAGGAGCCCAGCGATTTTGAGGGCCCCGCGCAAAGCGAATAATTTCAAAGGAAATGTTGTCTTTTTGTGGCAAGTGCAATGCAAACTTCATATTACAGAGAAAATTTCGAAAGATTGCTTGTGCTTCCATTAGATGTTAGACATAATAAACGTGCAGGTTGTTATTGAGGTGTTAAATATTTGTCATGGATAGCATTAATTATAGTGGAATTTGCGTTAAATTGGCATTTTTGTTTTCACACATCAATGATTGGCATTTAAAAGCTTGGGGGACTAAAATTCCAGCCATTCATGCATTAATTTGTGACTTTTATTTCTATTTTTCATTTAAGACACGAAGGTGGTATTAAAAAATAATTTGAGAATAAATTTAACATATTGTACAAAATTCAAAAAAGTCTTTGTAAATAAACGCTTTTTTCTACTTTTTAAGACGTCGACCTTTATTATTGATACAGACCAGTGCTGACCAAGGCTAAATTTTTAGAGGAAAGGGGTCTTGACGAGGCTGAAGCCATGTAAACATAAGTCACGTACGAAATGATCATATAGACGTTCACAACGTTTACTGAATTGACTAACAGATGTAAAATCATATAACTTACAAGTAATGATCACAATTATATTTGAAATAAGCTTACACACATTCCTACTGCACTATATAAGTGTGACAAAACTCGGCAGATTAAAAGCAAAAGGTCTGCAAGAAAATCAGTCAGTTTTTACAGTAACTTCTAATTTATAAATGATTCTCAAAAAGTAACAATACTATTATAAAATTATGTATAGTTGTATACTAAGTACTAAATACTCTTATTCTACAACTGGATTACTAGCATTCTTAAACAGCAATGAAAGTCTCCCAAATCAAGGCAACTAATAGTTAGATAATTCACCACTTACAGTAATTAGCAGCATTGATAAATTGTTTTGTCTTATTTTTCACTATCAATCGGTAAAACGTCGGATTATAATGTTTTACTTTAAAACATTTTAAAAGATTTCTTTCGTCACAGCATTAAATTCAAGCGCACATTTAAGAGTACTCTAACTTTAACATTTTTCTTTTCTTTAGTAAACTTTGCTCAGGTTGTCCCTGATGGAATGTTGGTGTTTTTTCCATCCTATACCTCGCTTGAGGTCGCTGTTCAAAACTGGAAGGTCCTGGATATCGCTTTTCATAAATCATATGATATTATTGATCACATCGTCTCATATACATTTTCTTTATCTATACCTTACAGACCAAAATATTTGGCCGAGACTTGAGCAACGTAAACCTATATTCATCGAACCTCGAAGGAATGTTGAGTTTGCGGAGGTGATAGATTTTTCATTTGTTCAGATCGTCTTCAGATGTGCTATAATATATTAATAATTAGTTCTAATATTGTATTTTCAGACTATGGATGGCTTTTATGAAAAAGTGAAAAGCACCAAGTTTAAAGGAGCGATGTTTTTGGCTTTATGTAGAGGAAAGGTATGAGAGGCGAATATTGTCCGATACATTGTTTTGGAGCACTATTTTTCTTTATAAATATTATAGTCCACAGTTAATCTTGTAGTTTAGTTGATCGAATATTGAAGACAATGATCAAGTTAATCCTGTAGTTTAGTTGATAGAACATTGAAGACAATGATTATCTTGTTACTATACCTGAGTACATCACAGCAACGTGATGATATTATCTATGATATTAAAGTATGAAAGAAACTAGAACTGTGTTTTGAAAAGTCATCATAGTCCAATGTTGTTGTTGTAGTTCAGTTGGTAGAACATTGAAGACAATGATTATCTTATTGCTATACCTGAGTACATCACAACAACGTAATGTTAATATCTATGATATTAAGATATGAAAGAAACTAGAACAAATCACGGATATAGTAGATTTCAAATAAAATATCCCATTAAAGCATTGTTAGTTGAAATATAAATAGCAAGTATGATTCCTTTCTTTACTTCCCCATTGCAAACAAGACTCCTCACCCCCCCCTCCTTACCGATTGTTTTTTTTTGTTGTTGACTGACGTTCCGACAACCTTAGCGGTAGTCATCTTCAGAGTCAAATGAAGATGACTACCGCTAAGGTTGTCGAAACGTCAGTCAACAACAACAAAAATAGTCTTTCTCAGGACTATACTAACCTGGACGATCTACATTTACAAACATGTAACATTAAACATCTTTTGTTTCTTTTATAAAATAACAGTAATGAGAGACAGTTGAATTAAAAATAGATGTTTTATTAAACCTCTTATTTTATTATACGTCTTTAAAGCTAGTATCTTGTGTAATATCATCGCATTGAATGCTCGTTGCTGTGAATAACTTTGTTTGCAAGTACGTTACTACGCTACCGTTAGTCCGTCACTTTGTGGGGTCGCTTTATGGTGACTACGAAGTTTCATCTTCCGCTAAAGTAGCTCATTGTGACTTAAACTATTTATATTTTTCTAAACTTCAAGTGCTATTTTTAGTAGTGTTTTACTAAAACTGGAAATAGTTCCCTCAAAAGCAATTTTTTCCAGCCTTACAGCTGTACTAAAGATGACATCACAAGATGTTGAAATATTCGTTGTCATGTTTATTAAATGCGTATTAACGATTCGGCTTCTACGTGGGCAAAATTGCTTTATCTATGCTGTTGTATGATTTATATCATCTGTTTTTTGTAGCTATCAAGATCATACAGAAGAAAAGTTAAAGGAAAAGACTGAGGATGATGCCAGTAAAGGAGATGGCAAAGAATCCGATAGCAATGTGCTGGAAAGTAACGATGAAAGCTCTGTAAAGAAAACATTGTAAAAAATGCTTCACACGTGGAATATTAAAGTCAGAAAATAATGCTATGGCAAAATATAGAGTTTGAAATTTGAAGCGATATAATCTGTGTAATGCAAAAGTATTTTAGCGTTGGGGTGAGGTGAGGTGGGGAAGGGCAGTCAGGCATTAAATAGTACTTAGTAATATGACCGATTTTCCAGTTGGTCAATCAGACCATAGGCGTCTCTAAAAAATCATTTAGCTAGCTAAATAGATTAAACAAATACATTAAACTCTCCTCATTTCATCGTAACAGACCGCGCACCGCAAACTTCTGTTTCAATGTTACGGTCTGTTGCAATGAAATGGGAGAGAGTTATCGTTTAATTATACAATTTAGCTATGTGATTTTTTGGGCCACCTATGATCAGACCATACCGATAAACAACTATTTTCTCTTTGCATTTTCTTTGCTCTAGGAAGTATATGTATAGGGAGGGTAGCGAGTAAAAACAATGGAATTTTTGCCTTGTTGGATGAGGAACATCCTTATTTTCAAAATCGTTCAACATTCGTGTAACGTCCAAGCGGCCATTTTGTTAGGATACTTTAAAGAACCGATGCTCAACAGAACCTTGAAATCAACATAACTTTTTCGCTGTATGTGTTTTCGAAAAATAAGTCAACCGATAAAAACATCTCATCCATGTCATGTGCGCAGCAAAATAGGTAGACACTAGACACTCAAATTGGGGAATGAACTCAACTCTACCATGAAGTGAGATTTAATACGTTATTAATATCAACTGGTACGTATAAATTGTTATTTCTTTATAGTAAATTGTCATCCATTATATAAATTATTCTGAAGGTCGTATACTGATAGAATGTTTCAACAGGATTGAAGGAAATGGGGAAAGACTTATCGACCAGTTTTCTGGTTATTTTACAATTTAATTGTGTTTAAGTATAGCCCTGGAAGGAAACATAGCCCATTGTGTTTAAACATAGCCCTGGAAGGAAATATGATGAAAAAGTTTATCAGTTTCAAAATATCAAATCAGTTTCACAAAAATTCGACACGAAACTTCTACATGCGGTTAGAAAAGATACAAAACTAATCAAACAGTGCACGAAACCTACAAAACACTGAAGGATAATTTTAACAAGAAAGGTTTACAGCCTGATGATAAAAAAATCCATAAAACGGTAAGCACGATTCAGACTTGGAAAGTTGTTTCAACAGTTATTGCTGAAAGTATCATTCCTGTGTGTACGATCCGTTCCATACGTTTATCATAAGTGCACTTGTTCTTTCATGAAACAGTTCAAGCTAAGCCTAGAGAAAACAAGATATCATGGAATATAACATGAGCAACAACATACAAAGAACACATGTTTGAGATCTACAAACTAAAAAAAATATCGTAAAAGAACATAAACTGGTGACAACACAAAAACGAAAAGAGAAAAAAAGCTCTAGAAAAACGTATGAACGAACGAAACATATTGATTGAAAAAACAAAATGAAATAATAAAGAAAGTTAGAATACTGCTGGATAACTGTGGATGGCTTGCTATGGGTAACTAGGGACACTGTAAAGCAAGAGTAGACTGTTCGACTAATGTCAGTGTACTGTTTGGTTTTGTTACATACATATCATAAACTTAAACTTAAAAAGAAGGGAAATAACATTAAAAAAGAGCACATAATGAAATAACAGACAACAAGATATTTAGCTAAGAAAGATAAATATGATTGGTTTTCATTGTAATAATTTGTCACATGAAAGGACGTTAATCATGCTATCTTTCTGCAAGTACGTATTAATTTCTTTTACATATGAAAAGAAGAAAACTACAAAGTAAATGACAGGTTTTTACTTGCTATTTTTGTAAAAATTTAATATTTTAATGCAAATACATATGAAAAGAACAGGTATACCTGTTCGTACGTGAACTGGTGTAAACCATAAACTATACCCAATGTTGCGTATACTTTTATTTCGTTTCCATCGTAGAAATGCGCAGAATACTCTTATTTTATGAATCTGACGATGAAATGTTTGACATATAAATCAATGTTACATGCGGTAAATGAATAATGGTTATTGGATTATTTAAAGATATTTTCTAATAAAATATTAAAGAATCTTACGTAGATATAACATGAAATACATAATGAAGAGACATTCACTTGAATAACACCATGCACTAACTACAACCTTGACTCGTTTACAAAAAAATGACAAGAAAAGTTAGTGAAAATTATAACAAAGTTGCAAAGTTAAACTATCGTGGATACATCGCACAGTTTGTTATTTTTCTAGTTCTACGATCTCTAGACATTGCTACATCTATAGCAGTTCTCGTAAACGCTTGGTCAAATAATGATGACTGGAAAAACATCGATAGTACTTACACAAACAAATCTATTGGAGAGGGAAGAGTGGATTGCTCAATCAACCTAAAAAAGTTTGTCAAGACCTTAAAGATTGGAAAAACATGGTATCGATGCAAGTATTTCAAACTACAAACTGATTCTCTATTTTACCGTAATATTTGATGTAACGTCTGTCATTATCTTCTTAACACGTCTCGCATTTTGGTCACAGACCTTACGTAAAATATCAAAAGATGAAAAGAAAAAATTATACAGACGACAACATCGTTACAAGATTAACAAAAAACATTAGAATAGCTTTACTAACACCTATTGTTCGTGCTGTACCATTATCTTGTTTAAACACAGAACTTCTTGCTTTACGTTCCGGACATAATGGTCTCGTATGTATGGCGTGTATACTTGGAGAAAGATGTTTGTTTAAGCAACAATATGAAGCCATATCATAGCTGCTGCTTGTCCAAATCATTTCAAGTGACGTAAATTTATCAAACAAACGATTTTTATTGTCTCTCAATGAAATACGAAGTTTCAGATCTTGAGGACTTCGTACTTGGAACTAAATGTAACAAAGATGGTGATTGTAGATACATGAATAATGAATTCAATAATAGAACATGCAGTAAATAGATAATGCTGCGGTATAGTCAATACATTGCAAACATATTTGTATTTTATTAAATCTATATTTAACACATCCTTAACATGACAATTTTCGTTCTACCATAATTTCTAATTAGCAGCAATTTTAAAAACACTTGAGAAAACGACGATTTATTTGAGAGCAAACATGTTTCGACATTATCAGAATGCCAGGTGTAAATGTAGATGTGCATGTACATGTACATGTAGATGTACATGTAGATGTAGATGTGAACGTTAAACGCGAGATGGAAGTGGAAGCTGTTACAATGGAGACGAAAATCGACAAAGTTAGAAAACATATGATTCTGAAATAAAAGAAATTTAGAAGAATCATAAGAAGGAAATTGGTAAGGTAAAATGGATACTCAATAAATTTTAAGTCTACGTACGTATGGCGTTGATCAAACTAAACAGCGTCGATTACTCATCATTTGATTCCGCTAATTTTTTGTTCACTTTTTTTTCATGAAAAAAATAAACAAATAATTATTTCTTCTAGATGCGCAAAGATTTTCAGGAAATAGTGAAGCTAAAAAACTCTTTGAAAGAGGAAAATGTTTGGTTTAAAAGCGAAAAGAAGAGATGGATGGTAGGATTAAGAAATTACGAGAAAAATTAAAACAAACAAAACATCAACTGGATGAGTGTGTCAAACGAGAAAATGATAAAGAAGTAGAGTTGGAAGTTGCCCATAATAAGATTGAAGTAAGAGTAAGTTTTTGTAACTTTGTGTATATGTGACACGTTTTACGGTAAACAATCTATCACGTGTTGTATTCAATCCATCACGTGATGTATTAATCTATCACGGGTGTATTCAATCTATCATGTGGTGTACTCAAAGATCCATTAAACTTTATCATATTCAAAGTTTTTTTATTGAAATTGTCTGATTCAAAATCGTTTCATTTCAGTCAATGAATCGTGAACGACATTAGACAACTTGAAAATTGAATACAATCAGAACAATATTGAACGGGTCCGGTTTGTTGCTTAACTTTTCACCCATTTTCCATCAAATTTTACTTCTTTATCTCTTTTATCCCATATCTTCCTAGGCCCGTTCATTACAGGATTTCATTTCACAATTAACAGAACTTCAGGAGCAATTTCAAACATTAGCGCAAGCTCAACATGAGACAAAATTACTTTGCAAGTAAAGTTCTATAAATTTACATATCCAAAAAAGTCACCCTGTTTCATATGGTGGACTTTATATAATCCATGTGGTAAACCGTATTGTCCATTTAGTGAACCATATCATTCATTTAGTCTTAGTGAACCATATTATACATGTATTGAACCGTATAATCTATCAAGTGAGCCGTCTTGTTATCCATGTAGCAAACCGTATTATCCATGTAGTGAACCGTATTATCCATATAGTCAACCGTGTTATCCATATAGTCAACCGTGTTATCCACATAGTCAACCATGTTATCCATGTAGTGAACTATATTATCCATACAGTCAACCGTGTTATCCATGTAGTGAACCATATCCATACTGTTAACCTTGTTATCCATACAGTCAACCGTCTTATCCATGTAGTGATCCGTATTATCCATATAGTCAACCGTATTATCCATGTCGTGAACCATATTATCTATATAGTCAACCGTGTTATCCATGCAGTAAATTGAATTATCCTAATCATAAAACAATTTTCTACATCGTCAAGGCAAAAGGATGAGAAGATCAAAAGAAAACAGCGTCGAATAGAAACTGAATTGATTTGTGAAGTGAGATAGTTGTTATTATAATATTATCTATTTCAAGAAATACAGCATTGATTTCATAGTTTTTTCTTCTATTTTTTAGTTTCTTGTGAATTGTTGCTTTTCATCGATTTTGTTATTCGAATTTTTCGAAATTGAAATCTCGTGAAAAACATCTTAAAGTGAAACACGATGTGACGGAAGTGATGTGCCGATGTGATGTGCTTCATTGTAAATGAAGCACATCAGGTCAACTATATTCAAACTTTCTCAACAGCAAAATTCAAAAGAGACGCGAAAACACGAGATTGAGTATTCAATAGCAATCTATAATAAACGTATGAAAAAAAATTTTCGTTGCCAATGTCCTTTAATATAAATGATTGGAGTGACAGAAACACCAACTTCAAGGAAACGTTGTGATGAAACAAAAAGAAATGCAAGAAGTATGTATTTTGAATGATTTTGGTTTTTTGAAATGCATAATTGCTTTTCTCTGTTAGGAACTTACGACGAAACATTGAAACATTACATTGGGGCGGTCACCTGTAAATCTGGTCGTGCTATGCAAATTTTTTTGTGTTTAATAATTGTAAAAACATTTTCTTTAAAAATGATTGATGATAGTGCTCTAAACTTTACATACCAGGAGTTCTACTTGCGGGCTTGCTACGCTTATGAAACATTTAAGCCACTAAAGCCTGTTTTCCACTTGCCACGTATTGTAACGTATCGTAGCAAAACGTAACATGGCGCATGCGTACTTATGAATTTGATGGTCAATAGGCGCAAGCACGCATGCGCCATGTTACGTTTTGCTACGATACCTTACGATACGTAGCTAGTGGAAAACAGGCATAAGTCAGGTTTTTTTATTGCCGATTTGATTTTATGACTTACCCATGGATTAGAAATGCTGCCTAGAAACATTCGTCTTTGCGAACTTCTTTGCCTTAGCATTTCATTTAGAACTGTGAAATTTCCTTAGATAGAGATGCATGAATATAATCTGTACGTTTTTTGTAGGCGGATTGTTAAACTTTTCCGTGTCTGTTTTTTAATAAATTTAATGCAAAGTGATCTGAACCCTCTGGATCAACGATTTAAAAACGTTACTTTCACTTCATTATTCATCCTTATTTTTGTTTTTTCATATTACAAAAACTAAGATTATATCTTAATTTGTAAATAAAGATAGATAGATAGATAGATAGATAATTTTATTTTAACGCGCTTGCCATTGTCAACATACAAGTGATTTCCACATGGGGCGTGTGCAAAAATGAAAATTACAATAGAATAGTGAACTACTCACATTTTACGATACACAAGACACTAAAATGTACATTAAATGAAGTATAGCTAGGTTAGAAAAGTTTTTTAACGCATTTATTATCCAGCGTACGTACGTTGGACGGCTATTACCCATGTATGTATAACATCATAAGTAAATAAAGAGGCTAAATGGGTTAAAATGAGTGCGAAAGAAAAACAACAATTAGTTTCATGTAAACACGGATTGACATCACGTTTCGATGGGGATTGAAATTCATTCCGGATTCATGTAAACACCCCCTTAGTCATTGAATGTTCCGTTTTAATAATGCAAAGAGAATATTTCAAGTGATTAGTTTGCTTAAGAAAAGCAATGTAAAGCAAAACTGTTGTTACAAATCGGCACAACAATTATTGTATCGTAATAAACAAAGTATTTGTTTGTTTCTAGCGTTTAAAATGTAGTTGAATTACAAAAGTTAACCTCCCGAAAATGGTAAGTAGACCAGATGCAATTTGCATAACAAATGACAGCGTTTTTATGAAAGGCTGTTCGCTGTGAAATGTTTTTTCTTGCTATGATTTTGCATTATACCATTGCTCATAAAACGTATAGTTACATTTTGTTTGTATATAATTTTCATTGTAGATATTTGATTGCGTTTTGTTTTCGCAAATTACCACCCCCATGAGGCTACTAAAGTGTGAATATCCGAATGTGCTGTAAAGCTTTGCAGGTGTTTTGTGTTTCATTCAATGAAAGTTTCTTGATTATAGGCTGAAATACAGACGTACCTGTATGGAAAGAAGTTTCCAAACAGAATTTTTGTTGGACGCCTTCCCCTAAATGTGAGTATTTATTAATGCTTTCCAGTTAGGCAGCTACACGTGCAGTTTTCTATCAAATGTTGAGCGATTTTGTTTTGAAAAGGTTCATTTACAAAAGACTTAGATTTGTTTTCATGATTCATTTAGATGTGTTGTACACAAGTCATGTCATTATTGTCTTGTCAATATTAAAAATTAATCAAATTTTTGAGCAATCGTGTTTATTTACTATGAGTTGATTTCATATTTTTCTCTTTTTTTTAGACAAGCGCAGTTGAACTGGCAGAGTTCTTTCGTGTGTTCGGACACGTCACCGAAACAAAAATAATTTTGGACCATTCGGGTCTATCCAAAGGGTTTGTGATCTTTTCGTGTATGCACTTGTAGTATGAGTTATTTTCGCACCATGACCAGTACGCAGCCAAATTTGCTTCATAAATTCCGATACAATATTTGAAGAAGAAGGCTATTATGCAAGCTTCCTTTTTTGGCATCATTGACGATTGTTTTGAAGCAATATCAGGAAACAGTTGCAAATTAACGTGACAAGTGCGCTGCGAAAATGTACACACCTCCACATTTTATGTTAATGAGCCATCGTCATTGTTGCGAAACCTTATTTTTGCATCTATTTTTTGTTTCAGTTACGGTTTCGTCACATTTGAGTCGAAATCGTCCGTCAAAGCTATTGAAAATATCGGTGTGATATATTTTCTTGTTTTTAAAATATACTACTGGCGTCAAAATACATACATTCCCCAAACAGGTAGGCGTATTTGCTTCGTTTTGAATGTATTAAGTCATTGATTTCATGTTTTATCGCGATCTGTTTTATAGACCCAATGTTGCATGGGTTATTCACCACCAATTACGGGTATGTAATTGATGTTTTGCTTTTTAGTATTTTGCTTTTATTAAGGCAGATTTTCCAATCGTTTGTAACTTTTTTTAGACCCTATTAATTGGAATTGTTATCCCTACGCCAATCAGCAAGTTCCAAATGCCAGCAATGTAAGAATAAGATTGTTACTTGTTTTTTCACTTGGCGAATATTTTAAGACTCAAATTCCATATCCTTATTCCTTGCTCAGATTCCAGCTGAAGCTCATACTCCAAGGATGGTGAGGAGCCCTAGAGCAAAAACTGACGTGCTTCCTCTATTCAAAAACGATAGATTTTAACAAAGATTATAGGCCGGTAGGATGCGTTAGCGGTTTTAGACTTGTAGTAAGGTTTAACATATAGGTAATTCATGATGTAAAATGCCAATGCATTAGTATAAGTGTCTTAGGTTTTATCTATACCTAAAAGAGAAAAACGGCATTTACCCATAATTGTTTCTTTGACATAAACAAAATAAGTTTTTATGCACATCATATATATTTTGGTCTTCATAAGGAGCATAGTTTGATAGGGCATAAAAAGCTTATGATGCAATCTGAGTCTGTAGCCTCCATCATAAAGGTGTTTTTAATATATATGTGTTTTTCATATTACAAAACTAAGATTATATCTTAATTTGTAAATAAAGATAGATAGATAGATAGATAGTTAATTTTATTTTAACGCGCTTGCCATTGTCAACATACAAGTGATTTCCACATGGGGCGTGTGCAAAAATGAAAATTACAATAGAATAGTGAACTACTCACATTTTACGATACACAAGACACTAAAATGTACATTAAATGAAGTATAGCTAGGTTAGAAAAAAGTTACATACGACAGTTCAACAAGTATTTATTTAACAAAAAGTTTTTTTTCAACGCATTTATTATCCAGCGTACGTACGTTGGACGGCTATTACCCATGTATGTATAACATCGTAAGTAAATAAAGAGGCTAAATGGGTTAAAATAAGTGCGAAAGAAAAACAACAATTAGTTTCATGTAAACACGGATTGACATCACGTTTCGATGGGGATTGAAAGTCATTCCGGATTCATGTAAACACCCCCTTAGTCATTGAACGTTCCGTTTTAATAATGCAAAGAGAATATTTCAAGTGATTAGTTTGCTTAGGAAAAGCAATGTAAAGATAAACTGTTGTTACAAATCGGCACAACAATTATTGTATCGTAATAAACAAAGTATTTGTTTGTTTCTAGCGTTTACAAGGTAGTTGAATTACAAAAGTTAACCTCCCGAAAATGGTAAGTAGACCAGATGCAATTTGCATAACAAATGACAGCGTTTTTATGAAAGGTTGTTCGCTGTGAAATGTTTTTTCTTGCTATGATTTTGCATTATACCATTGCTCATAAAACGTATAGTTACATTTTGTTTGTATATAACTTTTCATTGTAGATATTTGATTGCGTTTTGTTTTCGCAAATTACCACCCCCATGAGGCTACTAAAGTGTGAATATCCGAATGTGCTGTAAAGCTTTGCAGGTGTTTTGTGTTTCATTCAATGAAAGTTTCTTGATTATAGGCTGAAATACAGACGTACCTATATGGAAAGAAGTTTCCAAACAGAATTTTTGTTGGACGCCTTCCTCTAAATGTGAGTATTTATTAATGCTTTCCAGTTAGGCAGCTACACGTGCAGTTTTCTATCAAATGTTGAGCGATTTTGTTTTGAAAAGGTTCATTTACAAAAGACTTAGGTTTGTTTTCATGATTCATTTAGATGTGTTGTACACAAGTCATGTCATTATTGTCTTGTCAATATTAGAAATTAATCAAATTTTTGAGCAATCGTGTTTATTTACTATGAGTTGATTTCATATTTTTCTCTTTTTTTTAGACAAGCGCGGTTGAACTGGCAGTGTTCTTTCGTGTGTTCGGACACGTCACCGAAACAAAAATAATTTTGGACCATTCGGGTCTATCCAAAGGGTTTGTGATCTTTTCGTGTATGCACTTGTAGTATGAGTTATTTTCGCACCATGACCAGTACGCAGCCAAATTTGCTTCATAAATTCCGATACAATATTTGAAGAAGAAGGCTATTATGCAAGCTTCCTTTTTTGGCATCATTGACGATTGTTTTGAAGCAATATCAGGAAACAGTTGCAAATTAACATGACAAGTGCGCTGCGAAAATATACACACCTCCACGTTTTATGTTAATGAGCCATCGTCATTGTTGCGAAACCTTATTTTTGCATCTATTTTTGTTTCAGTTACGGTTTCGTCACATTTGAGTCGAAATCGTCCGTCAAAGCTATTGAAAATATCGGTGCGATATATTTTCTTGTTTTTAAAATATACTACTGGCGTCAAAATACATACATTCCCCAACAGGTAGGCGTATTTGCTTCGTTTTTGAATGTATTAAGTCATTGATTTCATGTTTTATCGCGATCTGTTTTATAGACCCAATGTTGCATGGGTTATTCACCACCAATTACGGGTATGTAATTGATGTTTTGCTTATTAGTATTTTGCTTTTATTAAGGCAGATTTTCCAATCGTTTGTAACTTTTTTTAGACCCTATTAATTGGAATTGTTATCCTACGCCAATCAAAGGGGTGTTTACATGAATCCAGAATGACTTTCAATCCCCATCGAAACGTGATGTCAATCCGTGTTTACATGAAACTAATTGTTGTTTTTCTTTCGCACTCATTATAACCCATTTAGCCTCTTTATTTACTTACGATGTTATACATACATGGGTAATAGCCGTCGAACGTACGTACGCTGGATAACAAATGCGTTTAAAAAAAACTTTTTGTTAAATAAATACTTGTTGAACTGTCATATGTAACTTTTTCTAACCTAGCTATACTTCATTTAATGTACATTTTAGTGTCTTGTGTATCGTAAAATGTGAGTAGTTCACTATTCTATTGTAATTTTCATTTTTGCACACGCCCCATGTGGAAATCACTTGTATGTTGACAATGGCAAGCGCGTTAAAATAAAATTAACTATCTATCTATCTATCTATCTTTATTTACAAATTAAGATATAATCTTAGTTTTTGTAATATGAAAAAACACATATATATTAAAAACACCTTTATGATGGAGGCTACAGACTCAGATTGCATCATAATGATAGCTTTTTTTTATGCCCTATCAAACTATGGTCCTTCTTATGAAGACCAAAATATATATGATGTGCATAAAAACTTATTTTGTTTATGTCAAAGAAACATTTATGGGTAAGTGCCCTTTTTCTCTTATTACGGGTATGTAATTGGTGGTGAATAACCAATGCAACATTGGGTCTACAAAACAGATCGCGATAAAACATGAAAACAATGACTTAATAGATTCAAAAACGAAGCAAATACGCCTACCTGTTGGGGAATGTATGTATTTTGAAGCCAGTAGTATATTTGAAAAACAAGAAAATATATCACACCGATATGATATTTTCAATAGCTTTGACGGACGATTTCGACTCAAATGTGACGAAACCGTAACTGAAACAAAAAATAGATGCAAAAATAAGGTTTCGCAACAATGACGATGGATCATTAACATAAAACGTGGAGGTGTGTGTATTTTCGCAGAGCACTTGTCACGTTAATTTGCAACTGTTTCCTGATATTGCTTCAAAACAATCGTCAATGATGCCAAATAAGGAAGCCTGCATAATAGCCTTCTCCTTCAAATATTGTATCGGAATTTATGAAGCAAATTTGGCTGCGTACTGGTCATGGTGCGAAAATAACTCATACTACAAGTGCATACACGAAAAGATCACAAACCCTTTGGATAGACCTGAATGGTCCAAAATTATTTTTGTTTCGGTGACGTGTCCGAACACACGAAAGAACTCTGCCAGTTCAACTGCGCTTGTCTAAAAAAAAGAGAAAATATGAAATCAACTCATAGTAAATAAACACGATTGCTCAAAAATTTGATTAATTTTTAATATTGACAAGACAATAATGACATGACTTGTGTACAACACATCTAAATGAATCATGAAAACAAATCTAAGTCTTTTGTAAATGAACCTTTTCAAAACAAAATCGCTCAACATTTGATAGAAAACTGCACGTGTAGCTGCCTAACTGGAAAGCATTAATAAATACTCACATTTAGGGGAAGGCGTCCAACAAAAATTCTGTTTGGAAACTTCTTTCCATACAGGTACGTCTGTATTTCAGCCTATAATCAAGAAACTTTCATTGAATGAAACACAAAACACCTGCAAAGATTTACAGCACATTCGGATATTCACACTTTAGTAGCCTCATGGGGGTGGTAATTTGCGAAAACAAAACGCAATCAAATATCTACAATGAAAAATTATATACAAACAAAATGTAACTATACGTTTTATGAGCAATGGTATAATGCAAAATCATAGCAAGAAAAAACATTTCACAGCGAACAGCCTTTCATAAAACGCTGTCATTTGTTATGCAAATTGCATCTGGTCTACTTACCATTTTCGGAGGTTAACTTTTGTAATTCAACTACCTTTTAAACGCTAGAAACAAACAAATACTTTGTTTATTACGATACAATAATTGTTGTGCCGATTTGTAACAACAGTTTTGCTTTACATTGCTTTTCTTAAGCAAACTAATCACTTGAAATATTCTCTTTGCATTATTAAAACGGAACGTTCAATGACTAAGGGGTGTTTACATGAACCGGAATGACTTTCAATCCCCATCGAAACGTGATGTCAATCCGTGTTTACATGAAACTAATTGTTGTTTTTCTTTCGCACTTATTTTAACCCATTTAGCCTCTTTATTTACTTACGATGTTATACATACATGGGTAATAGCCGTCCAACGTACGTACGCTGGATAATAAATGCGTTGAAAAAAAACTTTTTGTTAAATAAATACTTGTTGAACTGTCGTATGTAACTTTTTCTAACCTAGCTATACTTCATTTAATGTACATTTTAGTGTCTTGTGTATCGTAAAATGTGAGTAGTTCACTATTCTATTGTAATTTTCATTTTTGCACACGCCCCATGTGGAAATCACTTGTATGTTGACAATGGCAAGCGCGTTAAAATAAAATTATCTATCTATCTATCTATCTATCTTTATTTACAAATTAAGATATAATCTTAGTTTTGTAATATGAAAAACACATATATATTAAAACACCTTTATGATGGAGGCTACAGACTCAGATTGCATCATAAAGATAGCTTTTTTTATGCCCTATCAAACTATGCTCCTCCTTCTTATGAAGACCAAAATATATATGATGTGCATAAAAACTTATTTTGTTTATGTCAAAGAAACAATTATGGGTAAATGCCGTTTTTCTTTTAGGTATAGATAAAACCTAAGACACTTATACTAATGCATTGGCATTTTACATCATGAATTACCTATATGTTAAACCTTACTACAAGTCTAAAACCGCTAACGCATCCTACCGGCCTATAATCTTTGTTAAAATCTATCGTTTTGAATAGAGGAAGCACGTCAGTTTTGCTCTAGGGCTCCTCACCATCCTTGAGTATGAGCTTCAGCTGGAATCTGAGCAAGGAATAAGGATATGGAATTTGAGTCTTAAAATATTCGCCAAGTGAAAAACAAGTAACAATCTTATTCTTACATTGCTGGCATTTGGAACTTGCTGATTGGCGTAGGGATAACAATTCCAATTAATAGGGTCTAAAAAGTTACAAACGATTGGAAAATCTGCCTTAATAAAAGCAAAATACTAAAAGCAAAACATCAATTACATACCCGTAATTGGTGGTGAATAACCCATGCAACATTGGGTCTATAAAACAGATCGCGATAAAACATGAAATCAATGACTTAATACATTCAAAAACGAAGCAAATACGCCTACCTGTTGGGGAATGTATGTATTTTGACGCCAGTAGTATATTTTAAAAACAAGAAAATATATCGCACCGATATTTTCAATAGCTTTGACGGACGATTTCGACTCAAATGTGACGAAACCGTAACTGAAACAAAAATAGATGCAAAAATAAGGTTTCGCAACAATGACGATGGCTCATTAACATAAAACGTGGAGGTGTGTATATTTTCGCAGCGCACTTGTCATGTTAATTTGCAACTGTTTCCTGATATTGCTTCAAAACAATCGTCAATGATGCCAAAAAAGGAAGCTTGCATAATAGCCTTCTTCTTCAAATATTGTATCGGAATTTATGAAACAAATTTGGCTGCGTACTGGTCATGGTGCGAAAATAACTCATACTACAAGTGCATACACGAAAAGATCACAAAATATTATATTACTTATTTTACGTAAGGTCTGTGACCAAAATGCGAGACGTGTTAAGAAGATAATGACAGACGTTACATCAAATATTACGGTAAAATAGAGAATCAGTTTGTAGTTTGAAATACTTGCATCGATACCATGTTCTTTCCAATCTTTAAGGTCTTGACAAACTTTTTTAGGTTGATTGAGCAATCCACTCTTCCCTCTCCAATAGATTTGTTTGTGTAAGTACTATCGATGTTTTTCCAGTCATCATTATTTGACCAAGCGTTTACGAGAACTGCTATAGATGTAGCAATGTCTAGAGATCGTAGAACTAGAAAAAATAACAAACTGTGCGATGTATCCACGATAGATTAACTTTGCAACTTTGTTATAATTTTCACTAACTTTTCTTGTCATTTTTTTGTAAACGAGTCAAGGTTGTAGTTAGTGCATGGTGTTATTCAAGTGAATGTCTCTTCATTATGTATTTCATGTTATATCTACGTAAGATTCTTTAATATTTTATTAGAAAATATCTTTAAATAATCCAATAACCATTATTCATTTACCGCATGTAACATTGATTTATATGTCAAACATTTCATCGTCAGATTCATAAAATAAGAGTATTCTGCGCATTTCTACGATGGAAACGAAATAAAAAGTATACGCAACATTGGGCAATAGTTTATGGTTTACACACCAGTTCACGTACGAACAGGTATACCTGTTCTTTTCATATGTATTTGCATTAAAATATTAAATTTTTTACAAAAAATAGCAAGTAAAAACCTGTCATTTACTTTGTAGTTTTCTTCTTTTCATATGTAAAAGAAATTAATACGTACTTGCAGAAAGATAGCATGATTAACGTCCTTTCATGTGACAAATTATTACAATGAAAACCAATCATATTTTCTTAGCAAAATATCTTGTTGTCTGTTATTTCATTATGTGCTCTTTTTTTAATGTTATTTCCCTTCTTTTTAAGTTTAAGTTTATGATATGTATGTAACAAAACCAAACAGTACACTGACATTAGTCGAACAGTCTACTCTTGCTTTACAGTGTCCCTAGTTACCCATAGCAAGCCATCCACAGTTATCCAGCAGTATTCTAACTTTCTTTATTATTTCATTTTGTTTTTTCAATCAATATGTTTCGTTCGTTCATACGTTTTTCTAGAGCTTTTTTTCTCTTTTCGTTTTTGTGTTGTCACCAGTTTATGTTCTTTTACGATATTTTTTTTAGTTTGTAGATCTCAAACATGTGTTCTTTGTATGTTGTTGCTCATGTTATATTCCATGATATCTTGTTTTCTCTAGGCTTAGCTTGAACTGTTTCATGAAAGAACAAGTGCACTTATGATAAACGTATGGAACGGATCGTACACACAGGAATGATACTTTCAGCAATAACTGTTGAAACAACTTTCCAAGTCTGAATCGTGCTTACCGTTTTATGGATTTTTTTATCATCAGGCTGTAAACCTTTCTTGTTAAAATTATCCTTCAGTGTTTTGTAGGTTTCGTGCACTGTTTGATTAGTTTTGTATCTTTTCTAACCGCATGTAGAAGTTTCGTGTCGAATTTTTGTGAAACTGATTTGATATTTTGAAACTGATAAACTTTTTATCATATTTCCTTCCAGGGCTATGTTTAAACACAATGGGCTATGTTTCCTTCCAGGGCTATACTTAAACACAATTAAATTGTAAAATAACCAGAAAACTGGTCGATAAGTCTTTCCCCATTTCCTTCAATCCTGTTGAAACATTCTATCAGTATACGACCTTCAGAATAATTTATATAATGGATGACAATTTACTATAAAGAAATAACAATTTATACGTACCAGTTGATATTAATAACGTATTAAATCTCACTTCATGGTAGAGTTGAGTTCATTCCCCAATTTGAGTGTCTAGTGTCTACCTATTTTTGCTGCGCACATGACATGGATGAGATGTTTTTTATCGGTTGACTTATTTTTCGAAAAACACATACAGCGAAAAAAGTTATGTTGATTTCAAGGTTCTGTTGAGCATCGGTTCTTTAAAGTATCCTAACAAAATGGCCGCTTGGACGTTACACGAATGTTGAACGATTTTGAAAATAAGGATGTTCCTCATCCAACAAGGCAAAAATTCCATTGTTTTTCTACTCGCTACCCTCCCTATACATATACTTCCTAGAGCAAAGAAAAATGCAAAGAGAAAATAGTTGTTTATCGGTATGGTCTGATCATAGGTGGCCCAAAAAATCACATAGCTAAATTGTATAATTAAACGATAACTCTCTCCCATTTCATTGCAACAGACCGTAACATTGAAACAGAAGTTTGCGGTGCGCGGTCTGTTACGATGAAATGAGGAGAGTTTAATGTATTTGTTTAATCTATTTAGCTAGCTAAATGATTTTTTTAGAGACGCCTATGGTCTGATTGACCAACTGGAAAATCGGTCATATTACTAAGTACTATTTAATGCCTGACTGCCCTTCCCCCACCTCACCTCACCCCCCCCCAACGCTAAAATACTTTTGCATTACACAGATTATATCGCTTCAAATTTCAAACTCTATATTTTGCCATAGCATTATTTTCTGACTTTAATATTCCACGTGTGAAGCATTTTTTTACAATGTTTTCTTTACAGAGCTTTCATCGTTACTTTCCAGCACATTGCTATCGGATTCTTTGCCATCTCCTTTACTGGCTTCATCCTCAGTCTTTTCCTTTAACTTTTCTTCTGTATGATCTTGATAGCTATAAAAAACAGATGATATAAATCATACAACAGCATAGATAAAGCAATTTTGCCCACGTAGAAGCCGAATCGTTAATACGCATTTAATAAACATGACAACGAATATTTCAACATCTTGTGATGTCATCTTTAGTACAGCTGTAAGGCTGGAAAAAATTGCTTTTGAGGGAACTATTTCCAGTTTTAGTAAAACACTACTAAAAATAGCACTTGAAGTTTAGAAAAAATATAAATAGTTTAAGTCACAATGAGCTACTTTAGCGGAAGATGAAACTTCGTAGTCACCCATAAAGCGACCCCACAAAGTGACGGACTAACGGTAACGTAGTAACGTACTTGCAAACAAAGTTATTCACAGCAACGAGCATTTAATGCGATGATATTACACAAGATACTAGCTTTAAAGACGTATAATAAAATAAGAGGTTTAATAAAACATCTATTTTTAATTCATCTGTCTCTCATTACCGTTATTTTATAAAAGAAACAAAAGATGTTTAATGTTACATGTTTGTAAATGTAGATCGTCCAGGTTAGTATAGTCCTGAGAAAGACTATTTTTGTTGTTGTTGACTGACGTTTCGACAACCTTAGCGGTAGTCATCTTCATTTGACTCTGAAGATGACTACCGCTAAGGTTGTCGGAACGTCAGTCAACAACAAAAAAAACAATCGGTAAGGAGGGGGGGAGGGGTGAGGAGTCTTGTTTGCAATGGGGAAGTAAAGAAAGGAATCATACTTGCTATTTATATTTCAACTAACAATGCTTTAATGGGATATTTTATTTGAAATCTACTATATCCGTGATTTGTTCTAGTTTCTTTCATATCTTAATATCATAGATATTAACATTACGTTGTTGTGATGTACTCAGGTATAGCAATAAGATAATCATTGTCTTCAATGTTCTACCAACTGAACTACAACAACAACATTGGACTATGATGACTTTTCAAAACACAGTTCTAGTTTCTTTCATACTTTAATATCATAGATAATATCATCACGTTGCTGTGATGTACTCAGGTATAGTAACAAGATAATCATTGTCTTCAATGTTCTATCAACTAAACTACAGGATTAACTTGATCATTGTCTTCAATATTCGATCAACTAAACTACAAGATTAACTGTGGACTATAATATTTATAAAGAAAAATAGTGCTCCAAAACAATGTATCGGACAATATTCGCCTCTCATACCTTTCCTCTACATAAAGCCAAAAACATCGCTCCTTTAAACTTGGTGCTTTTCACTTTTTCATAAAAGCCATCCATAGTCTGAAAATACAATATTAGAACTAATTATTAATATATTATAGCACATCTGAAGACGATCTGAACAAATGAAAAATCTATCACCTCCGCAAACTCAACATTCCTTCGAGGTTCGATGAATATAGGTTTACGTTGCTCAAGTCTCGGCCAAATATTTTTGGTCTGTAAGGTATAGATAAAGAAAATGTATATGAGACGATGTGATCAATAATATCATATGATTTATGAAAAGCGATATCCAGGACCTTCCAGTTTTGAACAGCGACCTCAAGCGAGGTATAGGATGGAAAAAAACACCAACATTCCATCAGGGACAACCTGAGCAAAGTTTACTAAAGAAAAGAAAAATGTTAAAGTTAGAGTACTCTTAAATGTGCGCTTGAATTTAATGCTGTGACGAAAGAAATCTTTAAAATGTTTTAAAGTAAAACATTATAATCCGACGTTTTACCGATTGATAGTGAAAAATAAGACAAAACAATTTATCAATGCTGCTAATTACTGTAAGTGGTGAATTATCTAACTATTAGTTGCCTTGATTTGGGAGACTTTCATTGCTGTTTAAGAATGCTAGTAATCCAGTTGTAGAATAAGAGTATTTAGTACTTAGTATACAACTATACATAATTTTATAATAGTATTGTTACTTTTTGAGAATCATTTATAAATTAGAAGTTACTGTAAAAACTGACTGATTTTCTTGCAGACCTTTTGCTTTTAATCTGCCGAGTTTTGTCACACTTATATAGTGCAGTAGGAATGTGTGTAAGCTTATTTCAAATATAATTGTGATCATTACTTGTAAGTTATATGATTTTACATCTGTTAGTCAATTCAGTAAACGTTGTGAACGTCTATATGATCATTTCGTACGTGACTTATGTTTACATGGCTTCAGCCTCGTCAAGACCCCTTTCCTCTAAAAAATTTAGCCTTGGTCAGCACTGGTCTGTATCAATAATAAAGGTCGACGTCTTAAAAAGTAGAAAAAAGCGTTTATTTACAAAGACTTTTTTGAATTTTGTACAATATGTTAAATTTATTCTCAAATTATTTTTTAATACCACCTTCGTGTCTTAAATGAAAATAGAAATAAAAGTCACAAATTAATGCATGAATGGCTGGAATTTTAGTCCCCAAGCTTTTAAATGCCAATCATTGATGTGTGAAACAAAATGCCAATTTAACGCAAATTCCACTATAATTAATGCTATCCATGACAAATATTTAACACCTCAATAACAACCTGCACGTTTATTATGTCTAACATCTAATGGAAGCACAAGCAATCTTTCGAAATTTTCTCTGTAATATGAAGTTTGCATTGCACTTGCCACAAAAAGACAACATTTCCTTTGAAATTATTCGCTTTGCGCGGGGCCCTCAAAATCGCTGGGCTCCTGACAACTGCCTTGACGCCCTCCTCTTAATACAGCCCTACTTCAACCGTCAATAAAAATTGCTTATAAATTTCACATGCAGAGCGGATATAAGCTTTTTGAAAATAGTGGATTGTAATTATTGTGTTTATTTTCTTACTAAAAAGATAATTTGCATTTTTGGGTAAATTTACTTCTTATTTATTGTAGGAAGGACTTTATGTAAGAAATACGAAACATACCGTTCGTCTAAACTCCAAAATGGCGGGGTTTAGGAAGATTCTTTTGTTAAAATGTTTTCTTTCATTATTTGATTTATTTTTCTGTGAAAACAACCTGATGCTTTGAATGTTTTAAGCATCCTTCTTCCTTATTCTACGGCAGGCTCAGCTAACGTCAACTTTACTGTTTGGGCACAGAGTGGTTGCTATAAGTGGTTCGTTGAAATGAACATATTTGCACGTGTTTAATTTTATATATGACTTTCTATTGAGTCTTTGTTTATATGTATATTATGTAAGATGAAAGGTTTAAAAAACGGCTTTGATTAAGATGATATTATTCCCAATTTGTGTACTGGTAAAATTGCTTAGAATTAAGAAACATGAAAGACTTATAACGTATAATGTGATTTGATTTTAGGAGTTCTTCAAGACCAAAGATTGCCGAAATTCGACCTGTTATTGGTATTTCACCAAAGAAAAGTGAATTTTGTTTTTTTCCCACTAAATTATGCTTTAAATTATTCGGTGTACAGTCAGTGTGAATGTGTACATGAATGATAATGAATATAACGTCCAGCAAGACTAGTATTGATTTCTAAAAAGAAAGATTATTTATTTTTGTCATTAGGTCAAAATGACTGTAGTCAAAAGGCAATAGTCACATCACAGTCATCAAAACCTGAAAAGCAAACTGCAATAATTGTTGCTGAAGAGAAAGGTTTGTCAAATCTTGATGATTTTAAACTATTTGTGTCATTGTATGAGGGATTTTTCTAATAAAATTGAAATTTGATCATGTCTAGTAATAAATGATCTCTGTGACAGATGTGTTTACTTGACACTAAAATTAGCTATTTTCAGCTAAAAGATATCTTATATATTAAATATTTTATTTGGTGTGTGTAATCTCCTTAATTTCAAGAGAAAATGCAAATGCCAATTGTAATCTTGTAATGTGATGTATGTCATTGTCTAAATGTTTGTGTATTAATGAGGAAAGAGTAATTTCTCATTGTAACACAAGCACAAACATCTTGTATTAAAAAGATATATCTGCAATTTCAGCTGTAAGAGTGTCTCCCTTTCACTTCAATACATTTAAGCAAAGATCATGATTTTATCTGATTTTTTTTACTTTCAGTAACTTTCAATGTCATTCGTGCTGATGTATTCGTCAGCAAAATAAATTGTATTCAAATCCAAACTACAACACATGAACTTTTACTGGGAAAATCACCAGAAGTTCTTCAAGTCTTCTATGTTTACCACATTGCTGTTGTTGAATTTGGACTCAACTCATAAGATTTGTTTATTTTAAGGGTTTAAGGGGCAGCAGTATCATTGTCGAAGGCATAACAACAGGAACAGCACTGGTCAGAGCAAAATTAAGTCATCCAACTTTCCAGGTTTGCTAAATATATAAATTATCGTTAATGTATTCACAACTTACACTAGACAGTTTAGGCAATTTGTAAATCATTGCGTTTATTGTAAATTTTGTGGGTTATGTAAAGGATGGTACTCAGGGTGCGAATTAACGGTGTGCAATGTGCAATTTGCACATCGTTTTGGCTAAAATGAAAATAATTGCACATCACTTTTTCAAACGATGTGCAAAAGAAGTTTTTCATTAATTATTATCACATATATTGAAAAGAAAATTTTTAAATCTTAGGCCATGTAATTGGCCATGTTGACACAATGTCATCAAATTGAAAACGTCGTCACTTTGAGACTGGAAAGTCTGTCAACAGTCGACATACTGGTTGACATAAATGGTTCTTCTGACCATATACGGATGTAATTCATTTATAAATATTAATTTTGCATTGCACTGTTTTGTAGTTTGTGCATCATTACTTTTTGGCATCATAGCTATTTTGAATGTTTTCGATAAAATCAGGAGACATTTTCCTTCTGATTCCTAAAAAAACCTTTAAAATTTTCAAATTTGAAAAATAAGCCAAAAAGATTTTTGGGAGCGAAACCAAACTGGCAACCTTGATTAACCGTATTTTTTGCTTTTACGCATAGTTTGTAATATGACAAAAATATTTTTTGTTATAAGTAAGCATCAATAAAACATATTAGATAATCAGAAGACAAAAGTAGCTATATGCGGTGCATGTTTCTTTGTCGCTTTTGTTTTTCTTGCCATGATGGCTTCTTCGTCGAAAGGTTGTACTAGCAAAATTAACACAGTAGAAAATGGATAGAAACATTAAATGCCGACTTGCTTGAATACGAGAATGATGGCCAAGTGGTGAATTCACTGCGCTGTAAAGTTTGTGGAAACAAAGAGGACAGAATAACAAGCGCAAAAAATTTCTCTCGCACATTCATAACAGGATCAGCTGTTGTAAAGAAAAACGCAGTGGTCAATCATATGAATTCTGAGTTGCCTTTCAAAAAGTATATCCCCATTTGCAAGCTCCTGGAGAAGGGAGGCGTTGATCTAGGTTAATCGTATCGAACAGACCGATCAGCTGCTGAGTTGTCAGATCACATTTCTGGGGTCATAAAAGGAAATCTTGATGAAGATTTAAAGGTATTTAAAGATATTTGACAGTTTTTTGCGATGGCAGCACCGATACCAGTGTAAAATCACAATAATTATTTTACGTGTTATATGTGAATAAGAACGGTCATAGTGCTAATTGAGGTCAGTTGAAACAGTTGAAAACGAAGATGCTTCGGGACTGAAGGAAGCTATGAACGAAGCTTTTGCCCGTTTTGGCATTACAAACTTTGAATCGAAACTAGCTGCAACTGGGTCTAGATGGGGCAAGTTTTAATATGGGGAGAAATACTGGTTTAGAAGCTCGTCTAAAAGAAGTCGCTCCTTGGCTCACTGTCGTCCACTGCTTCAATCACCGTCTAGAATTTGCTGCTGCCGACGCATTCAATGCTACGTTTTTTGCACAAGTAGATGGAATAATGCGTCAACTGTTTTCTGTACCAGAAGTCATCGAAGAAACTAAGAGAGCTGAAAAAACTAGCTGAAGTGTATGGAGAAACTGTTTATAAGCCCATCAAAGCAAGTGGGACAAGGTGGATAGATCACAAAGTGCGCGCCACGAAGGTTTACCTGGAGAACTACGGCATGTATATGCAGCATCTTGAACAGGTAAAAATGGCTAATTTTCCAACTTTTGCTGTTTTCCATCAAATTTGCATCGCCTCCTTAAATTTTCTAGAATAAAGTTTGCCTGTAATAACAGTAATAAGCATTTTTATTAAATTATTTAATTTCATGTAATATGTTACTTTTTGTTTCTTATGTAGGCCGCAACTATTTTCACCTGATGCCCAAAAGCAGAAGATAAATGGATTCCTAGCTAAATGGAAAGACGCTCGTTTCCCAATGTATGCTTCTATCTTTGTGGACATTATTGGTCCTTTGCGTGTTTTGTCTCCTGGACTACAAACTGACTACAATGATCCAGTCAAAGCTTTAAGGAGAATCAAGGAATTTGACTGGACTATGGTCAAGCTTCAAGGTTGTACATTTGGCAAAGCTACTTCGATAAATTTAGGAAGGATTGCAAACCTACTGGTGACGACAAGAACCAGATTTCGTATCAAGGTGTTGTGCTCACAAATTATCCCCGCACTAAATGGAGCTGCGGGACAACGACAAGAGTGGATAGATGCGATTATCCTGTTTAGGCAATCGCTTTAGTGATCTTAAAGAGACACCAGTTTACAAACACCTTTGTCCAATTATAGACACCCAGTCTTGGCCAGGTGAGGAAGTTAATTTGGTGAGCTATGGAGACGAATCGGTTACGCTACTTGTCGACCACTTCATTCAGCTTTGAAGCATAACGTATGGGATGTGTCGAACGATACGATGCTGACAGAAGAATGGAGTAGGCTTAAGTTGTTGATTTCAGAGACGTATGGCAGAGCTATACCATACTTAGATGTTTGGCTGCCATTCTCTCTTCACCAGTTAGTAAGGAAAAGTTTTTAAACGTTCTTAACATTGTGGAACTGTTATTAATTACGCCCATCTCTAATGCTGTGGTTGAGCGAATGTTCTCAACAATAGCCAAAATAAAGCCACACCTACGTAACAGAATGTCAAGAGGAAGATTGGACAGTCAGCGAATTAGTGAGGAGGGTACATCAGTGGAAGAGTATGATCCAGCTCCCGCAATAGAGCGGTGGTATGAACAAAAGAAACGAAGGATTGATATGGAGGCCATGCTTACCCAGAGAAGCGAAAGAAGAAAGTCGATACGTCAGAGGCATCAAGCTGCAGCAAACATTCTTATTTTTCGGACCAAGACTCGTCAGAAAGTAACTAGTCGTGTACTATAACATGATAACTTGTAAAAATGTATACGTTGATAAAATGTTATAAAAATATCACGTTCTAAAAATGTTAATTTAGTAAATAGTGCAGTATAATAATTACTGTGATATCATTTGATTATGCCTCTGGAGAAAAATTTTTGTCGAAAAAATTTGCACATCGTTTTTTCTCAACTAATTCGCACCCTGATGGTACTTCGTAGTACTTAAGTCTTTCTTGGACAGCTTTATGCACGTATGAAACATAGTCCATACGTCGTAGATCAATTCACAAATCTAACAACGAGCCAGACAGTGTTGTTTTCCAATGTGCAAACAATTCACACGTATTCAAGAATTCTATGTTATATAGTTTGTTACGTATTTTGAGCGTTTAATGAATTCTTATTTTCCTAAAATGGACGAGACATTTAAGCACTAGTTCATCGCGTTAACGTTTCATTGAGAGACTTAACTTGACGTCCAATATGCATGGCGCTTCTACATAACCATGGACATTACACTTTAGATCTTAAAGAGAAAATCGCTCAGCTTGCAAACCGTCGATTGTAAGACAAGAAGTGGTTATTTACACTATGCTTGTGATATGTTTTGTTCAAAATGTAAATTGAAGTCAATGATGTTCTTCTCATAATACGTACGTGAATCAAAATTAAATTGGAGTGAAAAGACTGTGTTTTTCTACATTGTCTTATCTTGGATCCGTACTGTCAGTGCGACTTCTCTGCAATTTGCAAATAATTGTTAGAAACTTTATGTTATTTTTGTGAAAAGACTAATCACGTGAGTTTTGTTTTTCGGAGATGAAAATTATAACGTTGTTCGTACGTAGCTTATAAGCGTATTTTCTTTGTTATGAAAAATAAAGCAAAAATATCAATCTGAGAGCGTGAGTAAATTAGAAAACTTCGAAGAAACGTTTCTTTGTTTCCGAAAAAATAGGAGAAAAGCTATAACTGTTGCAATGTTTGGGTGGAATCAAAATGATGCAGTTTAATTATAAATAAAACATTTCAACTCAACATCGTCTTTTCATAAACATGGTTTTATTACGTATTAAAGTGCCCCAACTAACAAAATTTTTTATTGTTCTTGAATAAAAATTTTTAATTTTCGGTCAAATCGTCGGCTTTATTATAACGCTTTGAGTTACCTTTTAATGAACCTTGTCCGTCGTGGCGCGAGGTCTGGGTCTAGCCTAATTCTGACGTCATCCAAGGTAGTTGGCATATACTTATTTCTCGTATTAACGAATCCTGTGCGTGACGTCCCAAAGATTAGCTGCTCCAGGCTTGGGGCAAAGTCATTGAAAATGTCGACGCTCAATTTAATCTTTACCATAAAACAGAACGATTTGACAAAATTAGAAACTTTTCCATTTATCACACTAAAATGTAATATCGCAAATGGAATTTATTGCTGGAAGGAAAACTTTCAGATTATTTAATGATGTTTCTTGTACTTTTACGTTCATGTTGTCTTTTAGGATGTTCATTCTGACGAAGTAAAGTTATTGGTGATTGATGTTAGATTATGAACTTTATTCATAGAGAAGGATTCGTATTGATTTTACAACAACAATATATATATGTACATGTGTAGGAAGTATGTAAGATCGTACGATTGTCACGTGTCCACTGATCTGTATCTAATGAACTGAATTAACATTAACTTTAACAAATGAAATACTTTATGTTATATTGTATCATGTTAACACCCCCACTCAGACTCAGCTTGCTCATGATGAGTCTGCTATGTGGTTAACTAAATCCCTAAAAGTGTTGCTCGATGTTTTTCTACTTTGACTCGAGATAATGACTTTGTAAGAATGTCTGCTGTCATTTCTTCGGTTGGAACGTAACTGATCTTTATCTCCTTGTTTTGTACTCTTTCTCGAATGAAATGTAGTTTCGTATCGATGTGCTTTGATCGTTTATGCATTACGGGATTGTGACACATCTTTATACAAGATTGGTTATCTTCTCCAATGTTGGTTGGTTTCTTCATTGGATAACCTAAATCTTTCATTAGTGCTCGTAGGTATATTGCTTCTTGTACAGCTGCCGCCATAGCTTGATATTCGGCTTCGGTTGACGAAAGTGCTACAGTTGCCTGTTTCTTCACTTCCCAGCTGATTGCACCTCCGTTCCCTTCAAATTTGAAGTAATATCCTGTAGTTGATTTGCGATCATTGAGATCACCACTCCAATCTGCGTCTGAATCACCAACGATATCGAGATTGGAATTCTTCAAGAATGTTAATTGTAAATCGATAGTTCCTTTAAGATATCTTAATACGTGCTTTGCTGCTTTCCAATGTGAAATGTCTGGTTTATCTAGGAATCTTGATAGCTGATTAACAATGTGAAGGATATCTGGACGGGTTTGTTTACCAATAAATAGTAATGATCCAACTAAACTTCTGTATAACTTCGCATCGACTAACTTCTGATCGTCGTTGCTTTTGATTAGCTTCAGATTTACTTTCCAGGCGTTGCTGCTGCTTTACAATCACTCATATTGAATTGTTGAAGAACAGATTCGATGTATTTCTTTTGGTCAACGGTAATCTTGTCGTGAGATCGTAGAATTCGCATTCCTAAGAACCAGTGCAGTTTGCCACGGTCGTCCATCTTGAAATTTTTGCTTAACATTGCTTTGATGTGATTAACTGCTTTTTCACTCGTACCAGCCACTATAATATCGTCTACCCAAACTAATACGTATGAGTATGTTCCATCTTCTTCTTTTCTCACAAATAAACAATAATCGTTGCAGCTACGTTTGAATTTTTCTTTAATAAGTAGACTAGCCAGTGCTTCGTACCAATTCTTTGCCGCTTGTTTCAATCCATAGATTGATTTGTTTAGCTTGCAAACTTGCTTTCGTCCTGATTTTGCTTTCTTGGTAAAACCTTCTGGTTGTTCTAGATAAATTTCTTCTTCTATGTTGGAGTGAAGGTATGCTGATTTAACATCCATCTGGCCAATATGTAGACCTTTTTGTGCTGTCATTGCGAGCAGGATTCGAAAAGTTTCGGGTTTACATGTTGGAGCGTAAGTATCGAAAAAGTCTAAGCCTTCGACTTGAGCATAACCCTTGGCTACATATCTTGCTTTATATTTGTCGATTTTACCATCTACTCCATATTTTACTTTATACACCCATTTTCCTGGTAGGACTTGCGCATTTTCTGGTTCGTTTTCTATTGTCCATGTGTTATTGTCCATTAGTGAATCATATTCTGCTTTCATCGCTTTTCTCCAGTTTTCAGCATGCGGTGTATTAATTGCTTCATGATAAGACTTGGTTTCTTGCACACTTTCTTCGTTAGTCGTATTGAACGTATAGTATAATCCATACCTTTCTGGTGGTCGCCGATTTCTGCTTTCTCTAGGAAGCCAAATTTCTTCCTCTGGATTTTCTTCATCTTCTTGCTGATGTTGAACAGCAGGTATCGGTGCATTATTTTCCCCCACTTCATCTTGAATCGGTTCCTTCGTTTTCTCATCTTTCGAACGATCATCGTCGAAATCCATGTTAGCTCATAAGATTTGGTTGTTCTGGATTTATCGTATCTTTTGCTGAAAATGGTTGAATTTCACTTTCTTTGAAGACAACATTGCGTGCTTTGATGACTTTCATTGATTCGAATTCTTGCAGGATGTAAGCTGTGCTTTTGTCATCGTAACCAATAAATTTTGCTTTCACAGATCTTGAATCCAATTTCTTTAGGTTGATCTTCCTTTTCATGACGTATGCTGTGCAGCCAAAAGTGCGTAGATGATTTAATCTTGGCGTTTTTTCTGTGAATAGCTCAAAAGGACTTTACTTTGTTCGCTGTTGGCAGTAACGGTGAGATTTCTGATATGAGATGCTGTGGATAAGGCTCTTACCCAATAACGTTTTGGTAACTGTGCTTGGATTAATAGACATCGTCCCATTTCAACTAGAGTTCGATTATAGCGTTCGGCAACTCCATTTTGTTGCGGGGTTTCGGGTACTGTAAATTCCTGCTTTATTTTTGATTCTATGCAGTAAGCTTTGAATTGCTTCGATGTATACTCTGCTCCATTATCGCTTCTCAATTTTCGAGGTAATCCTGATTCTGCTACGTACTCTTTAAATTTTTCGAATGCTTGTGCTTTCTTGCTCATGAATTTAACGATTGCATACTTCGAGTATTCGTCCACAAAGGTAATTGCATATCTGCATCCACTGAGGCTAGGCACTTCAAATGGACCAAGAATATCTGTGTATACCAATTCGCGTGGTTTCTGGGACTTATTGTGAGCTTCTTTAGGTACAGGTTTGCATGATTGCTTTCCAAGCGCATGTTTCACACACTTTCTTTAATTTGTCTTCGCAGTTAACTGTGCGTTTGACATCATCTTTGTTCAAATGTCCGAGGCGTTGATGCCACAGTTGAAAATCTCCTTTCATTTCTCTTTTATTCTGGTTGCTTGTAATGGAATTACAGGAACTGGATCTTTGGAATATGATCTCTAGATAAAATAAACCTGCGTTTTGTTTAGGGCAATTCCTGGACCATGATTTAACATCAACTTTGCTTCACACTCTTTGAATACGAACTTATGTCCAAATTTGACAGCTCGGTTGACAGAGAGTAGGTTGACTTCATAATTTGGCACATAAAGGACATTTCAGTACCATCTCTACTTCTTCTCCATCGTTCAATAAAAGCTTTACTGGTACGTCACCAATACCTTCGATAGGTGTTAATTTTCCTTTGGATCCTTAACATTTTTGTATTGCATGGTTTTAAGTTGTCGAATAGTTCCTTTTTGTAATGATGTGATCTGTGCAACCGGTATCAATGATGATATAATTCAATCTTCTACTGTCACTATTTATTCCAGTGCCACTGTTCATGCATTGAGAGTATGATGAGAATGAATTTGGTCCTCTTGTTGAAGGTTCTTCGGTTTTATTCTGACTCCTACATGCTCTTGATAGATGTCCCTTTTCTTGCACTTTGAACAGAAAGCTGAACTTCTTTACTACATTGCTTGGCAAAATGACCAGGAGTCCACAAACATAACAAGTTCCTTTTGCTTGATTGGGGCTTTGTTTTTGCCTGATGCATTTCCAGAATGCATTGCTATTGCGCTATCTTCTTTTTCTTTGATCCGACTATCCTCGTAATTCTGTAGTCGAGTTCTCAGTTCTGAGAAGTTAGCTGCTGGTTGAAACTTTCTTGAACCACGAAGTGTTCAAATTTTTCTGGAAGTCCATTAATGACTAGAGCATTAAATAATGTTTCTGATATATTTTCTCCGGCTTCAGTGAGTCGAGACATTAATTCTTGTGATCGTATGAAGTATTCGGATAACTTTTCACTTTCACCTAATTGTAATCGAGATATTTGTCGAACTAAACTTACTACAGTTGGTTTTTCTACGTTAGAAAATCTTTGTTGCAGTAGACGCCACGCTTTTGCTCCGTCTCCGACACCATCTGGCGACAAGCAGTCATGTCGTATGTATAAAAGGCTGTTGTTGTCAAGAGCTAATGCAATATGACACCATACCGCGTTGTTTCTTTCTTTGATTTCATCGATTTGTTGATTTCTCTCGCGTACTTTTGTTTCCCATTCGGGCCTTTGCTCACTTGTAGCGTCGACTGTTAACGGTGTAACTTCTTGAGGTATGACTTCTCTCCCGATGAGAGCTTTGTACAAACCTTTCGTTTGCATGTATGCAGTAAATTTTGTGCTCCATGCCGGATAATTCTCGGCTGTTCCATCGAACACAAGCCACTTTATTGTTTGACTATCCATAAATACGGTCTTGTACTATTTCTGTACTATTGCTGAGCTTTTTCTGGGCTATTCCTTTGCTACCTGAGCTACTTCTGGGTTTCCTGGGCCCATAACCTGTTAGATTATGAACTTTATTCATAGAGAAGGATTCGTATTGATTTTACAACAACAATATATATATGTACATGTGTAGGAAGTATGTAAGATCGTACGATTGTCACGTGTCCACTGATCTGTATCTAATGAACTGAATTAACATTAACTTTAACAAATGAAATACTTTATGTTATATTGTATCATGTTAACAATTGATAACTTAATAATTCCATCGAGGGATGTCTACATTATGATAAATACTGCTGTCAAATACACAGTCAAAAGATTTCGACAAAACTCTATGATAGGTAAACATAATTACATTTCTTATTCCCGTGCTGTCGTTTACTTTAATAATACCAATGATTTAAGAAAAGTAATTGTACAATTAAAAATTGTAAAACATCATTTTATCATTAGATGTCGAAATGCCGTCAACACAATTTGAGTTTGTTCTAAGCAATACAACTGTTACAGTTCTTCATGAACCATCATCTAATTTTATTGGGGTCGTGTTCTTGGTTATACACAAGTTACCCTCGTTGATAAAAGTATCTTTTTGTGTGTACTTCTGGACTGAGAGGTAGGTTTTTGTTCTTTGGTATGTACAAGTCACCCTTGTTGATAAAAGTATTCTTTTGTGCACACCATGGACTGGGTGGGTTGACAATTGTCGCGCGAGGGGAGGGGGGAGGCTGGCTAACATTTATATATGCATGTTCTTATTAGCTTCTCTTAAAATCATTGTGTATGTACGTATCTCTGTTTCACTGTACAATACAATAGACAGCATGTACTTATGGTACGTCAGTAGATACTTGTAGTACATTACGTAGGTACTTTTAAGGATACTTTGGTTTATTCTTTAACGTTATGATGAGACATGAAAGATCAAATATCTACAAGACAACCAACAGCTTATATTTATGTTGATGAACCTCATCTAGGTAATTCTTGAATTCATAACTGTTTAAAATGATTATGGACATCGTGATTTGCACGTGCTTGATTCATTATTGAAGCGTGTTCGTGTGACGTCACTGAGCGCAAGTTGTGACGTTTGCAAGGCAAAACTTTTGGCGCCAAATTTTGTTTTCAAACACGAAACGACGTTAAAATTTCAAAACTTGGGCGAAGAAATTGCGTTAGAAAAGGATTTGGAAAAATTCTTATTGATTTCATTGAATGAAAGAGTTAAAGCACATTTACCTGTGACGTTTTACACGAGTTGTACATGTTTAAGTTTTGATTTGTAAAATATCATTGATATTTTCAGCTTAACATTTATAGAAATCTCACAACTCTCTCGTATTAACTTGAACATTTGCTAACTATTTGAAACCACATCAATAGTCTTATGAAAGAAATCTTCAATTTTCGTGCGTTGCTTAAGCTGTTGTTACTGTTGCTTCATCACGTAAATATTTATCACATAAACTCAAGCAAAATCAAGAAAGTTTTCATGTAATGTTAACATTGAGATGATTCCGTCTCTATGATTTTTTAGGATTTTCTATCACGTGAATATGTTCAATAATAAAATATAATAAATATATTTATTATAAGAGCGGATTCGTCGAGCTAGTCGACACAGATGATGAAGTAGAGCTCAGCAGGTCTCTCCCTTCCGTGGATAATTTCGAGGGCGATAGCCGGCAACGCTAAACACGCGTTTCTTGTGTTTCTTGCATTTGAATATTAATAAGTAGGCAATAATTGAGCCTATGACACGAACGATGGCAGCCACGGATACAACAATGTAAAGGGAAATTCTTGAACTCTGAACTGATTCGTCCTTCTCAACTGGTTGTTGCTGGAGCATGCTGATGGTGCTGGAAAAAGTCTGGTTTGCTGTAAAAAGAAATGTGTGTAAACAAATAGTTGCAAACCTTGTTTTTGAAAATAGCTACAGTCAAACAGTCTTTGTCAAAAAATCACGTGTCATATGTAGATCACGCGTCAATGATAACACCTTTTTTATGGAAATAATCGTGGAAGTGAGATTGAAATTCATTGCTCTTAAAATTTCAAATAAAGTAAAAATCTCTAAAATAGCAGTTGCCCAGACAACGTGGAAACGTTTTTTCGCTATTCGTAAAAATCATTGTAGTTTTTTCAGAGTTTTGTTGCTCCTTGTGAAAACATACAATGCGTTGATTGGTGTCAGAGTGTTAGATATAATTATATGTTATTTACCGGTTGGGAGGATGGAAAAATATTTTCCCGAGGTCTCAAAAAAAGCCCGTGGCCGCAGGCTGAGAGATATTTCTGAGACCGAGGGGAAATATTTTTCCATCCGAGCAAATCTAAATAACGTATATATTTTTGCTAAAATAAACAATGAAAACTTTGCTCTTCATTTTACTTGTGCAAACTCAAAATTCACCTAAAATACATTATTATAATCAAAAGATGGCTGATAATTTCCTTTCGGAGTAAAACAAAACCAAACAAAACAGAAAAAGTCTTCGCTCAAGTATTAGCAAGAGGATTCCGGACAGCAGTCAGATATCGTAAAATTTCGGACCGCGATCAAATATCGACAAATCCCGATGGCTGCTACAGCCACTCAGATTACAGGAAAAGCTAGGATTCTGCTCGCTGCGAAATTTTAAAAAAACAAAAGGATTTATCCATATCGCAGTTAAATTCAGCTAGTCACTTGATTAACAGTCGAAATAAAACTAATGAAACCATTCGACTAGACCAGGGATCTCCAAACTTTACAGCCAGAGGGCCACATGAACTTTCATTCAGCATGTTGAGGGCCGACGAACCGTATACCGCAGGTCAAAGAGCGAATATTTTAATAAAACGAAGTACATTACACAAGCTTCATTAGTTAAGAAAATATTTATTCAAAATTTGAAGGTTAAATTTCAACCAAGAGTAGTATCATAACAAAATAACTATTAGTCTGTTCAGTTTTCTCCATGTGAGTGGTGAAATTGGCTTAAGTGTCTCTGCGGGCCGGATTTAGAGGCCGCATCTGGCCCGCGGGCCGTAGTTTCGAGACCCCTGGACTAGACAATAAGATCATGCAATGGTTGCGAAACTGCGTCAATGGTTTTATATGAGCGAAAAATAAAACATAAAAACGCACTCACCTGACATGGAGACTGGCGTCATAGGTCTTGGTAAAACGTGGAGGTAGAATCTTGTTTTATCATAACCCCGGTTATCGCCAACGACACAATAATAGTACCTTTCGTCTTTTTTGGTTACGTTATTGAAGAGAATATGCACACCATGATATCGTTTATTTCCACCTTTCCATATAAATTCGTCTTCGCTCAAGTTTGGATCCAGGACACGTACAGTTGCATTTTCTCCTTCGACGACAGCCCACTGAAAGTGCGGCAGACTATCGCTAAAAGCTTTACAAGTTGCCTTCACGTTGTCACCTTCATATGCGGTGATGTTCTTCATATGAGTAATTATAGGCTTTGTTATGAAGACTTCTGAAAAATCGATTTTAGCATGCTTTTTGTAAGCGATTTTTAAAAAAATAGGAAGAAAATTAAAGAAAGAATTGATATATATTAAAGCATTTGACATAGCAATTTTATTGGTGAAAGTCTCTAGATACCGATGTTATATGCTTTGTAAATAAGTCAATTAATATTCGGAAAGAGTGTAAAAACAGGTCCATTTTACTACATAAATTAAGAAACGTGAAAAATGCCTTGATGTTATCTGCAAGATTTAATTTCTATCAGTCACTTAGAAAGTAATTCAACCCAGAAATTTAGCATTCAAATAAACTCATGCGCCTTTATTTTGTATAATGGTCATTAAAGAAAGTGTGCTATCCTGCATGCTGCCCAAAGCACCCTCAAATTTTGCAATTTCAGGCTGTAATTATTCATAGAAGGACTGAGGAGAGTGAATTTCACTAAATTCCATCAACCACAATTCAAAAATCGAAGATGGCGTCTAACGATCAACCAGCAATTTTAAAGATTTGAAAAGCAATTATTCTAGTTTGGGCGCATAGTTTTCTTGGGAATTTTTATGGGTGTATGCTAAGAGGAAAAGTACAAAATTGTAAAATTTTCCATTTCTCAGATGTGTATCACGAAACTAAACAATTTGGTTTCATGGTCACGGCCTATCTGAAAGGAAAAGCATAAAACGAAGTTTTTTGAGTAACTACCTTTTGCTAGTACTGTGTATGTTGTTGAGATATTTCCCACTCTGTTCCACAAAAAACAACGGTAAGATCCGTCGTCTTTTGGATTTACATCGTGAAATATTAATACTTGTGTATCGTTCGCTAGAGGGTTTTTTCCATCCGGCATCTACGACATAAGTTGACCGTTTTTGTACCATTGCACCTTTGGTGAAGGTCGTCCATTAGCTTCACAGTTCATTGAAAACCGTTTTCCAACAGGAAAGTACTTGTGTTTCTTTTTTATCAAATGCGGAAATAGAAAAACGGGTGCAAAATCTATGAACATTTAGAGAGAGCAATGAATGTCCAGAAAAGAAAGGTATGTCGTTATGATAGCCACTCCAGATTCTGAATACACGATATTATAGGAGTGCCCTTTTTGGCACTTACCTTTAGTGATCTTGTCTACATGTGAGTCTGAAAAAAAATAAACATAATAGGAAAACAGGAAAGCACAAACTACAAGTCTTTGCCAGAACTTTGTAAAAAGAAAACCAGAAAATACAAATCAAAAGAAAGTTGAAGGTATAGCATTGTCGTGATCAAGGATCGAAGGCATTTAAACACTTACCCACGACAACAACGTTTATTATTCTGCTCACTTCTCCCGCCTTGTTTCTTGCCCAGCAAACGTATTCACCCAGCGTCAGCCATGTGATCTTTTTTATTCTCAGCACTGAGCACGTTACAGAGAATCTTTCCCTTGCGAGACTCGTTTTCAACTTCAACCTTTGTGATGTTCGTTGTGAACGATGGAAGTTTCGTACTATTGGCTAAAATTGTTTTGAAAAAGATCGTCATTTCCACTAATTTCAATAATTCCAATAATAATAAAAAATTCAGTAATACAGAAGGAAAAACCGTCGTAAGATTAGCTGGATTGCAGAATTGTGTCGCAAAATTTAGTAATTCATATTAATTTGCTGGTGAATTTATCTGGTAATTTTCTTGGTAATACTTAATGACATTAATTATTCATAAAATATATTATGTTCATGTTGTTTAATATTCGCATAATTTAAACATCACACGAATGTTTATCACTTACAAATCATTTTCATGTACGGCCCAAACATATCTTCTTCATAGGTCATTTCAGTGTCAGTTTCATTACTGCGATCAGATGAAGCCATATCATAGCTGCTGCTTGTCCAAATAATTTCAAGTGACGTAAATTTATCAAACAAACGATTTTTATTGTCTCTCAATGAAATACGAAGTTTCAGATCTTGAGGACTTCTTACGTGGAACTAAATATAACAAACATGGTGATTGTAGATACATGAATAATGAATTCAATAATAGAACATGCAGTAAATAGATAATGCTGCGGTATAGTCAATACATTGCAAACATATTTGTATTTTATTAAATCTATATTTGACACATCCTTAACATGACAATTTTCGTTCTCCTCATTTATGTATACAGAAAAAAATTTTTTCATTAAAAGTTACAAAGACATTTATGTTTCTCTAGAGATACCAAACAAATGAACAATTGCTAATTATACGTAACAAATACCTCTTTATAAGGACTCTGACAATCCTGTAAACTGTACGTACGATCCGTGATCTCGGGTAGTTGGACATCTGGTTCAGAGTTGAGGGTGGCAGGTATCATGCAGGCAAATCTCAAAGTGATATTAGAGCTCGCTGGATAGTTATTAGTGTGTGACGGATTATTGCCAATTGTAACCACAATATTTTGTTTCCCGAGCTCCTTACAAGTCACGTGATAATAATGTAGAGAGCTTTGTTCACCGAACGGATGTTGTGGTATCGCATCAGTTCTTATTGAGATCAGAGCTAACTTCTCAGAGTTCAATGAAGTACAAAATATATTATAATTAGTTACTAAAGTAATACAATGGATGTAATTAACTTTCTCATAATGAGTAGATCTGACATGAAACCATAAATGACGTGGTTACGTACCTTTCTCATAACGTGTTGATCTATCATGAACCCATGGTTGAGGTCCACCATGGGTTAAATTTGTTTGGATTTAATCTAACACAATATATATCTAAAAGCTCTATATTTTTTTATAGATACCTGTTAACATAAAGAAATTATGAAAAAATAATGGAAAAGCGATAATTGATTCGAAAGATGGACCTGGTTCTGATCCTTATAAATGTCAATGTCGTCATGGTTTCACTGGAAAATATTGCTCATTTGGTAAGTTTGTTCATTAGTACGATTTTTAAATGTAGATGTAAATGTAGATGTAGATGTACATGCACATGTAGATGTAAATGTAAATGTAAATTATGTAGATGTAAATGATGATGTAAATGATGTAGATGCTAATATAGATGTAAATGTAGATGTAGATGTACATGTAGATGTAAATGTAGATGTAGATGTACATGTAGATGTAAATGTAGATGTAGATGTAGATGTAGATGTAGGTGTAAATGTAGATGTGCATGTACATGTACATGTAGATGTACATGTAGATGTAGATGTGAACGTTAAACGCGAGTTGGAAGTGGAAGCTGTTACAATGTAGACGAAAATCGACAAGGTTAGAAAAACATATGATTCTGAAATAAAAGAAATTCAGAAGAATCATAAGAAGGAAATTGGTAAGGTAAAAATGGATACTCAATAAATTTTAAGTCTACGTACGTATGACGTTGATCAAACTAATCAGCGTTGATTACTCATCATTTGATTCCGCCAATTTTCTTGTTCATTTTTTTTTCATGAAAAAAATAAACAAATAATTATTTCTTCTAGATGCGCAAAGATTTTCAGGAAATAGTGAAGCTAAAAAACTCTTTGAAAGAGGAAAATGTTTGGTTTAAAAGCGAAAAAGAAGAGATGGATGGTAGGATTAAGAAATTACGAGAAAAATTAAAACAAACAAAACATCAACTGGATGAGTGTGTCAAACGAGAAAATGATAAAGAAGTAGAGTTGGAAGTTGCCCATAATAAGATTGAAGTAAGAGTAAGTTTTTTGTAACTTTGTGTATATGTGACACGTTTTTACGGTAAACAATCTATTACGTGTTGTATTCAATCTATCACGTGATGTATTAATCTATCACGTGGTGTATTCAATCTATCATGTGGTGTACTCAAAGATCCATTAAACTTTATCATATTCAAAGTTTTTCTATTGAAATTGTCTGATTCAAAATCGTTTCATTTCAGTCAATGAATCGTGAACGACATTAGACAACTTGAAAATTGAATACAATCAGAACAATATTGAACGGTTCCGGTTTGTTGCTTAACTTTTAACCCATTTTCCATCAAATTTCTACTTCTTTATCTTCTCTTTTATCCCATATCTTCCTAGGCCCGTTCATTACAGGATTTCATTTCACAATTAACAGAACTTCAGGAGCAATTTCAAACATTAGCGCAAGCTCAACATGAGACAAAATTACTTTGCAAGTAAAGTTCTAAAAAATTTACATATCCAAAAAAGTCACCCTGTTTTATATGGTGGACTTTATATAATCCATGTGGTAAACCGTATTATCCATTTAGTGAACCATATCATTAATTTAGTCTTAGTGAACCATATGATACATGTATTGAACCGTATAAACTATCAAGTGAGCCGTCTTATTATCCATGTAGCAAACCGTATTATCCATGTAGTGAACCGTATTATCCATATAGTCAACCGTGTTATCCATATAGTCAACCGTGTTATCCACATAGTCAACCATGTTATCCATGTAGTGAACTATATTATCCATACAGTCAACCGTGTTATCCATGTAGTGAACCATATCCATACTGTCAACCTTGTTATCCATACAGTCAACCGTCTTATCCATGTAGTGATCCGTATTATCCATATAGTCAACCGTATTATCCATGTCGTGAACCATATTATCTATATAGTCAACCGTGTTATCCATGCAGTAAATTGAATTATCCTAATCATAAAACAATTTTCTACATCGTCAAGGCAAAAGGACGAGAAGATCAAAAAAGAAAAACAGCGTCGAATAGAAACTGAATTGATTTGTGAAGTGAGATAGTTGTTATTTATAATATTATCTATTTCAAGAAATACAGCATTGATTGCATAGTATTTTCTTCTAATTTTTAGTTTCTTAGAATTGTTGTTTTCATCGATTTTGTTATTCGAATTTTTCGAAATTGAAATCTCGTGAAAAACATCTTAAAGTGAAACACGATGTGACGGAAGTGATGTGCCGATGTGATGTGCTTCATTGTAAATGAAGCACATCAGGTCAACTATATTCAAACTTTCTCAACAGCAAAATTCAAACGAGACACGAAAACACGAGATTAAGTATTCAATAGCAATCTATAATAAACGCATGAAAAAAAATTTTCGTTGCCAATGTCCTTTAATATAAATGATTGGATTTACAGAAACACCAACTTCAAGGAAACGTTGTGATGAAAGAAAAAGAAATGCAAGAAGTATGTATTTTGAATGATTTTGGTTTTTTGAAATGCATAATTGCTTTTCTCTGTTAGGAACTTACGACGAAACATTGAAACATTACATTGGGGCGGTCAACTGTAAATCTGGTCGTGCTATGCAAATTTTTCTGTGTTTAATCATTGTAAAAACATTTTCTTTAAAAATGATTGATGATTGTGCTCTAAACTTTACATACCAGGAGTTCTACTTGCGGGCTTGCTACGCTAATGAAACATTTGTCAGCCTGTTTTCCACTTGCCACATATTGTAACGCATCGTAGCAAAACGTAACATGGCGCATGCGTACTTACGAATTTGATGGTCAATAGGCGCAAGCACGCATGCGCCATGTTACGTTTTGCTACGATACCTTACGATACGTAGCTAGTGGAAAACAGGCATAAGTCAGGTTTTTTTATTGCCGATTTGATTTTATGACTTACCCATGGATTAGAAATGCTGCCTAAAAACATTCGTCTTTGCGAACTTCTTTGCCTTAGCATTTCATTTAGAACTGTGAAATTTCCTTAGATAGAGATGCATGAATATAATCTGTACGTTTTTGTTTGCTGTTGATTTTAAGAAGCGCGATTTCTTTGTCGCACTCCAAAAGTACGTATGAGAGTTATGGAACATTTAGAGTCCGTTGGGTCTTACTGATTTAAATGCTGAAAAGTCGTCTCGTGCTCTACGTATAGATATACTTTTGTGTCCTCGTTGAGAAAGCTTTTTCTTCAGGCTGCAGCATTGAGTAAAAAATTGCAAAATCGACTGAATGAAAAGACAGAAGTTGAGGAAGAGTTAAGAGGCGAAATCGAGAGAATGTTGTCGGAAAAAGATATAATTGATCGTGAAAGAGAAGAGTTTAAGTTTGAACTGGAACTATCGCAAAATAAAGTGGAAACTTTAATATTGAAGATGTCGACCTGAACACTGAGATAGATGCTAGTAAGGTACGGACGTATGTTGTGAAAAAAACTGCCAATGTTCATATATATATATGAAGGGCAGGCACATTGTATATACACTTTGTATATATATATATATATATATATACATAAAAGATAACAGTTTCTCCGGATTTTAATTGATTTTTTATTGAGCTTTCGACTCGTTGCTTCGAGCCTTCATCAGAATGAGGATATTTATTTACACGTGCTTTTTAGCTTGAGACGTTTAGAGCGTCTAATTGGATTAGTGGGTGGATTAATGTGATTGGATGGGGTGAAATGCGTTGCCATGGGTTTTGTGTGTTGTTAATATGATTGGTGTTAGTAATAGAGTGTAGTGTTTTAGTTTTGGTGTTGTTTGTAGTTTTTTTGTCCTTTGTCTTTAGTTGTGAGTATATGATGGGTATGTCGATACGTCTGTTTATTGTGTCGTTGTCTTCACTGTACCAAGCTTCTTTAAATTCGCGTGCGTGTTTAGTCTGGGCGCGTCCGAGTACTTTAGTTTCTGTCCAGTCGAATGTGTGGTTGTTTCCGTGGGTATGTTCTGCCGGTAGTGAGTTCGGATCTCGTCGTTTTATGGCGTTTTTGTGTTCTGTTAGTCTTGTTTCAATTTTCTTAGATGTTTGTCCTATGTATTGCTTCGAACAGTCTTTGCATGGTATCATGTAGATTTCGTCAGTTGTATCATGAATTGTTGTTTTGTCTTTATGTTTGGTGAAGCATGATCATATTAACAACACACCAAAACCCATGGCAATGCATTTCACCCCATCCAATCACATTAATCCACCCACTAATCCAATTAGACGCTCTAAACGTCTCCAAGCTAAAAAGCACGTGTAAATAAATATCCTCATTCTGATGAAGGCTCGAAGCAACGAGTCGAAAGCTCAATAAAAAATCAATTAAAATCCGGAGAAACTGTTATCTTTTATGTATTCAATGCCTGGATTACAAATTTTCAAACTTATATATATATATATTGGTAAGAAGAAGAAAATACACAAAAACTACAATTTCATCCCGACAAGCCTGTTTCGTGATTGCTCACTCTTCAGGGGATTTAATGAATAAAATACTTAAATGCTTAAATATATATACAAGATGATGACGGAAGCTAGTGTATTAATCAAGGTGTATAGTTTCAAGTTAGATGACGGAAGTTAGAGTATTAATTACGGTGTATGGTTACAAATTACATAGGAGTGTTTTGGATCTATGGCGACAAGAGGAAATAAGTTCGTTGCGTTTATTGAGGGATGATTTGGATGGTTGGTACAGGATGAAGAATTTTTCTTTAAGGCAAAGGTTGCATCTTTACTGGTGCTGTTGTATGGTTTGCTGTGTGTAATGATGTTCCATGAGATGTCGTGGTCGATATTGCTGTCTTTAAGGGTCCAAATGTGCTTACTGAGCTCGGTCGAGTTTCGTAGTTTTTTGTGGCGGAAAGAGGCAGTGTGATTTCTATGTCTAGTCTTAAATTCGTTTTCTGTAAGTCCAATGTACGTCTCAGTTGTGTTATTGTCTTTGCGTTTTACAGTAGCTTGGTAAACAACGGATGACTGCAGGCAATTTCCGTTAAGTGGGCAGTTTTGTTTTTGTCGGCAGTTGCATGTTTTTGTAAGTGTCTTTTTGTTCGCGGTGTTGTCGTTAGTTTTGTCTGATGTTCTCAGTATATGTTTGTTATGGTTGTTGATTATTTGTTCGATGTTGTTCATGCAGCTGTAGCTGAGTTTGATGGTGTTACGGTTGAATATTTTCCTGAGTTTATGGTCTATGGGGAAGTGTTTGTCGATTAATGAAAGGAATTTGTGGCCGATGTTCGTGTAGACGTTTTTGCTGAATGGAGGGTTGTACCAAAGTATATTTTGTCGAAGTCTGTTTTTCCGTTTGGTAGTAGCGTCTGAGTCGAATTTTAGTGTGTATCGGTATCCGTTTTCGTCGAGTGCTTTTTGGTATGGTGCAGTTATTTGGTCAAATGATGCTTTGTCGGATGATAGTGAAGATAGACGTTTGTTGATGGCGTCGGGTATGTTCTTCGTTATGGTTGGTGGATGGTTGCTTTCGCTGTGGACGTATTGCAGAGAAGAGTTGGGTTTTGTGTAAGGGCGATATGAAAATTGTTAAGATTGAAGGTGATGTCGAGGAAGTTGATGATTTTTTGTTTGCTTCAATAGTTATGCGTAGTCCATTGTTGTTGAATATCCGGCATATTTCCTTTTAATGTTCTCTGTTTCTCGTGGTGGTGTTTGAAATGGCAAGTCCGTCGTCTCGATAAAGTCCTATGTCTGTTGTGATGTTTTGTAGTTGAGAAAGGAGTTAGCTTCCTACGAGTTCGCATGTCTCAGCTCCGTCGAAGCTACCCATTGTGACGTCGAATGTAGAGTTATGTTTTTTTTGCCAGGGTTGTTTGTTGTGTATAAGGAATGAATTCTTAGCGTGTATAATGATGTTTTTTTCGGCGTTTGTGATGTTGTCGTAGGATGAGGCGAAATCCAGTGCTTTGTTTAGTAGGTCTTGATTAATGGATGGATAAAAGTCTACGATGTCGAAGGATATGAAGGTGACGTTTTTTTTGTGTTTGATAGATTTGAACCACTGGATCACAGATGATGAGTTTTTCCATTGGTTGTATGAGGTTGTTTTTATGATGTTGCTGTTAATTCTGTCCAGTATTTTCTTGCTAATTTTACCAACTTCAGATTTTGTTGGGTTGATAAGTCGGCAGGTTGGTTTATTCGTAAAGTTTGGTTTATGGTCTTTGAGTGAATTTTTATTTTACTCTGTCAGATATACCAAGGGTATATCTGACAGAGTAGAAGCCACTGCCCATAAAAATGCATGTAGTTTTTGTGCATTTTCTTCTTCTTACCAATATTTACGCTCTGCTCTCGGGCATCGAGCACTGTTTTATACGGAAAATCATAAATTATAAACTACCTACAAAGTGTATATATATATATATATATATATATTATTATGGATAATATTCCTGGATAAAAGAGCGCTCAATATTCTATATATTAGAAGAGCGTAAGATAAAATGAACTAAAATAAAATGGACAATTGTTTGCTGTCGATCGATTGATTGTTTGCCTGAAGATCGCCCTACGGCGTGAAACTCTGAGTAGCGACAGCAAACAATTGTCCATTTTATTTTAGTTCATTTTATATATATATATATATATATATATATATATATATATATATATACAAAGTGTATATACAATGTGCCCTCCCGGCTATCACCGCTTTAAAACAGTGACTCCTGCACTTGGGACACAGGACGTACGGTTATATATATTATATATTCGTACGCATATTAGTTTTAAGTAATTTTTTTAGACGACAAAAAAACATATCGTAATAAAGTAAATTGTTTGATCCGTAAATGTAAATGTTTGAAAATGTAATGTTTAAAAAGTAAATGGTTTGACCACGACAAAAAAACAGATCATCGTAAAGCATAATCAAACTCGCCTCGTTTGTTTATTGTATTTTATTGTGTAAAAATTCCCAGTGTCACACGGCGTGTATATCTTTAGAGACATAATATGTTTATGCGTGTATTGCTGTGCAGGTAGCCGCACAAATATTTTATCGCTAATTATAAATTGTGTTCATGATTTAAGAATGATTACAAAAAATCGAAAATGAAAAATGATCGTCAGGCAAGCGTTATTTTACAATTTGAAAGTAAGTTACGCGAACATCAAGATAGTATTTGTGAACTGGAGGCGAGGCTTCGAGGTGAGGAGACAATACGACGTCAGCTTCATAATAAAGTACAAGAGTTGAAGCGTCTATTGTCGTGTTCGGCCAAGTCTGCCTTCAGAAACTAGCGTTTCGCTCACTAATATGGAGTTCGCCAATGACACTGATATTATTCTACGCAATAACAGCAAGGTATGTGTTTATTTATGTAGACCTTTCAATCTTTTATTGGGAAAATTACGCTGTTATCAAAAATACGTACGCACATAAACATACCAACGTTGTTTGGTGAATATTGAAGATTGATTCAAATGTTTTGCGAACTTTCCTGTTTAGTCTAGTACTTTGTCTAAGAAAAACCAACAAGTCAGAAGGTCATTTTCATTTGACAAACATTTTTGTCCAGAAACCACTCAAGTAACAATTTATCAAGAAACAGCACAGCTAGTTCAAAGTGTGCTTGATGGATACAATGTTTGCATCTTTGCGCATGGTCAGACTGGATCAGGTAAAACATTTACCATGGAAGGTGATATCAACGGCCGTGATACGTGGGGTGTGATACCACGTGCTATGGAACAAGTCTTCTTTAGTGCCGAGGATCTCATGAGTAAAGGTTGGAAGGTAATAAATGTCAATTTTGTACACATAAAGTATCTTATTTATGACGACAGTTGACATTCCAGAAAGATACATGTAGCTCACGACACATGATTATGTTAAATCGCTCGATTGGGGTTTTTCCAGCCATTTATTCCATCATGATTTTTCCCAAAACTTTATGTAGTACGAGATACAAGCGTCTTTTCTCGAAATATACAGCGAGACAATACGTGATCTCCTTAGAAACCCAGACAGCACAAACAATGAGATTAAACAATGAGATTAAACAAGTAACCACAAACAATGGCAAACAAGGCAACGATGTGTTTGTTACCAACTTGAAAGCCGTTGCCGTTACATCATCCGATCAAGTAAGTAGCATTCTATTTCGTCATCGGCCTAAGTCGTTACGGGGCCGTACGAAAGGCTGTAACACGTGTGCGCAAGCAAGATTTTTTTTGAAGAGGTTTTTCACTTCAGTTTTTTGGAATTTGCGGTTGTGGAGTGAGTTATCTGTGTTGCTTTAAGTTTATATCGTTTTAGTTTATGTTTTCTATGTTTTTTTTAATCTTTGTTTCGCCTTAGTTTTACGTTTTTAGCTCTCTATTATTGAAGCAAATGATGATATCGTTGAATTTCATAATTAGTTTTCTCATACTAACATGCCGGCTACGTACGTCTCCTACGTGAATCGCCATCTTCTATGTAACGCAAAAAATTATGTGTTTGTAAATGTAGATTGTCCAGATTGGTATAATCCTGATATGTTTGTAAATGTTGATCGTCCAGGTTAATAAACCCGGACCGACTACTAGACCAATAATCTTACAACCCTACATCACACAAAGCCACCACAATCAGAACATTAACAAGACGTGCATAAATCATATGTGATTCACAGGACGCTTTACAATAGGAAAACAACTATCTCAAACGTGTTTTCGACAAAAACAACTATAACTCTGACTTTATCAAACGCAACACGTACAAACCCAACGAACCCAACGAAACGAACAACTCAGTGACAACAGCAACGATACCTTACATCAAAGGTACGTCTGAGAATATCTCGCGTATCTTACGACCATACAACATACGTGTCGCACATAAACCAATCACAACGTTACGACAAGTACTAACGAACATAAAGGACAAAGAACAACCCAACGAACGACAAGGTGCAGTTTACAAAATAAACTGCTCCGACTGCCACGCCTCCTATATCGGGGAAACTGGCAGGAACTTAAACATAAGACTTACTGAGCACAAACGAGCTACTAAGAAACAAGACAAAACTAATCACATTGCCGAACATCACCGAATCACAAAGCACAACATTGACTGGGACTCGGCAAAATGCATCACTTACAGTACTGAATATAGACAACGGCTTACATTAGAAAGTTGGTACACCAACTTGGAACAAACCCCCCTGAACAGATCACAGCAATTGCTGGCACCTTACAAACGACTTATTCACAAAACAAACAAACGATCAACTAAAAAATATCACACTTCAAACTAATTAACAATGACAAAGAAGCAAAGAAGCAAAAAACAATAGTGACAAAATAAGCAAAACGTCGAAATATAAAGCTAACCCTAACCCTAACCCTAACCCTAACCCTAACCCTTACCCTAACCCTAATCCTAACCCTAACCCTAACCCTAACCCTAACCCTAAACCTAACCTAAACCTAACCCTAACCCTAACCCTAACCCTAACCCTAACCCTAACCCTAACCCTAACCCTAGCCCTAACCCTAACCCTATAAACATTGTCCTCTTCATTGATTTCTTCTTTATTGATTTCTTTCAAACATTGTCCTCTTTAGGGAATTATTTATCAAGTATTTCATCATGGGTGATCAGATGTTCATGGGAACTCAGCCCGAATGCTTTCTGTTTGGCGATAACAGTGACTAGAGCTTTCTACCGTCAAAACCAGCTTCGGTGTAAACAATTATTTGTTACATAACAAATAGATAACAAATAAATAACAAATAAACAAATAGATTATTTGTTACATGACAAAAAGATATTAATTATACAGTAAGAGCTGTTTAACTAAAGAAATGACGAAAAGTTTGTTTGATTATTAACTTTGGAATCAGGCAATTTCATTTTCATTATTTGTGTAAGAGAATGAAGAAAATTAGTTTGATGAAAGACAAGGAAGGCTTGCTTTAAATGAAAATGCATATTGTTTTGCAGCTGTATCTGTCAAGTTGCTGCATCAACGAGTTGTTGTTTCGTTTCGTCCGTAGGACAATGGTTTATTCGATTTCAACCACTAAGAGGCTTAACTACTGAAATTTACATCTATAGTTTGACACAATGTTTCTTCTTCGATTACTCTGTGGGCAGACTTTTTTTATTGTTTGTATGTCACTTACCTTGACAACTTGAACAAAGTCTTTGTTTTTGTTTTCCAACTGCTCTGCTGCTAAATTTGTCTAGAAACAACAACACGATCTCCCCCCATTGTGTCAAATCGCTTATGTTAAGAATGTGAAGCATAGCATATAAATAATGTGTAAACATTTATTTTGCTATTGATAGTCATATTTTGTTCAAACTTTTTTGTTTGTATTACAACTAAACAAACTTTGGAGATTTTCAAGTTTCAAACTTAAGATTTGAGTTTAATAAAAAGCCAACTAATTTGTGGTTTGGTTTTCCATCATAACTTAAATCTTAAATTTGCAAGATGAGAATCATCAAGGAGTTTTTCATTTTGTATCGTGTTGTAAATTGATAGCATCCGACGGATATTGTTATGTTTTTTATTTAAATTTATGAATGTTGTTATTCCTTATGACCTTAGAATAAACATACAATGCATTATTTCTATACAATGCAATACAATGCAGAAGAGTAAACATACAATGCATTATTTCTATGTTGCCTTTTTTTGCAATTTTTTTAGTTTCCATATCAAGAATCTTCAAATTCCGAACCTGCAAAAATGCTGCAGAGCTTGTTGAATTTACGTAAAGATTCTTTAAGTCTTGTGAAGTATGTATTTAAAGTTGTCACATGGGAGTTGTAGTAAGGAGGAGACATTTCCCCAGAAATTCTGTTGTTTTCTAGAGTTGTCATGCGGGAGTCTGGAGTGAGAGGTCACATTTCCCAAAAACTGCTGTTGTTTTCTAGAGTTATCATGTGGGAGTCCGGGGAGAGAGGTGACATTTCCCCACAACTGCTGTTGTTGTCTAGAGTTGTCATATGGGAGTCTGGGGAGAGAGGTGACATTTCCCCAGAACTGCTGTTGTTGTCTAGAGTTGTCATATGGGAGTCTGAAGAGAGAGATGACATTTTCCCATAACCAAACTTACGGCCAACCTGCTGAAAAAAGGACCCAAAGTTTTGAGCAAGAGCACCATATAAGAGAGTCGACAGTACCACTGCATTATACACGGCGATCTTTGTAGTAACTTTAATGTCATGCGAAGACCACAGACGTTTCCACAGCCTGCCGAATGACGAACTGGCACACTGTATGCGGTTGTCAAGTTCTTTGTCAATGGAGCAGTCGCTGGTGACAGTACTGCCAAGATACTTGAATGATTGAACGTTTGATAGCGAAGTGTCATTGACAGTGATCGGGGACGTGATCGGTGAGTACGAGAGAGACATGACTTCTGTTTTCTTCGTGTTGATGATAACGCCGAATGATTTGGTAGCAGCCTCGAAGTTATCAATCATCCGCTGAAAGCATTCCTCCGAGTTGGCAACAAAAGCGCAATCATCTGCATATTGAAATTCTCTCATCAGTGTCCGCGTGCATTTGGTGCTGGTTTGGAGGCGACGAAGGTTGTAGAGTGAGCCATCCATCCTGGATCGTATGTATATGCCTTCTTCAGGTATGTTTTGAAAGGCATATGTAAAGAAAGCAGTCGCAAAGAGGGAGAAGAGGGTGGGAGCAAGTATACAACCTTGCTTCACTCCATTTTTGTATTGAATGTCACGAGTCAACTCGCCGCCTACCGAGATCTTGACGCATATTTTGATATGTAATCAATTTAAGATATCCACAAATTTTGGTGGGCAGCCCATTTTTGCGACGATGGTCCACAGTGCCTCACGGTTCACAAGATCAAACGCTTTGGTAAAGTCAACAAAAGTCATGTACAGCTTTTGGTTCTGTTCTCTCGATTTCTCGATGAGCTGTCGAAGGGCGAATATCATATCACTCGTTCCACGATTTCGGCGGAATCGACACTAGGTTTCTGGCAGTACTGCTTCGTCAATCATTAGAGTGATTATTTTCCCGGCTACAGCCAACAGACTGATGCCTCTATAATTGTTGGGGTTATGGCGGTCATTCTTCTTGAAGATGTTGATAATGTTTGCATCACGGAGTTCAGCAGGAATGGTCTCATCGGACCAGATCTTTTCAGTTATGCCATGTAGATGTTTTGCAACCAAGGGTCTTCCGCGCACAAATAATTCTGATGGAATTCCATCAGGGCCCGCACTTTTGTTGCACTTGATATGTTTGATGGCATTTTCAACTTCTTCGAGAGTGGGAACATCACCAAGAGTGTCAATTATAGGTCGTTGAGAGAGGTTGTTGATGACATCCTCATCATAGACGCTGGTCTCACTCAGAAGCTGTGTGAAGTGCTCAGTCCAACGTTCTCGGATGTCGTCGGATGTCATAAGGAGCTTGGTACCGTCCGAGTTGAGCAGCGGGACAACGGAGCTCTTTTTTGGCCCGTAAATGACGTTCAGCGACCGAAACAATTCCTTCGCATTTCCAGTGTCAGTATATCTTTGGGTCTCTTCTGCGCGTTCTTGCCACCATTTGTCTTTCATAACTCGGAGTCTGTTCGCTATGGTCCTCTTTATTTCCTTTAGTCTGTCACCGATTTTATTCATTCTTGTTTTCATTAGTTCGGCGATTTCTACGTCATTCTCATCAAACCAGTCCTTATGAGAATGTTTTTGGTAGCCAAGGACAGTCTTAGCTGAGTTAAGAAGAACCGTTTGAAAATTTGTCTTTTTCCTGTTTTTCTACAAAACTCCACGGCAATAAACAAAATTCCTCGGCAATAAACAAAACTTCACGGCAATAAACAAAAGTCCACGGCAATAAACAAAACTCCAAGCAATAAAAAAACTCCACAGCAATGAATCTTGTAAGCTTACTGTATCTTTCAGCTTCCTTAAAATGGTTTTCCGACTCTTCAGTTTCAGATTCTCACGTTGCTTTAAGAACTAAGGCTCTTTTACACCTTCTGGCTATAGGAGTGTCTAAATTCATTGGTGTCAATGCTATAGCATTGCACCATCGACTAGATCGTTCAAAATGTGATGTTATTTGTCAAATTAATGTTACCCGCGGTTAGTTCGAAGTATATATAACTGAGACTACTTTGATTTACACGTGTTGATATCATTTTAAAATGTTTATTTCTTTTTAAAAGTTTATCCAAAAAAAAGTTTATTTTGAAAAGTTGAAAGTAAAACAAAATCATTATTAACATTACTCCCATGATCAAAGCCTAAATACACCAGTGATACTTAACCGCTAAATATGTTAAAATTTGAGAAGTTGTAAAAACCTAGTTTTAAAAAATGTAAGAAAACCTTTTCACTCACAATTGTATTGATTAAAGAGCTGGAAGACAGATAGGGTGCTGGTGTGGTACATAAACAGAGTTGCCCACAATGTGGTTGTGAAAGTGAGATTTGGAGGGCTGGTGTTTACAGTTCAGCTAGTGGTTGCATAGGTGTTTATTCTGAAGACGAATCGTTCACTTGCACTGAGTGTACTTATTGTGCTGAACAAAACTAGGAAAGCAACAACTGACGCAATTTTATCAATGAACTTCAGTTATTTAACTACCACTCACTAGAAACTAAAGAACAAATTTTATTGATTTACAGAGAACATACCAATTTATACTTTCCTTTTCATCCAAGATAGCTTACATATTTTCATATGAGGTAAATCTGATGTACCATTCTGAGGGAAAATGTGCTGCTGTTGCGCAAATAGGCAGCAGTCAATTGTGACTTTTTTAGCTTGTTACTCGGAGACTGGTATATCTTGAGGAATTTAAGAAGGGGTTAGAGTTATTTAGTCTTTGCAAAGCTTTGGAAGATAACACTGGAATAGGCAAAAATTTATTCATCTGTCAGCAAAACAAAGTCGATGCCTATTTTGTTGATTCCACTCTCTACCCACACTTCTCCGAGCAAGGTTCAAGTAGAAGAACCAAAGAGGAAGCTGCATTTAACAAACTTTCACGATTTCATAATGTCAACCGAAGATGAGGTTATTGCAGGTTTCAATGAAAAAGTGGCATGGGGTGACATTGAAAGCACTGATGATTGGAACAAATGCAAGTGCAGTCAAACTGCTGATATTTTCCCAAGTGTAGTCTTGGGTTGGCTTACGGGTCGAAAGTATCAACCATAAGATGACCAGAAGCTTTCTGTATCAGTTAACTTCGATCATGATTGCTTGCAAAAAGAGCCCCATAATACTATTTGCTTCCCTATAGTCAGCGCTTGTACTCAGACCATCAACTTTCCTGTCTGTCATATGGTAAATCCTGAAGAATTCAAAAGAATAATGTTGCTGGCATTAGGCCAGGGACAGCCTTTGCAAAACCTTGACTCTTCTTATGTGTCTATGGAATTAATATTTTTTTACAATTAATCAAAAATATAAGTCTTAAAAATGTTCATGTTTTTTATTGGTTTGTTGGAAGAACTAATACATGCAGCTGAAGATTTGTTTTAAATTCCTCAAAATGAGATAACATCATTACAGAAAAACTAGTTTTAACCGATTTGTATGAATTCAATGTTTTCTTAGAAATAAATACTAATGACTTCCGTGTCTTATCTGGGAAAATGTTCGTTGGTCTTCCACATAAATCACTCAAAAATTAGTCTGTCTCAAATGAAATGTTGTCTATGAAAATTTGTTTACTGCAAAACATATATTTAAAGTTTGCGTTAGTCTTTAGCCCGCAAAGTTGTGACTTCTATGAACTTAATTTTATGGCAGATGATAAATAATGGAAATACCCAATAGCAATTTGCAAATAGCAGTTTTTGCCTACTCGGGAGGGGGAGAGGCAGCAAACCCTTATAAGTTTTCTGTATCAGTTAACTTCGATCATGATTGCTTGCAAAAAGAGCCCCACAATACTATTTGCTTCCCTATAGTCAGCGCTTATATAAGGGTTAGGGTTACTAATTCTTTAAGAGTGTATTTACTAATAACCTATATAAGGGTTACGATAGTAACCCTTAGTTCATAATTTACTATACTGTATCATATTTCATAACACTATCATGTTGGGGAGGCTGAATACAAGACTGATGTGACAATGCTCATTCCATACAAATCTTTTCTTCAGACAAAATTTTCAAAAATTATTATCAATCCTCGCTTTAACTAAATCGTCGAAACATATAGTTTGCTGTGGAAATAATAATTAACATTTACATGAAAAATTAACACTACGTATTTGAAAAGTTGACACTACGTGACTCCACCCTTGACATATTGTTGGCATTGTTTTAAATGTATCGAATTTCAAATTAGTCGCTGATTTATACGGCCAACCTTCGTTCCGCTGTTACAAACAAAGTTAGGAGTTAATGAAAGATTTTGGTGAAAGATTTCAGGTATTATCAGCGATCCAGCCTTACTTGTATATAAAGACGAAAAGACATCAAGCAAAGTATCAAGTTTATTATAATCTTGATACTTTGATAAACATCATTCATACTTTTGAACACGTCACCGTAAAATGAAATATTTTGAAAATCGCACTACCCATACAAATTGCATTAAATCATGAATCACGAATTTTGAGCAGGAGCTTGTCGTTAACGTTAATTGAACATTATATACCTGAAAAATATGATTTACGCAAATTTTAGACTTCATTAATAGACCATATGCCTTATTAATTTTTAATGAAAATGCGCGCTGTGCATTCTGGTCTTAGTAGTCACGCTACTACGGTAAACATCAACATGGCCACTGCGGATAGTGAGTGTGCAGCTGTTCTTTGTCGTCTTTCAGAAGTAACTCAAACGAATGAAAACCCTAGTGCTTTTCAGAACTCTTGCACGGGTATTCAGGAGTTTGTTACATCTGAAGCTTATTGCAAGGAAATCCAAGAAACGTCGACGAAGGCGAAGATAGTTGGTGTAAATTCTAATACCGTTGGAAGTCCAGATGAAGAACTCGCGACATTTGGTCGCTTAGATTGGACAAAGTCTTTGGCTAATCTTCCATCTTTTACGCACGAGAAGCTTGAGCATAAGCTAGTTGAAAGTAGAAGGGGAAAATCCGATAATTATGCGCAAAACGCTTTTAGAAATATGAAGAAAGGTTGCGGTGTCATGAATAGATCGGATCGTATTCAAAAATTATTCGGGAAATAATTTTTGAATACGATCCGATCTATTTTGATCCACCAATGTTCCTTCTCTCATGGACCTTTGTGCCCAACTGGATTGTCGCAGAAGCTAATTTCCTATGTCCAATGTGCGTTTTCTGCATTCTTTTGAATTCACGTTCTACACATTTCATGATTACAAGGTAAAACGACAGGTTCTATCAGTAGCATCAAGCAAATACCACATTCATAATCCGATCCCGAATAGGGGAAAGGTGCTTTCTTGTCAGCCATGTTGTAAATGTTATATTATTTTGTTTTTTGTTTCTGGCGCCCCACTAAGCTGTGATAAAAGCTTAATAGATATGGAAATTAGAATAAATAATCAACTGACTTTTGTTGGTGTATGGCTTTCTGCTAATAAACTATCTCTCAATGTAGATAAGTCATTTTACCTTTTATGGTTTATATACTTTATATTTAGCATATTATTGATGAAACAACTATTGAACCTATACTGAAAGTACTTTTGTATGTGTTGGGAGTCAGAGTTTTTTATGCAAACTTGGAATGATGGACTGTTTTTTAATATTTAAAATGTCAATGTAGTGACTACTAACTCTTAAACAGTTTAAATTTCAAATCCATTTTTGAAATGTAGCAAAGAATCTTCAAAGGTCGGCTATGTTTGATATTGCACTATATCTACTAATATTTGATTAAAACACATCTCAAATAAAACTAAAAATCTTGGTAGTATAGTTTGAGAAAGATACTTTTTCCAGCTGTACGTATTGAATGTTAGGACATAAAAATCTAAAACCTTGATAACTAAGTAATATCATTGATGTTCTCGGGCAACAGGATTTTCAGTCACAAATTTGAAGCTCTCTTATGCTAAAGAGAAATGTCTTGAGTATCTACCCACTTCCCATTTTCTTTAATCGGAAGACTAAAATCCTTCATAGACCTCACTCTCTTCGTAAGAATTCTGTTTTTATACTAAAAAGTAGACAATAAGGAGGAACTGTTAAAACTTTTACCCATGTAATAAGATTTTATCTCAAATAAGTAGACAAGCTGTTTAGCTCTTCGCATGTTTTTAAAAGAGCTTTAAGTTTCTTTCAAAACATAGAAGGAACAATTTATAAGAGTGATTAATTTTTTTAGCATCTGTAACTAAATTTTACATCAGCTTCTGGAGTATACTTGCTCCCAAGGAAGAATTTTCACTCAAAATAATCAGATTTTGAATATTTTCCTGACACAAAAAATTGGAATATAAGATTATATACAAACCACTTCAACTTACACTTAATGAAGCAATAATGAGAAAAAGCACTGCCCACATGAATCACATCCCAACCAGTCTTCACCATCATCTATCTGGCAAATCTTGCATACCAAACTTATTTTCACAGCCATTCATGATTTGATTCCACTAAAATGATTTGCGAAAGAAAACCTGTTGTTCAACACAGAGTTTTACAAAGAATGTTATATTTACTATACATTATAATGACGTCATTCTCCATGTTCACGTGAATAAATAATATATTGTTTATATTCAACTCAACTGCAAAAAATTTTTTGAAAATATTTACTAAATTTACATAATCATCCACGAAATTTGTTATCACTCGCACACATACTTTACTCGTTATTTATAAAATGTTTTAATGTTTGATATTTTTATGTAGTTTCAAGCTATTAAGATGTGTGAATCTTTTACCACAATGTTCACATTGATAAGGTTTTTCTCCAGTATGAATTCTAACGTGTTGAGTCAAGTGATGAAGATGTGTAAATGTTTTACCACAATTTTCACATTGATAAGGTTTTTCTCCAGTATGAATTCTAACGTGTTGATTCAAGGAACCAAGCACTGTAAATGTTTTACCACAATGTTCACATTTATAAGGTTTTTCTCCAGTATGAATTCTAACGTGTTGATTCAAGGAACCAAGCACTGTAAATGTTTTACCACAATGTTCACATTGATAAGGTTTTTCTCCAGTATGAATTCTAACGTGTTGATTCAAGGAACCAAGCACTGTAAATGTTTTACCACAATGTTCACATTTATAATGTTTCGTGTACTATAGTCTTTTGCATTAAAATTCGTGATGTATAGTCCCTTGAATGAAAATTCGTGTACTATTGTGTTTTGCATGAAAATTCGTGATCTATAGTCTTTCGCATGAAAATTCGTGTACTATAGTCTTTTGCATGAAAATTCTTATACTATAGTCTTTTTCATGAAAATTCGTGTACTATAGTCTTTTGCATAAAAATTCGTAATCTACAGTCTTTTGCATGAAAATTCGTAATCTATAGTCTTTTGCTTGAAAATTCGTGAACTATAGTCTTTTACATGAAAATTCGTGATCTACAGTCTTTGCATGAAAATTCGTGATCTACAGTCTTTTGCATGAAAATTCGTGATCTATAGTCTTTTGCATGAAAATTGATGTACTATAGTCTTTTGCATGAAAATTCGTGATATATAGTCTTTTGCATGAAAATTGATGTACTATAGTCTTTGCATGAAAATTCGTGATATATAGTCTTTGCATGAAAATTGATGTACTATAGTCTTTTGCATGAAAATTCGTGATATATAGTCTTTTGCATGAAAATTGATGTACTATAGTCTTTGCATGAAAATTCGTGATATATAGTCTTTTGCATGAAAATTGATGTACTATAGTCTTTTGCATGAAAATTCGTGATATATAGTCTTTTGCATGAAAATTGATGTACTATAGTCTTTTGCATGAAAATTCGTGATATATAGTCTTTTGCATGAAAATTGATGTACTATAGTCTTTTGCATGAAAATTCGTGATATATAGTCTTTTGCATGGAAATTGATGTACTATAGTCTTTTGCATGAAAATTCGTGATATATAGTCCCTTGAAACAAAATTCGTGTACTTTTGTTTTACTTTTTAGGAATGAAAGAGCATGGATTAAAGAGGAAGAAAAACAAGGCAGGATTTTGTTAGCATTTTTCCTCAAATATTTATCGCCTTTAAATTAGAACAGTTTTGTCTCAATAAGAGTCAGACTTCCCAATAAAGCATCCCAGTTTCGTCTCAATAAGATTCAAACCTCTCGATTCAAAATTCGTGAACTATAGTCTTTAGCATGAAAATTGGTGAACTAAAGTCTTTTGCATGAAAATTCGTATGCTATAGTCTTTTGCATGAAAATTCGTGATGTATAGTCCCTTGATGAAAATTCGTGTACTATTGTGTTTTCATCACATATATATGAACTATATATATATATATATATATGCGTATATATCATATATAATCTTAATAACCGAGCACAAGGTCTTTACGGAGGAATAGAGAGTTTCAGATTTGACTACGACCACGAATATTGCTACGTAGTCAAACAATCAAAAGTGCATTGGGGAGCCTTTTTTATAACCGCAGAAATTAATATACATTTTCTTAGTGTTGAGCATGTAAATTCTTCAAATAGATAGTAAACACGGAATTATCTAAATATCGTACCATAACAAAACGACTCACAAATATACTTTCATACTTACAATCTTTTCTAGTTCATTCGTTACGGTTTTTTGATAGGACTGAAAGGACTGAAAGGACTGTTAATGTTTACAAATCTATAAGTCCTAATTTTAACTGTCACATAAGCACAAAAAGTAGCACAAAGCATATATTCTCGCAATTTTGAACAAAGGGGATTTCTTATCAATTTGCTTTTGTTTCACTCAAGTGGCTGTACTTCGGCTTGTGCTTATATTGATGCTTGTTTCAGACGTTTCATTGAATTCTTTTAATAATATATATAACGATCTACATTTACAAACAAGTCATTTCATATTAAATAATATAATCTCATATCTTTGCACATGTCAGGTAAATTTTCGACAAGAGAAAGCTCCACAAATCCTGCAAACAAATTATTCCTGCGGCGACAATGCAAATATGTGGCATCCATAAAAACTTAAATCTCAACGTAGTTACGGCCATAAAGGTAAAGAAGAATGTTTGTACAAGATGATAAACGACTTCAGGACGTCTTTTCAACGAAGTATGAACATTTTTCCACCATGAAATAAAATCATTACCACTAAAAAGAAATGTAGTATGTTGTTTTTTTTTTCAAGTGAGAAAAATTATCGGTATTTAACAGTCTATATGTTTTTTATAGTACCAGCATTAAAGGCAGTCGATATGAACAAGGTGATAACTAGTGATATACTGACATCGATATCTGCGTACCGTCTCCAAAACAGAATAACGCCATTGGTATTTTTCGTTCTCATTGCTCATAATACCGACATTTAAACATTGCATCGAAATAGAAATACAATTGAAATTAATCATAGTTTAACAATACTACATGTAAATATATATTACCTTAACAATTTTTGTTAAATTAATACTACTTTAAACTTTTTAGTTCCACATGATATCATGATATCAGAATGCAATAACAGTGCCTGCCATAACTCAATGTAAATTTTAAGTAGATTTTTCTTTGTCTTTGGTGACCCAATTTACAATTCAGCATTTGCATGACATTGCCAAAATTATGAACACTTTCAAAAGTACCATGTTTTTGGCTATGTGCATGTGTGCAACCAGGCAATGATTCAACAAAAAAAATATCTAACAAATTGAAAAATATAAGTCAATTGATTTCATCAACTTTTGGTTCAAAATGTATTTGTGCTGAAGCTAACAATCAACAAAATTGAGGAAATTTTTTAAGCATATTAATAATAAGTAATTGCATCGTTTTGAAAACATGGACTTCTAAGTTCTTCTCATCCTTCAGACTCATGCTGTTTTGATTTGATAGTTAAAACACAAGAAACCATGCTATTACCTACGCAAATTTATTCATCATTTTAACTCATACCTTGCTAACTTTTGAAATAACCAATTATGATGCAACTGTTAACACCAATCATTTAATGATCATGTCATTCATGAACTGGAGAACAAAGACAAACAACAGGGAACCAATGATTACAAAGGACATATTTCATAACTAAAATGAAAATATTCACATTTTGTTGATAAGATAAATGCTGATAATCATGATATATGTTTATGTTTCAAAACACATTTATGAATGGCGAGTAATACCTTCTTCAACTTATGAAGTAACCATCCTTGCTCTAAATTGCTTTTGTTAAAGCATTCACCCCCTCCTGACTCTGTCATAAAATAACCACCCCTCCTAACATGTGCTTCTGTAAAGGTTTTCTTTCATGAAATCTTTTCAATTTTTTGCCACTTCAGCAATGCATTTTTGTAACGTTTGTTTCTTCTGCAATTTGTCAGCTGCATGTTTCACAATGAAAACTAGATGCGAACTTTTACTGTCAAGCAGATGAATTTTTATGATATTTCAAAGAAACCAACAACAAGTTCACTGTCAAAATTTGAAATTATGTTGAAATCAAGTAATTTCCATTTGCAGCCATCATCTTTTTAATCTGTATGCAAATCAAATGAAATCTCCATTTGAATTTAATGAAAACACAACAATGAACAAATGGTCAAATTATTAACAAGCATTTGTTAACTCAATACACATTGTTTAATGTATCAATGCTCATATGTAATTCATAGCTTTAATGGAAAGTCATGTACATTTAGAAATCTCGACGAATCGGTCAATTTGACAGTTTCCTCAACTCAATGCTCAACTCAATGCTCAACTCCATCCTCTCTGTCATTAAAATTAAACCAAGAACAAGTACACCCTCTCCCTCACCTGAATATGATAAAGTATGAGATACTTTGTGTCGTTCTTCTTGCATACTAACTAATCATGACACAGTCTTGATTATCATACAACTCAATAAATGTTGAAAAACACAGTGCAAGAGTGTGTAAAGACGACATTTAAATGTAAAAAAGATCTCCGATCATGATACGGAGATTTCCGGCTGCTAGACTAGGCCTACCACGCATGCGCCATATTTCCGCCAAAACTTGAAATGTGATACAAAACATTCAAAACCTACGGTGAACGTTGAATATTTACTTGGCACTTGGTGCGTATGATTTTAAAGAGCAATAAACGTCTGAATTCAAGTTTAAAAAATTGAACCATTTGGGAACGTTCTACATCAAACAAAGTTTTATCGACAATTTCAAGTTGCTTCGTCTCTGGATTGAAGTAGGTTGCAATGATGAAACGTATTTAATTTGAACGATGGAACTTTACTTTTTAATTATATTAGTTCAATGTTGTTATCTTCATTAAATTTTTTTTACATGATGTACTTTAACTGTATTTGAGTGGTTTCACTACATATCAGATTATGAAATATAATTGAAACATTTAGATATTCTCCATCATTTATAAGGAATCAAATATGTAGAAACATGTTACATTAGAAGTTTTTAAAGGTTATTATGACATCATCTATGCACAGCTTATTTACTGTGAATGCTCGTTTTAACGCCGCGGCTCTTATTATTTCCCTTATGTTCGCCGTCCATAAGCGGCGGTAAAACAAACACTGTACTAAAAAAATATAAAAGCTCATATTGTGTGACAATTTATGCGGGGGGGGGGCGAGATTGATAATTGAAGGAGAAGGTATTTATATATTGGTATGTTTTAATCTTTTGTTTAATCCATACCCACAATTGATTTCAATAGAAGCTAGTAAGGTAGGACATGCATATATGAGTATTTGCCCCCCCCCCAAAAAAGAGAAGTAATTGTGATTCAGTTCTTTATCCTGTGATGTAATTCTAACTTTTCTTTTTAGTTGGAGGTCACAGCTGTAGACACTGTGGAAGGATGTATACTTATCCCGATTATTTAGAGAAACATTTAAAACGATGTCCAATGCTTGTTTGTATGAATCCCTAGGAATGTCCACGTTGTGGTCGAAAGTACAGTAGTGAAGACTATCTAAATGTTCACATGAAAAATGAATGCGGAAAAAATCCACCATTAAAACGACATGTGAGGGTTCAAACAGGAGAGAAACCTTATCATTGCAAACATTGTGGTAAAACATTTAGACAGCTTTCTAAATTGAATAAACATGTTAGGATACATACTGGAGACAAACCTTACCAATGTGAAAATTGTGGTAAAAGATTTACACAGCTTGGTACCTTAAAACGTCATTGTATGATACATACAGGAGAGAAACCTTATAAATGTGAACATTATGGTAAAAGATTTACACAGCTTGGTAACTTAAAACGTCATGGTATGATACATACAGGAGAGAAACCTTATAAATTTGAACATTGTGGTAAAACATTTTCACAGAATTGTGATTTGAATAAACACCTTAGGATACATACAGGAGAGAAACCTTATAAATGTGAACATTGTGGTAAAACATTTACCCACAATAGTGCCTTGAATAAACACCTTAGGATACATACAGGAGAGAAACCTTATCAATGTGAACATTGTGGTAAAACATTTACCCACAATAGTGCCTTGAATAGACACGTTAGGATACATACAGGAGAGAAACCTTATGAATGTGAAGATTGTGGTAAAACATTTTCACAGAATTGTGATTTGAATAAACACCTTAGGATACATACAGGAGAGAAACCTTATCAATGTGAACATTGTGGTAAAACATTTACCCACAATAGTGCCTTGAATAGACACGTTAGGATACATACAGGAGAGAAACCTTATAAATGTGAACATTGTGGTAAAACATTTACCCACAATAGTGCCTTGAATAAACACCTTAGGATACATACAGGAGAGAAACCTTATCAATGTGAACATTGTGGTAAAACATTTACCCACAATAGTGCCTTGAATAGACACGTTAGGATACATACAGGAGAGAAACCTTATGAATGTGAACATTGTGGTAAAACATTTTCACAGAATTGTGATTTGAATAAACACCTTAGGATACATACAGGAGAGAAACCTTATCAATGTGAACATTGTGGTAAAACATTTACCCACAATAGTGCCTTGAATAAACACCTTAGGATACATACAGGAGAGAAACCTTATAATGTGAACATTGTGGTAAAACATTTACCCACAATAGTGCCTTGAATAAACACCTTAGGATACATACAGGAGAGAAACCTTATCAATGTGAACATTGTGGTAAAACATTTACCCACAATAGTGCTTTGAATAGACACGTTAGGATACATACAGGAGAGAAACCTTATCAATGTCAACACTGTGGTAAAACATTTACACAGCTTTGTAACTTAAAAAGTCACGTAATGATACATACTGGAGAGAAACCTTATCAATGTGAACATTGTGGTAAAAGATTTAATAAGTCTAATAGTTTTAAAAGACACATGAGGATACACACAAGAAAAACCTTATCAATGTGAACATTTTGGTAAAACGTTTAATAAGAAGAGTAACTTGAAACAACACGGTAAGATCTATGCTCGTAAGTAACATTTATGATATTAATACTGTGCAAGGGATTTACAAAGGATTGATTGAGAGTAAGGCTGACAAGAAGGAGGCCTTGGCCCTTCTAATCTTGTGAAGGACTGCCATCATGAAAAATGAAATCCTTAGAGAAATTATGATGGAGGTAATCAGTGACGAAATTAGCCTGATCTTTTACTCCCACAATTCAAATATTTCGATGTCTTTACAAAATTGGTTCATTTTATTGTCTTCCGGTGATTGAACACAAAAATATTTACATTGTAGCAGTGAAAACGTGCTGGCTTTGCTATTGGGGGTCACGTTTTTCATCCCACCATGTAATTTAATATTATATAAATAACTATTTTATATAAATCCCTCATTACTTGTAATTTACTACTGTCTGGTGAAACCTTGAGAGTCAAGACGAAACGTTACGCTAATGAATAAATATTTCTTTTTTTATACATTATTTTTGTATTGAATGGCTCTTTTAAAAGCACTTTGCTGTGCGAAGCTCGTTGTTCATGGGATTTTGAATTGCCCGATATCATAAATAAACGCTAGGATGATTGGTATTCGGGACTTCCACCGCATGAACAAAACTGTTTCTACCGTTCCCTTTCATGCCTTTGGCCATGCAAGCAAAGTTGAGGTCAGCAGCAGTATATTCAGTTGTTGAGCAGGAGAATGAAATAACCGAACGATTGGTATGTGCAATATCCAGGTTGACAAAACGGGATCTGTCAATACCTCGCTTGGAATTGGTTGCTGTACACATGGCCGTTAACTTGCTATCGAATGTAAAGTGTGCCATTAGTGAAGGAGTCGTAACCTCTGTCCATTGCTGGTTGGATTCCACAGTAAAATTTTACTGGATCAACCGTTGTGGGAAGTATCGCCAATTTACAATTGTAAAACTGTTAATGTACCATGTACGCCCCATGTAAAATTAAAGGTAGAGCAGGAGATAAAGCCTAAGAAAAGTGTACACGTAGTGGCTGCAGAAGTTCAACTGACCGTCTTTATGAAAGTTGGAATGAGTTACCCGAGAAAGAGGCTAGTTATGCATCCTTATAATTTGTGCACAGCGATTTTCTGTTTTGTTATGTAGAGATTTCTATGTTACGTCAATCTTTTTTCCCTGTAGTAAACCGCGTTTTAAGTAACTGTAAATTTTATATCATCACTTTCATTTTTCTTTTAAACCCTATTTTATTAAAAATTCCTTTTAGAATAGTTCTGGCTCCGAATCTCAATCGGAAAAAATGACGATAACAACGAAATCCAACTCGACCGTTGCGCTAAAACGAGCTGTCCCATTTGGTTTTTCCTTACGGGGTATCTATAACACACTGACTGTAAAGCAGAAGATTGATATCTGGACTGTGTTAAATGTTGTCAAAGAAAATATTGAGAGAAGCTTCCGTTAAACAGGTGCGTAAAATTTAGGGAAGTGTGTTCGTTTATCTCAATAACGTTTGCATAATTTTTTAGTGTGTTAATTTTTCGTTTGAAAATTCGCACCCATCTTGCATTCTCTCTAGATCAGGCTAGGAGAGGTTTTCACTTCTCCCTTATTCCTTTCCTGTTTATTGTCCTTATCATGCATACAAACTAAGTAAAAAGACGAGGTTAGGAAAGGTGTGCACTTCTCCAAAGCCCGTCCCTATTGGTTGTCCTTACAATGCATACAAACTAAGTAAAAAGACGAGGTTAGGAAAGGTGTGCACTTCTCCAAACCCGTCCCTATGTGTTGTCCTTACAATGCATACAAACTAAGTAAAAAGACGAGGCTTGGAGAGGTTTGCACTTCTCTCCTAAACCCGTCCCTATGTGTTGTCCTTGCCATGCATACAAACTAAAAAAAAAGACGAGGTTAGGAAAGGTGTGCACTTCTCAAAGTAAAGATTTTTTCATGTTTCATATGTATTAAAAGAATTGCATAAAATCATTAAAAATATGCACACCATATTGTTTTGTTATTATATTACTATGATTACACAGCTGAAAGTTTCAAGCAGTTATGAAAAAAATAGCTGTCTTATACTTATTTACCATATTGTTATTTAGATATTACATGAAGCAGATTTAGATGGAGACGATCAACTATCTTTTGCCGAATTCGAAAACGTCATGTCTAAAGCTTTAGATTTTCTTAGGTGAGTTTATTGATTTTACATCCACTTTAACTTGTGTTATACACTAGCTGCTCATTTCTGTAAAAATTTTCCATGCAATAGTCATTTATTTTAATATTAGTAATTGTAGTATAGATAGCTATACTACGTTGTTTGACTATACTTATCTTCATTTGATATGATTCAATGATTTCAATTGGATGTGAAATGTAGCAAGCCAGTCTATTCTTTTACTGTTTGTAAGTTGAAAATAATTTTATTCCCCAAATAAGCATCCAAATGAATAGAAGTGAATAATTTTGCAAGTTTAAAGCATTTCCATAGTCTAATACTCATTTCGGACTTGTAAATTCTCTTTTTTAGAGTATTTCGTATTCGATTGTAATTTCAGCAGAATCATGGATGTTTAAAAACATTGAATATGGTTGATTCACAAGGTGCTTTACAGTACAATGTATCATATAATAACTTCCACTTTGAACATTTTAGCATGATCTAATTAATGGCTAATGGAAACAGCAAAGCATAATTATTTAACATTTATAAAATATTTTCGTACATAACTGTATTACTGTTGCAGGTAGCGAACCTGCAACAGTAACCTGCAACGCGTGTTTATATAACTCTACAGAATATTGGAAATGCTTTTCTATTTCTTAAATGTAACATATTCATTCAACAAGAACATTTCAAACTGTTTTAATCTTTGCTACTAGCGTGCTAGTCTGATGTTATAACAAAAGATGCTAAACTACTCATATCAATTTTTCACCGCCAGCAATATAAGTTTATATGAGACCCAGAATGTAGCGTTATATGAACTGAGACATTTGTGCACATTGAATTATCATTTAATACTTTATAACGCTATTATTCCTATGAAGAAGTAGTTCTCAAATTCTTATATTATCATTCTAATGATATACATCAATAAAACTGCAACGCAAATCCGCGCAAATAATTTTTATTTATCTACAAAGTTAGCCTTGAGAAATCACTTCTTCACTTTTTGAGCAGTACCAATATTACAATTGTTTACCTTAAAATAAAATAAACAAAGCTACATATTGAAGAATGAAACGAAAGGTTGATGAAATTAAAAATAAAATATCAACGTCAAGCTGAAAAGCAAACTGCAATACTACATGAACGTGAGAGTGAAGAAGTCTTATTATTGGTCACATGGTGTAAGGATGGTCACATGGTGTAAGGTTGGTCACATGGTGTAAGGTTGTTCATATGGTGTAAGATTGGTCATATGGTGTAAGGTTGGTAATATTGTGTAAGGTTGGTAATATGGTGTAAGGTTGGTCACATGGTGTAAGGTTGGTCACATGGTGTAAGATTGGTCTTATGGTGTAAGGTTGTTCATATGGTGTAAGATTGGTCACATGGTGTAAGGATGGTCACATGGTGTAAGGTTGTCACATGGTGTAAGGTTGTTCATATGGTGTAAGATTGGTCATATGGTGTAAGGTTGGTCATATTGTGTAAGGTTGGTAATATGGTGTAAGGTTGGTCACATGGTGTTAAGGTTGGTCATATGGTGTAAGGTTGTTCATATGGTGTAAGGTTGGAAAAAAAAACATTATCGTAAACCACTCAAGAAACCACTCAAGTAACGATAATGATAATTAATAATAAAACGTTTATAATAATAAACGTTTAAATAATAAACGTTTATAAATAATAATAAACGTTTATATATAAATAAACGTTTTATATAAATAAACGTTTATATATAAATAAACGTTTAAATAATAAACGTTTATAAATAATAATAAACGTTTATATATAAATAAACGTTTTTTTGTTTTGAAGCACTCAAACACAGCTCTCTGAGTTAAACATTTTGCGTACTTTCGAATAATACATTGGCGAATTTCAACAGGGTTTTGTTTTCCTTTTATAAAATGTCCAAATCGTGCGAATTGGAACGTTTCTTTTCAACTTTATATCTAACATGGTCGACATGCACATTTTTTCGCCACTGGAATTGTGTATGATTCTTTGCCTCCACAAAGGAAAACAACTTTCATTTCTTTTTTTTTTACTTGACAGCATGTACAGGTTGTTTTGAAATCTGACCATTTTATTCTTGGTGACGAATGTGATGGACAATATCCAGTACATCCTTTTGATATAACTCTTTGCAATCCACAGTTCCTTGTTCGGATTTCACCGGCTATAGGTCGAGTTGAACATGACTGATGTCCATTTGCAAGACGGTTACAGATGAATAAAGAAAAAACAACCAACTGAAATCTCCTAATGCTCAACATTGCTTCTCTTCAAATTTTCTATATAGAAAGACAAAAATAGGTAATTGTTACTATAATTTAAAGAAGCTAGCATGAAATATATATACTTTGTACTAAAATACTTCTTTCCCCGTTGAAGTAAATATATGTGGAACGCTAACTCCTATAATTTTGTGATCGTGACTAAAACACCACACGAGTACATACGAGTACATACGAGTAACATACGAGTATATACGAGTACATACGAGTAACATACGAGTACATACGAGTAACATACAAGTACATACGAGTAACATACGAGTACATACGAGTGACATACGACTATTTTCTGGTCAACAAATGATAAACAACACAATTTCTTCAATACATTGATATTTGCGTTTATTTTTCCTTGTATTTGTGTGGACTTTGGGGCAACCATTCGATGGATTTAAATGCTGAAAAGGTATTTTACTTTCATATTACATTCATTTGTATGTTTTAGTTGAATTTGTTATAGATATTTTGTCGATGCGATTTGCCAGTATTTGAGCGCTTTTTGACACACTTTCATCTAGGAAATACATATTTATGAAAGCGATTATACATTCATTTTGGTCTTTAAGATCCTGATTTTTCAGTTAAAAGACTAAATTATATCAGCTAGAACTTTAAAAACATTGAAAGTAAGCTGAAATTTTACGCATAATATGATACGTAACACAGTGCAACTCTCATTTAATTCAAATATATATAATGTACATTTATTTCATATAGCACGTTTTGAAAGCATTATTTATACGTTGTTTATTTAATCGCTTTCATAAATATGTATTTCCTAGATGAAAGTGTGTCAAAAAGCGCTCAAATACTGGCAAATCGCATCGACAAAATATCTATAACAAATTCAACTAAAACATACAAATGAATGTAATATGAAAGTAAAATACCTTTCAGCATTTAAATCCATCGAATGGTTGCCCCAAAGTCCACACAAATACAAGGAAAAATAAACGCAAATATCAATGTATTGAAGAAATTGTGTTGTTTATCATTTGTTGACCAGAAAATAGTCGTATGTCACTCGTATGTACTCGTATGTTACTCGTATGTACTTGTATGTTACTCGTATGTACTCGTATGTTACTCGTATGTACTCGTATGTACTCGTATGTTACTCGTATGTACTCGTATGTACTCGTGTGGTGTTTTAGTCACGATCATAATTTTGTCCCGTGATTGACGGAAGCCAAAATACATCTAAAATTTGTCAAACTTCCCTTGAAATAATGCGTGATTTTTCGGCGGCCAATATTTGTTTTGCTTCTTGGCGTTAGAAAAACGTGAAAAAATGATTTGGTGTCGGTTTTTTCTCACATTTTGTGTTTTAAAATTGCATCTGACAGAATTAGTTCATGCCACAGCAAGATATTTTCGAGGAGAAACATATTCAGCAAGAATTTTTCATATAACAACATCAAAACACAATAACAATAAGGTTATTGATTTATCACAGTGAACCTTAAACCTTTTAATTTTAAAGCAAAAGCCTTCGTGCAGAAAAAGATTTCGCTACGACACAGTGTTGGGTGTTTTAAGTTGTTTTTAAAATCTGACCATGTTAGTTCAGTGAAAATAACATATACTATGTCAATAGTTCTCCTCGAATGTATGTTAATGATTGTTTACACATAACTATAAAATTTCTCAAATTGTCTAGTTACACTCAGACAAGAGTTTGCGCAGCGAATTGAAGTTCAATAAGCTTTGATTATTCAATCTGGAATTTGTTGAGATTTACGTCATTTTTATGCTTCAGTCAACGCCGTAACTATGGGTATTTTTCTGTCTAAATCATTGTCTAAACCCAAAAAGCTTGAAAAAAGTTTTATTACAAGAAAATATTGGACTTAAATTGGACAAAATATGATAAATCGACAGTTGTTTTAAAACTCCGAAATTTGATGAAGCAACATTCCAAGTTGCGAGGCACAAACTCTAAAAACAGTTTTAGTACAATTTGCATTATAGTGCCAAATGTAATCAGATCACTGGAGCCAATTAGTCTTTTAGTAAGTGGATTTTTAAGGAATATATGCACGGATCATCTTTTCAGAAAGATGTGCAGTACATAGAATACCCAAGACTAATGTTTACTTGTTTTCATCTGGTCTTTTGTTTTGGTCGTGACAAAATAGTTTGTAGTCATTTGATCATGTTGTTGATGGTAATTTGAGGTAATCATGAGCTCTTTAAGAAAATGAATTTCACGGCACCGTTATATAAATCTTGTTTGCATTTCCAAAGCTGAACGTTCAGTGAATTCACTTTAACTTGATAATCTGGGACAATACGGCTATTGGAAAAAACAATTGTTGATGCAATGTATTGGCAACTTGTAAATACATCACACGATACGACAAAATTTAAAATACTAGTCCAAAATCCGTAAAACCAAGATTGCTAATGTTTACATCAAAATCTTACAGAAAGGCTGAAAAGTATTACACGAAAACACACATCATCGGGGATCAGCATTCTATAAATCAACTACCTTCACAGCCATTCCAAATGTGTATGCAGAACTGGTTTCATAACTTTTATTCACTCTTTTCCTTTAAAGTATATTTAAATGAGACCACTGAATCAGACCATGCAGGAAAGCACGTGCCGCAGACGCACAGAAGTGAAACGTGCTGCGTGCATCTGCCCCATTGAGTTCTATATGACCTGGAGTGGAGGGAAAAGGGCCTGGACCATTGAGTTCTATAATAACTGGAGGGGCTAACTTTACTGGGGTCGGCGTTAGATCATAGGTGAGATATGCACATATACGAAACTGCGCTTAATTGCGGTCAGCAGTAACAATCCACCCAGAACTCTTTAAGATTGCGCGCTTTCACCGCGAATTTTTAAAAACAACAATGGACTCGTGCTGTTCTTCGATTAAAATGTTTTCATGGCAGAAAGACATATGGGAAAATTTTGAGGAATACAAAAAAGACACGCGCTCGGGATGGAGATATGTGAGTTCAAATGCACTTTTCGGTAAGTATGTAATCATTGTAATGTCTACAATAATCACATAACTTCACGTCAGAATTCATACAATATATTATATTTAATCGTGCCGTCCGAGATTTCGATTGTTGCGATTATATAAAGCATGAATGAACAAATGATACACTTTTTCATTGCTAATTATTATTGTTGTTTATTATCAATAATTCTGCAATTTGAGAGATTAATACTGATCAAAGGGCTCATATTTTCAAGGCAAAACCATTAAAGAGGTGATGAATTCTGGAAAGTCTTTGTCAAGGGTGCAATGGAGCCTTTCCAATCCAGATGGAATTTCATACGCCTTTGATGGAATTCCATTTATTTGTATTGGAACATTGAATTATCATTGTCATCAAGGTGAAGATATTGATAAAAGTACGAAAATAAAAAGAGCAAAGGAAACAGATGAAAATGAGGTACTTACAACTCTATATCGTCACTTTTACTACACACATTTTCACAAATTTAGCAGTGACAGCCCTGGTTCTTTGTTCTAACATATTTTTGTCGTTTGTTTTTTTAGGGTCACGATCACACGTTTAGAAAACGGAAAAAACATTTTCAACCTACCAAAAAAATTGGATGTCCGAGCAAAGTATATATGTCACGGATTTTAAATTCCCACAGTACAAGGTAAGATAAAATTCGGTTCATATACTTAAGTCAAACTGATGTCTAGTTTTCAACAGCAAACTTAAAATTTCTGAAGTATTAAATCCCACGTTCTTTAATGTAATATGACAATTTAGGTTGAGGTTTCCTCTGGTGCTATAAAACCACGAAGAAAAATGCAAGAAAGAACATCCTTACTGAAAAACGCGTTGAAATCGTGGGAAAATCTGATTATTGAAGATACGTTTCTCTTGAAGCTTCCAAGTATGGATAGTCATAAATATCATGTGACGGAAGGAGAGGTAAAATCTTCACTAATTAAGATAAAAAAAACGGCTACATTTTTAGTAAACAAAATATACCCAAATTTCCAATAAACACAGGTAGCAGGTTTGAAAGAGCCAATAGATGCACTACATGTAAATACAATATTTATGCGCTTGCACTAAACTTCAATACGTAAAACTCAATGCTTTGGGAACTAGACTTGCACTAAACTTCAATACGTAAAACTCAATGCTTTGGGAACTAGACTTGCACTAAACTTCAATACGTAAAACACAATGCTTTGGGAACTAGACTTGCACTAAACTTCAATACGTAAAACACAATGCTTTGGGAACTAGACTTACATACATTCCCCAACAGGTAGGCGTATTTGCTTCGTTTTTGACCCAATGTTTTATAGACCCAATGTTACATGGGTAATTCACCAGTGATGGGTATGTAATTCATTTTCCGCAGATTTTCCAATTGTTTGTAACTTTTTAGACCCTATTTATTGGAATTGTTATCCCTACGCCAATCAGCAATTTCCAAAAACCAGCAATGTAAGGTGAGGAGCCATAGATGAGTACAATAAGTTCATGGGGGGCATTGACTTAATGGACATGCTTTGCTCATTGTACAAGTATTCCATAAGATCAAGGCGATGGTATCTTTACCTTCCGTTTCATACCCTTACAGTGGCTATGGTCAATTCATGGCTTCTTTTCCGACAAAATCAGAGAGGAAAGAAACAAATCAAACTTCGTGACTTCAGAGGAAACCGCACAAACCGCACAAAACTTTCAAACCGCACAAAATGCATAAACCTTTTACTGTCAACTTGAGAGCGAAAGACATAGCAAATTTTACATCTAACGATCTCTGTCATCCCAGGAAGGCATAGGAACCGTTTACTGTCAACTTGAGATCGAAAGACATAGCAAATTTTACATCTGACGATCTCTGTCATCCCAGAAAGGCATAATTTTTGCTTAATCTTTGGCAGTAAAAAATTTTGAGTTTTTTCTCAAAAAGTGAATTTTCTGGCACTGATGTGGAGATGGGTGAAGGGTTACAATAAACTTGCATGGTTTGAAGTCTGAGCTTTTCTATATTAATGAACTGTCACTTGTAGTACCAAATTTCTAACTTAACTCATTACAGAGGTTTGAATGGGGGTCTCTAGGGGGGTCTATGCCTGACAACTTGGTAGAAATTTTTAAAGACTATATCTGTTTTTGAATAGCATTATTGTAAAATAAATTTTACGTTCCTAGACATGCTAATGAGCCATATATTTGGCATGATAATGAGCCTAAATATTTGGCAAAACATGCAAGTATTGTTCACTTCATTTTTTTTTAAAAAAAACGTAAGTAAAAATTGTTGTTTTTACGCAAAAACGATGCCCACAAAATAAATTTTGTATTGCTCTAAAACGCTGAAAATGTCATTTTCAAGGCTCTGAAATTCAAAATCACGGAAAAACCTGTATCTTCGCTGGAACGGCATAACCGGAATGGCATGCGATCTGCAATCGAGCATGGGCGATTAGAGGTACGCAAAGGATATTTAAAGGACATTGGCACGTTTTATGTTGAGCCATCGTCATTGTTGCGAAACCTTACCTTCCAAACCTTATTTTCCATTGTTACGAACCAAATGTGACGAAATCGACCGTCAAAACTATTGAAAATATCGGTGTGAAAATAAACATCGGGCCGGCAGTTAGGAAGCAGGCCTCCTTCATACAGCCAGAGTTAGTCTACTGGCCTCAAAATACATACATTCCCCAACAGGTAGGCGTATTTGCTTCGTTTTTGACCCAATGTTTTATAGACCCAATGTTACATGGGTAATTCACCAGTGATGGGTATGTAATTCATTTTCCGCAGATTTTCCAATTGTTTGTAACTTTTTTTAGACCCTATTTATTGGAATTGTTATCCCTACGCCAATCAGCAATTTCCAAAAACCAGCAATGTAAGGTGAGGAGCCATAGATGAGTACAATAAGTTCATGGGGGCATTGACTTAATGGACATGCTTTGCTCATTGTACAAGTATTCCATAAGATCAAGGCGATGGTATCTTTACCTTCGGTTTCATACCCTTACAGTGGCTATGGTCAATTCATGGCTTCTTTTCAGACAAAATCAGAGAGGAAAGAAACAAATCAAACTTCGTGACTTCCAAGGAAACCGCACAAACCGCACAAAACTTTCAAACCGCACAAAATTCATAAACCGTTTACTGTCAACTTGAGAGCAAAAGACATAGCAAATTTTACACCTGACGATCTCTGTCATCCCAGGAAGGCATAGGAACCGTTTACTGTCAACTTGAGAGCGAAAGACATAGCAAATTTTACATCTGACGATCTCTGTCATCCCAGGAAGGCATAATTTTGCTTAATCTTTGGCAGTAAAAATTTTGAGTTTTTTCTCAAAAAGTGAATTTTCTGGCACTGATGTGGAGATGGGTGAAGGGTTACAATAAACTTGCATGGTTTGAAGTCTGAGCTTTTCTATATTAATGAACTGTCACTTGTAGTACCAAATTTCTAACTTAACTCAGCACAGATTTTGAAATAAATATTATGCTTAGTAACAATTTAATAGAAAAATCATCTGCGCGTGCGTTCGAGCATGCACAGTCCACTCGACTAATTGTCCATAGTCATAGCAACGACTAACTGGTGCATTTGCACTAAATTCATGGCAAATAGCTCACATAGTCGCAAATTATCAAAGAAATCATCTGAACATGCGTGGTAATGATGTTAATCATACGACAACTTTCGTTATACTTTATATAGTAGGTGTCAACTGGCAGTGGAAGCTTGGTGCGATTAAGTATGCAGTGGCTTAGGGGCCCAGACTTCGGTCGCGCTCGCCTTCTCCCTGCGTACCCCGAGCAAAGCCTATCCCAGGCGATCTCGGGGCAGAAGCTTGCTATATTGGTATTCCCAAGTAGGATAACGTGGAGAGGTCGAAATATCCTACCAAAACGTTAACATGAGGTCTGCTAGTGCCCAACGATTAAGAGGGTATCGGGAAGCATGGACCTAAAGCGGGATTTTATGCTTTCGAATTTTATCTTTTTGTTTACAAGAGTTCTTCTCATAAAAGAAGCTAGAACATCCAAGTATACTGCAAAGGTTCAGACAACTTCTGCCTTTTTGTCTTATAATTTAAACCAACTCTAAGCATGTTTAAACGTTTTTAACTTGTTCCCTTTTACAATGTAACTTTCTCATAACTCTCTCGTGATGAACGACAGCCTCATTATAAAATATAATAACCACATTTATAAAACAAAAACAATAAAACGCGAAGATACAAAATTTTAATATGGCTTAACATGCGTTTTTTAAACTTAATGTTTTGCAGTATTGTTTATGAACACATTGAAATAAATTGACAAACATTGTATTTTTGGTTTGGGGCAGTGCATTACTTGCTTTTGTTTCCAAAGTTGTAAATGATGTTATTGTTCTTATCATTTTTTGCTTTTTCTGGCTCTTGGCTAATTTTCCAGTATTCATGGACATGAATTTGTTCAAGAAAATTGAACACATTTGAACAACTATCCCACCGTTACACTGATTTAATACATCAAGTCGATGCCTAGTCATATATAGGCCGTTGTTTGTGCTGTTGTTTGAAGAACATGATCAACAAATCCATCACAACAAATCCATCGCTCACATAACGATTTACTGGAAAATAATGTAGATTAAAAATCACATGCTTATTCATGAATACAAAATTTTCAACTTGTATGTTGACAATGGCAAGCGTGTTAAAATAAATTATCTATCTATCTATCTATCTATCTATCTATCTATCTATCTATCTATCTATCTATCTATCTATCTATCTATCTATCTATCTATCTATCTAGCTATCTATCTTTATTTACAAATTAAGATATAATCTTAGTTTTTGTAATATGAAAAAACACATATATATTAAAAACACCTTTATGATGGAGGCTACAGACTCAGATTGCATTATAAAGATAGCTTCTTTTATGCCCTATCAAACTATGCTCCTTCTTATGAAGACCAAAATATATATGATGTGCATAAAAACTTATTTTGTTTATGTCAAAGAAACATTTATGGGTAAATGCCCTTTTTCTCTTTTGGGTATAGAAAAAACCTAAGACACTTATACTAATGCATTGGCATTTTACATTATGAATTACATATATGTTAAACCTTACTACAAGTCTAAAACCGCTAACGCATCCTACCGGAGTATAATCTTTGTTAAAATCTATCTTTTTGGAATCGAGGAGGCACTTCAGTTTTTGCTATAGGGCTCCTCACCATCCTTGGAGTCTGAGCTTCAGCTGGAATCTGAGCAAGGAACAAGGAAATCGAATTTGAGTCTTAAAATATTCGCCGAGTGAAAAAACAAGTAACAATCTTATTCTAACATTGCTGGCATTTGGAACTTGCTGATTGGCTTAGGGATAACAATTCCAATTAATAGGGTCTAAAAAAAAGTTACAAACGATTGGAAAATCTGCCTTAATAAAAGCAAAATACTAATAAGCAAAACATCAATTACATACCCGTAATTGGTGGTGAATAACCCATGCAACATTGGGTCTATAAAACAGATCGCGATAAAACATGAAAACAATGACTTGATACATTCAAAAACGAAGCAAATACGCCTACCTGTTGGGGAATATATGTATTTTGAAGCCAGTAGACTAACTCTGGCTGTACGAAGGAGGCCTCCTTCCTAACTGCCGGCCCGATGTTTATTTTCTTGTTTTTAAAATATATCACACCGATATTTTGAATAGCTTTGACGGACGATTTCGACTCAAATGTGACGAAACCGTAACTGAAACAAAAAATAGATGCAAAAATAAGGTTTCGCAACAATGGCGATGGCTCATTAACATAAAACGTGGAGGTGTGTGTATTTTCGCAGCGCACTTGTCACGTTAATTTGCAACTGTTTCCTGATATTGCTTCAAAACAATCGTCAATGATGCCAAAAAAGGAAGCTTGCATAATAGCCTTCTCCTTCAAATATTGTATCGGAATTTATGAAGCGAATTTGGCTGCGTACTGGTCATGGTGCGAAAATAACTCATACTACAAGTGCATACACGAAAAGATCACAAACCATTTGGATAGACCTGAATGGTCCAAAATTATTTTTGTTTCGGTGACGTGCCCGAACACACGAAAGAACTCTGCCAGTTCAACTGCGCTGGTCTAAAAAAAAAGAAAAAAATATGAAATCAAATGAGATAATATTATCCCCTGAAGAGTGAGAAATCACGAAACAGGCTTGTCGGGATGAAATTGTAGTTTTTGTGTATTTTCTTTTTCTCATCAATATTTACGCTCTGCTCTTAAGCATCGAGCACTGTACTTACGGAGATTCAAATAAACAAAACTTCCTAATAATATATAATATATATAATATATTATAATATATTATATATTATATATTTTCTCCGAGGGATTTTGCTCAAATCAAATCAAATAAGAGATATATATATTATATATTATAATATATATAATATATTATAATATATTATCCCTCGTTTTCTTGTCATATAAGAGATATTCAATAACCCACCAACAAGATGAACATTACAATACTGGTACATTTAGAAGAGATATTCAATAACCCACCAACAAGATGAACATTACAATAGAGGTACATTTAGAAGAGAAATTCAATAACCCACCAACAAGATGAACATTACAATAATGATACGTTTAGAAGAGATATTCAATAACCCACCAACAAGATGAGCATTACAATACTGGTACATTTAGAAGAGATATTCAATAACCCACCAACAAGATGAACATTACAATACTGGTATATTTAGAAGAGACATTCAATAACCCACCAACAAGATGAACATTACAATACTGGTACATTTAGAAGAGAAATTCAATAACCCACCAACAAGATGAACATTACAATACTGGTACATTTAGAAGAGATATTCAATAACCCACCAACAAGATGAACATTACAATACTGGTACATTTAGAAGAGATATTCAATAACCCACCAACAAGATGAACATTACAATACTGGTACATTTAGAAGAGATATTCAATAACCCACCAACAAGATGAACATTACAATACTGGTACATTTAGAAGAGAAATTCAATAACCCACCAACAAGATGAACATTACAATACTGGTACATTTAGAAGAGATATTCAATAACCCACCAACAAGATGAACATTACAATACTGGTACATTTAGAAGAGAAATTCAATAACCCACCAACAAGATGAACATTACAATACTGGTACGCTTAGAAGAGATATTCAATAACCCACCAACAAGATGAACATTACAATACTGGTACATTTAGAAGAGATATTCAATAACCCACCAACAAGATGAACATTACAATACTGGTACATTTAGAAGAGATATTCAATAACCCACCAACAAGATGAACATTACAATACTGGTACATTTAGAAGAGATATTCAATAACCCACCAACAAGATGAACATTACAATACTGGTACATTTAGAAGAGAAATTCAATAACCCACCAACAAGATGAACATTACAATACTGGTACATTTAGAAGAGATATTCAATAAGCCACCAACAAGATGAACATTACAATACTGGTACATTTAGAAGAGAAATTCAATAACCCACCAACAAGATGAACATTACAATACTGGTACATTTAGAAGAGATATTCAATAACCCACCAACAAGATGAACATTACAATACTGGTACATTTAGAAGAGATATTCAATAACCAACCAACAAGATGAACATTACAATACTGGTACATTTAGAAGAGATATTCAATAACCCACCAACAAGATGAACATTACAATACTGGTACATTTAGAAGAGAAATTCAATAACCCACCAACAAGATGAACATTACAATACTGGTACGCTTAGAAGAGATATTCAATAACCCACCAACAAGATGAACATTACAATACTGGTACATTTAGAAGAGATATTCAATAACCCACCAACAAGATGAACATTACAATACTGGTACATTTAGAAGAGATATTCAATAACCACCAACAAGATGAACATTACAATACTGGTACATTTAGAAGAGATATTCAATAACCCACCAACAAGATGAACATTACAATACTGGTACATTTAGAAGAGAAATTCAATAACCCACCAACAAGATGAACATTACAATACTGGTACATTTAGAAGAGATATTCAATAAGCCACCAACAAGATGAACATTACAATACTGGTACATTTAGAAGAGAAATTCAATAACCCACCAACAAGATGAACATTACAATACTGGTACATTTAGAAGAGATATTCAATAACCCACCAACAAGATGAACATTACAATACTGGTACATTTAGAAGAGATATTCAATAACCAACCAACAAGATGAACATTACAATACTGGTACATTTAGAAGAGATATTCAATAACCCACCAACAAGATGAACATTACAATACTGGTACATTTAGAAGAGAAATTCAATAACCCACCAACAAGATGAACATTACAATACTGGTACATTTAGAAGAGATATTCAATAAGCCACCAACAAGATGAACATTACAATACTGGTTCATTTAGAAGAGATATTCAATAACCCACCAACAAGATGAACATTACAATACTGGTACATTTAGAAGAGAAATTCAATAACCCACCAACAAGATGAACATTACAATACTGGAACGTTTAGAAGAGATATTCAATAACCCACCAACAAGATGAACATTACAATACTGGTACATTTAGAAGAGATATTCAATAACCCACCAACAAGATGAACATTACAATACTGGTACATTTAGAAGAGATATTCAATAACCCACCAGATAAGTGTGGTTTCTCTCTCATCGACCATTGTTTTATCTCAGTTTCATAAAATGATAAAACGTTTCAAGTGTTTGAGACAGTGTGGACATCGTAAGAGATAGCGTTCTGCTGACATTGCTCAAACTTTCTGCATCATCACCAATAGCACTACGGGAAAAATATGTTTGTAAACGATGGATGGATTAACGATGTTTTCGTAGAAGAGGGGGGGGTCTAGTTTGGAGGAGATTTAAGTATCAACTATTGCTGTACCATGCTGGACTTTTTCTTATTAATTTCTGATACCAGGTACGTTATTCTAAAGATTGGGATATTTTGTAAGTGACCTCCATTAAACATTAATAACAATTACAGATTACTTTTGCTGAACACTTAGGTGTTTTAATATTTTGTAGGTAGCCCCTCCTGCACCCCATCTAACCAATGATCAAAGGAGCATACCTCCCTTAAACCCTCCTGTACACCCTCCAACCAAGGCTCAAAGAAGTGCAGACCCCTCCCCTAAACCCCTCCTGTACACCCTCTAACAAAGGCTCAAAGAATTGCAGACCCCTCCTCTAAACCCCCCTGTACACCCTCTAACCAAGGCTCTAAGAAGTGCAGATATCTCTCCCCTAAAACCCTCCTGCACCCCCTCAAGCAAAGGCTTTAAAGAAGTGCAGACCCTTTCCCTAAACTTCTCCAGAAATTGTCCACCACAAATCTCAAATTTTAGATTGCTTTAAATTATACGGTTGCAGAAAATGAGCAGAAAAATAAAATTAAACATTCACCTTAGTTTGAAGATCATTAAGAATCTCACTTTGTTTATTCAACTCTCCTTCAATGACATTTGCCTGGGCAGTAAAAATCACGTTAGGATTATAAAAAAAGTTGTGGTACCGGCCAGGCTTGCCAGTAGTTGGGTATGAAACATAGTATTCAATAGACGACTTGCCTTGTTTGCATTTTGCCGGCAGGCAGATTTGGTCGAGTGGTTTTGAACGACTCTAGCAACAATGGTCAACTTCTCTTGGAATAATCTGCCTGCCAGATTATTCCATACACTAGGCAAGTCATCTATAAATACTCCCAAGTTATTTAAGTTATTTGTTTGTATATTTGTTGTATTCAACTCTGCTATTCATTTAATACAGCAGTGAAATGCATCAATAACCACTTACTTGGAAAGAAGCCACTGAATTAGACGTAGCCTCGGTTCTCCCGGTTTAAAAAGCAACTCGGACATCCAAGATTCATCAACATTTTCAACATAGGGACAACAAAGTGCCTAGTAGAAAAAAATCTCTTATTCAATCACTCTTCCCCGGGTTCAACTCCTCAATACAAACATAACATAAGTACTTATACTGAAAAGCTATCAAAAAAAGCATTTTTAGTCTTCCAAATAGTGTTAACCTCAAGTTTTTCTCTTATAACTTCCACACGTCTATTCTTTGCCGCCATATTTTTAAGCTAAAGCATTTGCATACGTCAGACTCATGACGTCAAGCACGACCGATCACGATTCGTCCCGATGGATTGTGAGCTCGCATTATTATCCTATATAAAGAAGAGTACGAAAACATATGTCTTGACTCTTTGTCTTTACTATGTTCACAACTTTATAGTTGACAGTTTGTATTGGATCTTTTTGTCCGTAACAATCATGAAGTGTATTACTCTGGCAGAGAATTTGAAACCTCGTTCATTAGGAGGCGAGACTAAGTACTCAGGACGTCGTCGCGAAGCCAAATATTTCTTTGAAGAGGCTGCTAAAAATTTGGAAAGAAAGCTCAAACGAAGTGAAAAAGACACAGAAAACGAAAACACTCGCGAAAATGTTGGCGATCGAAGTGTCACGTTGGGTTCTGAGGATTTGATCTATTCAAGCGCAGACGTTGGTTTATTTTCGTCAATTTTGTTCGCTTATATAATAGCTTATATAATAGCTTATATAATAGCTTATATAATAGCTTATATAATAGCCATTTGAAACTGCGAACGTCTCCCGAAGACTGGTGGTTTGTTGTCATCAGAAAGGTCGCGATCGCCATTGACAAACATTCAAAACATGAAAACGTACGGAAGATGTTTGTTGAACACGAAGGTTGGCATGTATGAAAATACTTGTGAAGTCCGATTTTAGATATAGTGTTTGTTTATTGATGTATTTGAATCATAGAACAATCGATGGGCAAGCACAGTTAATAATTAATATAATTAACATTGGGGGGGGGCTCAAGATAATTTGAAGATTAAAAATTTGGGCAAATTTTCAACGTTCGTACAGTAAAAAATACTAGTGAAACAAATTTTGACATGTAATTTGAAATCTGGGGAGTTCAGGAAAATATCAACTGCCCCCCCTTTAGAAATGATGGCTCACATACACCCTTTCTGAACTGAAACTCTTGTAAATACACTTTCATTATTCATGAATTTTAAACAAATTTCAGGTAAGAAAACCTTGGACGTAAAAGTGAATTCTAATAATATCTATGATGTAAACTACACCACTTTTTTTGACGCCATGTCTTGTGAAATATCAAAGAATGTCAAAGTTCCTGGTTATGTTGATCTGATATCTGCTGATTTCTCATCAAGCACACCAGTGCAAAAGATTGTATCTCAAATCACTTGGATAAAAGTAATAATTATTTACTGTCATTGTCTTCATTTTTTGTTTTTTATTAAAATATATTTAAGAAACTGCTTGCAACTTACTGTGGTAAACCTGATTGCGAATGGTGGTCAAAAATTGTCAGCAAAGAGGGATTTGGTTCAGGACCTCGGCGCTATGAAGGATGGATCCCACAGTTCATGGCAAACTTAAAAAGTCCTTCAGATTTCAGTGATTTTACAAGTGGACTTGTCACTGTACAGCTAACTCTTTCACATCTGTCAGGTTTAGTTGATGAGGCTGCATTAGTTGCTGGATGTCTGGGTTATCAGCTTCACGAGAATGATGACAACATACCATCTGTACAGCCTTATCAAGGATGGTGTCTTATGTTGCCAAAGAATTCACCATTTCGAGCTGAACACCAATGATAGACAGCAAAATGTATGAAAAAAAACTTATTTATTTAAAATATTTGATGTTATTTAGTTGTTCTATCTACGTAATATATTAAAAAATAAACTATTTTTGAAAATGAAGTACGAACAGGTCGAAGGACCAGGTGGGAGGTGAGCCACCCACCCACATTATATGATTGGTCAAGTCAAAATGGGTAGTTAAGAGTTCTTTCAAAGAGATTCTGCTTTCGGTTGAGAAACTCCGTTTCCGTAGATCATTTGATAAACGTGACTACTCAGTCAATGGCATATTTGCGGAACGCTTCTCGAAGTCGGTGACAGTCATGAAGTGTATTACACTGGCAGAAAATTTGAAACCGCGTTCATTAAAAGACGAGACTAACGACTTAGGAGGTCGTCGCGAACCAAAATATTTCTTTGAAGAAGCTGCTAAAGATTTGGAAAGAAAACTCAAACGAAGTGAAGACACAGAAAACGAAAACACTCGCGAAAATGTTGGCGATCGAAGTGTCACGTTGATAAATAAGATAAACTACACAACTTTTGTTAATCTTAACAACCGCCGACTGTTGTTTTTGTTTTAAAATTCTAGTGAGCAAATGTGCTTTTATTATTATAATACTAGTATTTTATATTGTGTCATTCAGAGGATACCAGCCAATGACGTCAGTAATGTATTATGGCATAATTTAGCATAAGGCTTTTTCAAAATGGCGGATAAGGATTCAACTTTATGTCAAATTTTCTCAACAACAAAATTCAAAGAGACACGAAAACACGAAATTAAGTATTCCATAGCTATCTATGATAAACGTATGGAAAAAAATTTTCGTTGCCAATGCCTTTAATAATTGACTTGAACAGTTGTCGTTAATTTGTTGTCCTCATGATAAACATTAGGTACGCAATTACGCATACTTGAATATTTTAAGCTGTGGTCTCGTTCATCGTTTTCAAGCTATTTTCATATGATATTGTAACAGGACCTGGCTGAAATTTCAGCACGACAAACAGGGCTAAAACTAAGCCCGGGTTGAAATTGCTCCATGTAATTGTCCTCTTAAAATCACAAAAAACTTACATGATGGCTCTTTCAAAAATTGAGGAGACGGCTCATCTTCAGTCGTGTTTTCTGTAATCAAGAAATAGATAAGAAAAGAAAGCCTAAATGTGTGTTTCTTGATATCAAAATCAAACTTAAGCTTTAATTGTCCATAGAAAACAAATATTTATCTTCTTCACATGTAAATATTATATCTCTTTTGACATTTATTCAACTGAAAGGAAACATGTGTTTATTAGTTGACTTACTTACTTAAATATCTATGGTAGCGGCCTTTCAGGCTATGCCACGTTCTTCCTTCAATAATCTAGAAAAATTTAGATCAGACAAATGTTATCAAAGTGCTGATCCCATTTTACGACATAATCGTCAATGCATTACATTTTCCTCTGCCATTTTTTTCCAAAAGTTGTGGTCGTACACTTCTCTGCGCTGTGTTAGGTTTGATTGATGTAGCCATCTATCTTACAGCTAACTGTTATGATCACCATCTATAGATTCGTGCGAATTGAACTCATGCGTGCTGTGGGTGAAAACGTTTCTTGATAATCAATTTCCTGCACTTGAGAGTAACCTTTGGCTACAAATCTGGCTTTAAACGTTTCCGCCTCGTTTTGGTCTGTCTTAGTTGTGTAAACCCATTTCTCCCCCACTATTTGTCTATTATTTGGTTTTGGTACAAGCTCATGTGTATCATTTTCTACCAGGGCTTTCATGTCAATATTCATGGCATCTTGCCATTTTTTTCTGATCATGTGCTTGAACAGCCTGTTTGTATGTTAATGGCTTGTCCTCAACCCTATAACAATAGTCTACTGTAAGACTTAAATTGTCGTTTGTTTGGTTTTGTCCAAAATAACTTGGTTTGCTTCGTTTCCGTGTGGGATATCTAACTAGTTGTTCTTTTTCATGCTGCCCTTGTGCGTGCGTGTCACTAATTAATTCAGGATTGTTTTGTTTTTGAAATATCTTTTTGTTCTTTTAAATTGTGCGGCTTTTCTTCTGTTTCATTCATACTATCTGCATTTTGTATTCGATCTGAAATCATATCGTCGATATCATTTATTTTTCTGCCTGAAATTTATCATGAAATTTGACACATCGTGCTTTCTACTTTATTTGATTCCGAATAATAAATCAAATATTCCGGACTTTCTTTGTTATAACTAACAAAGATTTCTTTTCGACCGTGATTGTCTAACTTTTGGCATTTTGTACGTATGCATAACAAGTGGATCCAAATACATGCATCGCTGCTTAAATTTGGTTTCTTACAAACCAAAGCCTCGAAGGGTGTTTTTCCTAAACGTGAGTTGAAACACCTGTTTCGAATGTAGACTGAAGTCATCAAAAAGTCAGCAAACCATATTTGGGTAGCTTTGCCTCCAATAAGAGACATCTTGCCAGGGTGTAGATAAAAAGCGGACGCGGACGGCGGATATTGTATAAATATGTTGCGAAAAATAAACATTGAAAAAGCTAAAATAAAAACGAAACTAAATGATGCTTTTAAGATACAATGAACTACACTCTCGACTATAATAATGAGCAATGTTGTATAAATACACACATGTGCAGTAATTATCTTTATATTTCTAAAAATATGTCTCCATCACAGCTGTTAACAGCATGGCGTTTTACAGACGCACCTATTCCGTTAACTCTAATGTTACGGATATCTTTGGTGTGTACTTGACGTTCATGTCATCAATCTAACAAGCATATTAGGGTGTTTTCCGTCTGATGTTATCACGAAAGACCGTAAATTTAAAGTCTTAGACAGACGCTCTTTGATGTTCTTTGTTATGATCTGCAATTGCGATGCCATATCATTGTCGAAGTTTTGTCACAAACTGCGCAAAAGCAAAATGCATGAGTGCGATCCACCCAAAACTTGTATTCATTCATAAGTTATAAAGTTAATCGAAAAGTGTACTTGTACATTGTGCACGTAAAACATTACGGATAAACGCAACTTTACAGTCAAGAACAAAACATAGCGGTTTATAGCTTATCACCTATATAAAACTATATAATCTTTCATGTATGCAAATAACAAATTAAACGTTGTTTTAAAATTCCAGTGAACAAATGTGCTATATATTATTATAATACTATTATTTTATATTGTGTCATTGAGTGGATAATTCAAAAGAGACACGAAAACACGAAATTAAGTATTCCATAGCAATCTATGATAAACGTATGAAAAAAATTTTCGTTGCCAATGTCCTTTAATATAAATAACTTCCTTTTTACTTTCCATTTTTAGCAACGACTTAGAACCTTTGCAAGACTGAATTTAAAGCCGACTATGATTTATCCATTACAATTCTTACTTTTTCATATAGTGCAGTTTTATTTTAGTCATTAAAGAAGCCGTAGTGTGTCACAAATTCATTTTCGTTTGTGGAAAAATGTTTCATGTAAAAGCCATTTTCTTTAAATCACCAATGTTATCTTTAAGATCTTTTGATTATTCTACTCTCACCTGGTGATGGAGTGGGTTAGTTTCTGTTCTGTCATGGTGTAAGTAATTTGACTCATCAAACAGCATTAATTTTATCATGAAGCATATGCTAATTTGGGGGATATGGAATGCAATGAATGTGGGCTGGTGACGCAATACGTCATCGTAATTGTGCTATTTGCATATCCTACATAAGTTTTGATTTGTTCGTTTGTGGTCATTCTTCATCGTGACGTGCTGGAGGCTTTTTAAAGTTTATAAAAAAAAAAAAATGGCAAAGTGTAGGAGTCCTCAAAAATGCAGAAAGTGCAGGAATCACGGCGTACTCGCCACTGTAAAAGGACATAAAAACAATTGTGAATATAAACATTGCAAATGCAATGCATGCAAATTAATCAATGAGGAGAGAAGGAAGACGGCTGCAAGAATAGCTGCATCCAGAAAAGGCAAGTTTTTGCTCGAATCAGATGGTATTTTGCACAACAATCTATACTTTCTTTTCTAATGTTAAATTAATACAACATTTGATTTTCCCAATAATTCATGCACAATATGCGATGTTTGTTTGGTGAAAGATTAAAAATCATTTCGTCCAACTAAACAAATTTTGTTTTCTTATCTTCAATTTCTCTAAAGTGATGTTAGCTAGCAAACTGTTTTTCACACATCGTTACGATAGACAAAATCTTTCAAAACTATTTGTGTAAAACGAACAGACTCACTTGAATGGCACTATCGCAGACAAAATGAAACATGTGTTAGAAGCATTAGTTACGACATAATCCTGGGTCGAGAGAAAAGATTTTATTCCAGAATGAGAAATATTTCATTCAAAAATCATACGAAAGTTATTTACGTTGTTCTTTCTGTCATTGGTGTAACCTGTTCTGAGAAAATGCCACCGCTATAGAAAATTACCATTTTTTATTTCTATAGAACTTTTATCATTTTGAAATGAGTAAAACCAAAAATGTTATCTATGTTACAACAACCACCACTTCGCAAATAAGAAGCACTTTTAATTGGAATTTTCATTTACCGCGTGGTAAAAACTTCGCGCCAGGGACGCCGGACTTTTACAATGTCCGAGTACAAACGTTTAGACATGATTTACAATCGATGTGATTAAAGTATACTTTCAAGCTGTAACTGACGCACTGACTAACTTGCAACTGCTTCTAACCTCAGGTTAATAAAGTCCTGAGAAGGACTGTTTTTGTTGTTGTTGACTGACGTTTCGACAACCTTAGCGGTAGTCATCGAACGACAAGGTGCACAATTAAGGTGCAGTTTACAAAATAAACTGCTCCGAGTCACGAATGACAAGGTGTTCTTTGTCACGAATGACAAGGTGCACCTTGTCACAAAGGACAAGGTGCAGTTTACAAAATAAACTGCTCCGACTGCCACGCCTCCTATATCGGGGAAACTGGCAGGAACTTAAACATAAGACTTACTGAGCACAAACGAGCTAATAAGAAACAAGACAAAACTAATCACATTGCTGAACATCACCGAATCACAAAGCACAACATTGACTGGGATTCGGCAAAATGCATCACTTACAGTACTGACTATAGACAGGGGCGTAACTAGACTTAGAGTAATGGGGGGGTGTGGAGAAAATTTGCCCTGCAAAAGGGCGTTGCCCACAAAAACAAGGACATGCATTACAATTTCTTGAGTAAACATTATTTCTGAGGACAACGTTTCAGCGACAGTTTTTTTGCAGTGGTTAACATTTTCAGCCAATATGTTTAATTCAGCTACACAATTTTCTCATGACAGGTGAGATTTCTCTCTCTTCTTGTTCGTTAACAGATTATTCTTCATCAACCTAAAAAAGACCAAAATATAATTACTTTAGAAATAACATTTTAAAAAATTAATTTAATTATTTCAATGTCATACTCAGATATTACAAACCACATCCATATTTTCCTCTTCCTCTGAATCAACTTCATTTATCTTGTTATCTATAATTAAAATTATATAATTATGTGTTCACATTATATGATCACTTATGATTTTGCGCAACGTATAGTTTGGGTCCAAATATCTATAACATTTTGCAATTGTAAAATTGTATAAACCTAGATTGTACAGGTTTAACACCAAAAAGTGCAATTGTATAAACCTAGATTGTACAGGCTTAACACCAAAAAGTGCAATTGTATAAACCTAGATTGTACAGGTTTAACACCAAAAAGTGCCTAGAGCGTAAGTTAATGAAATTATTTACTGAACGAAGATAGGTTTACATTTATATGTTTCTACAAGACCAAGCTATCAAACAAAGAAGTGAAACAATTTAAAGTTGATGACAAATTTTCTTGTTTGACAATTTTAACGTTGGCAAAGAAAATGCCATATTTAATTTAACAACTTTTACTCAATTTTGTCTTAAACACTGTGCACTGGAAACACTGTATAGAATGTCGGTTTTAAAATGGAGTCAGAATATCACCAGTTGTAGAACTACGTTTTCATGTATGTTTCTATAAATACTAAGAGCTCTAATGCACGAGTTTTCTGAATGACTTTTTATGTTGGAATATGTTTCATTATACAACAAAAGCAAACCGGGCTTCAAGGTTGAGCAAAAATATTATAACCACTAATTTGAAAATAAGCTTAAAAGAATAACCTTAGTCTTTCCACTTTTCATTCCCAATTGCTTATAACCTCGGCGTTATACTTATACATTTCCACCCCTTGTCTATGTGTACATGTATGCCTTATTTATTATAACTGGTTTTGCTCGTTTTTATTACAGTTGTTCCCCCAAAGCGTGCTCCATTGGACTATAAAGGTCGTATGGAGGATATGGAGCAGTATCTGGGTACATTAAAAAGTACCCAGCAGGAAAGCATTCAAAGAATTGAGATATTGGAGTCACAGAAACACCAACTTCAAGGAAACGTTGTGATGAAAGAAAAAGAAATGGAAGAAGTATGTATTTTGAATGATTTTGGTTTTTTAAAATGCATAATTGCTTTTCTCTGTTAGGAACTTACGACGAAACATTGAAACATTACATTGGGGCGGTCACCTGTAAATCTGTCGTGCTATGCAAACTTTTCTGTGTTTAATCATTGTAAAAACATTTTCTTTAAAAATGATTGATGATTGTGCTCTAAACTTTACATACCAGGAGTTCTACTTGCGGCCTTGCTACGCTAATGAAACATTTAAGTCACTAAAGCCTGTTTTCCACTTGCCACGTATTGTAACGTATCGTAGCAAAACGTAACATGGCGCATGCGTACTTATGAATTTGATGGTCAATAGGCGCAAGCACGCATGCGCCATGTTACGTTTTGCTACGATACCTTACGATACGTAGCTAGTGGAAAACAGGCATAAGTCAGGTTTTTTTATTGCCGATTTGATTTTATGACTTACCCATGGATTAGAAATGCTGCCTAAAAACATTCGTCTTTGCGAACTTCTTTGCCTTCGCATTTCATTTAGAACTGTGAAATTTCCTTAGATAGAGATGCATGAATATAATCTGTACGTTTTTGTAGGCGGATTGTTAAAGTGATCCGAACCCTCTGGATCAACGATTTAAAAACGATACTTTCACTTCATTGAGTGCTTGCTTTGCAAAAAAATTAGCGAAATTCTGACTAAGAAATTAGTTTGATGTTGATTTTAAGAAGCGCAATTTCTTTGTCGCACTCCAAAAGTACGTATGAGAGTTAGGGAACATTTAGAGTCCGTTGGGTCTTACTGATTTAAATGCTGAAAAGTCGTCTCCTCCTCTACGTATAAATATACTTTTGTGTCCTCATTGAAAAAGCTTTTTCTTCAGGCTGCAGCATTGAGTAAAAAATTGCAAAATCGACTGAATGAAAAGACAGAAGTTGAGGAAGAGTTAAGAGGCGAAATTGAGAGGGTGTTGTCGGAAAAAGATTTAATTGATCGTGAAAGAGAAGAGTTGAGAACAAGAGTTTGTGAACTGGAGGCGAGACTTCGAGGTGAGGAGACAATACGACGTCAGCTTCATAATAAAGTACAAGAGTTGAAGGGTAACATTCGCGTCTATTGTCGTGTTCGGCCAAGTCTGCCTTCAGAAACTAGTGTTTCGCTCATTAATATGGAGTTCGCCAATGACACTGATATTATTGTACGCAATAACAGCAAGGTATGTGTTTATTTATGTAGACCTTTCAATCTTTTATTGGGAACAGTACGCTGTTCCGTAAAATGCATTACGCTGTTCCTTTCAATCTTTTATTGGGAACATTACGCTGTTCCGTTTATTTATGTTTACGTACGCACATAAACATACCAACGTTGTTTGGTGAATATTGAAGATTGATTCAAATGTTTTGCAAACTTTCCTGTTTAGTCTAGTACTTTGTCTAAGAAAAGCCAACAAGCCAGAATGTCATTTTCATTTGACAAAGCATTTTGTCCAGAAACCACTCAAGTAACGATTTATCAAGAAACAGCACAGCTAGTTCAAAGTGTGCTTGATGGATACAATGTTTGCATCTTTGCGTATGGTCAGACTGGATCAGGTAAAACATTTACAATGGAAAGTGATATCAAAGGCCGTGATACGTGGGGTGTGATACCACGTGCTATGGAACAAGTCTTCTTTAGTGCCAAGGATCTCATGAGTAAAGGTTGGAAGGTAATAAATGTCAATTTTGTACACATAAAGTATATTATTAATGACGAGTTGACTTTTCAGAAAGATACATGTAGCTCACGACACATGATTATGTTAAATCGCTCGATTGGGGTTTTTCCAGCCATTTATTCAATCATGATTTTTCCCAAAACTTTATGTAGTACGAGATACAAGCGTCTTTTCTCGAAATATACACCGAGACAATACGTGATCTCCTTGGAAACCCTGACAGCAAACATGAGATTAAACAAGTAACCACAAACAATGGCAAACAAGTCAACGATGTGTTTGTTACCAACTTGAAAGCCGTTGCCGTTACATCATCCGATCAAGTAAGTAGCATTCTATTTCGTCATCGGCCTAAGTCGTTACGGGGCCGTACGAAAGGCTGTAACACGTGTGCGCAAGCAAGATTTTTTTGAAGAGGTTTTTTCATTTCAGTTTTTTGGATTTTGCGGTTGTGGAGTGAGTTATCTGTGTTGCTTTAAGTTTATCTCGTTTTAGGTTATGGTTCCTATGTTTTTTTTTTAAACTTTGTTTCGCCTTAGTTTTACGTTTTTAGCTCTCTATTATTGAAGCAAACGATGATATCGTTGAATTTCGTAATTAGTTTTCTCATACTAACATGCCGGCTACGTACGTCTCCTACGTGAATCGCCATCTTCTATGTAACGCAAAAAATTATGTGTTTGTAAATGTAGATTGTCCAGATTGGTATAGTCCTGAGAAGGACTGTTTTTGTTGTTGTTGACTGACGTTTCGACAACCTTAGCGGTAGTCATCTTCAGAGTTCATCTCTGAAGAGTCATTTTGACTCTGTATATGGCTTCCACTAAGGTTGTCGAAACGTCAGTCAACAACAACAAAAACAGTCCTTCTCAGGACTATACCAACCTGGACGATCTACATTTACAAACATGTAACGATACTCTCGGTCAAACCATTTACTTTACTGCAAAAAATTATGGTTGATAATAAGAACTTAATACTTCCCTCTCTCAGCATCCGTGGTTTCTCAAAAATCACAGCAATCGGCGACAAAGGAAGCCAATGCACTAGCCTCATAAGAGGCAACACATGCAGCCTCTGATGAAACATAAGCCCGTCTTCTGATTAAGCTTAAACGTTATACAACAGGGACAGTGTTCCCCATAACACGCAAGTATAGCCTTTTTGAAGGAAATGATCACCCCTTTAATTCCAAAATTTTTGATGGTTTCCTTTATGTTGCCTTCATACGGCAACGCTGAGAGAGAAAGTTTGAGAAGACGAAAATGATGGTTTTCTTATAGTTGACTCTCGGGCTTCTTCTGATCATCCAAAAGACGCATATCAGATGAGAAAACTAAAATTGTTCATAGAAATTAAAAGCAAGCCACATGAAATGCTTTTTCGAGTTGATTTATACAAACAGCCAGTGTATCCCCTTAAAAGAATCTGTGACAACTGTTCTTCTATTTGAATAGGTAGAATAGCAAAGTGGAAAAGTTGAATTTTTAGAAAGGCAATATATTTGCTCCAGTAAATCATTTGCAAAAGAACATGCTTTTGAGGGGGTTTTCGGAAAGGCTTCCAATGCAAATTGTACAAAGCTTGTAAAACCGGTTGCTAGTTTTCTCTTCCAAAATTCTCTTCTTTTCCCAATACTGCTATACAGAGTACTATCTTTCAAAAGAACTTAACACTACATATCATGAATATATGAGTACGAGCCTCTTCTCTCAGTTCTTCTTCCAGCCTCTTCCTCCAGTTACGCCCATGCTCGTCCAGTTACTCAGCATAAACCGTTACACTCGCTCTTTAACACTGGTTTGCGCATGCATCGTGCTGTATCTTGTACAACTTCCATTTGTAACTGTTGACTCGTAGAATTCCTTCTAATTTGCGTTATAATGTTTTACGTTGCGTACAATACACTGCTGTGTTGCATCTTGTTTGTAATTAATAAAATGCTTTACATTCATTTGTCATCTAAATATACTAGGAGCTTTAGCACGATTACGGCTACGTGTTTTGTTGTCGCAACAATGTTTTTGCGCCAAAATGACGTAAGTCGTACTCGTAGTCTTTGCTAAAGCTCCCTATTATTTTGTAACGTACGTCATTTTTAGGTAAGTGAGCTTGTCATGGCATATTTACTCTTTAAGAAACATGATTACAATGAGTGTGGTCTCACTCACTTTTTGCTATTGTTTTTTGTTATTTTATATCTATATTGTAAAATTTTCATACTCTAGGTGTCCAGTTTACTTCGAAAGGCTTACGAAAATCGTTCTGTGGCCGCTACAAACTGTAACGATCGCTCGTCGAGAAGTCACTCTGTCTTTCAACTAAAACTCGTCGGGAGTAATGAGATAAATGGGGAACTAAGTCAAGGCAGGATTATGCATATTTATGTTTTTGTTTTCAGTTTAAGAATTTTTGAAATAGTTCGTCATATTAGAATATGGATGTTGACTATCGACTTAGTTCTATATGATTAGTCCAGCTTTTATTCTGCTTTAACACGTTTCCACGCGGTAAAACAGGGACTGCGCAGCGAAATCAAATCTGGAGGGGGGTTGGTTAAAGCCTGTTTTCCACTAGGCACGTGTCGTAACCTATCATAGCATGCGCCCTGTTACGTTTTGCTACGATACGTTACGATGGCTATTGGAAAACAGGCTTAAGACATATATTAACTAAATATACTACGTCTTACCTTGCCTTTAATTTAGCTAAAATGTATAAATGTTAGCAAAAACTTTATCTGGGGAAAAAGTGGGGTGGGGGTGGTGTGTGCTCTAGTCCCCACTCTCTTTGGCGCCGTGGCTGTAAATGTCTCCTCGAATTTATTATATATTCAGTAGCAAAATTGTTATCTATTGTTTTGCGATGACGATGAGCTAAATTTTTTCAGGGGTATTGAGTTTGGTTGATCTGGCGGGTTCTGAAAGTATAAGTCAATCCGGATCAACAGGATTAAGACTTAAGGAAGCTAAACACATAAACCAGAGCCTCACACATTTGGGTACAGTCTTCAACTCCTTGGCTAAGAAGGTAAGCATATACTTACCTTATGATGGATGAACTTTAATTCATTGACAGGAGATATGATTTTTGTATTCTATTAACGCTGTGCACAATGCGATTTTCAAACATTACATAAATATAAGAAAAATATATACATCTGCAACAATAGACCGTTCTTTGAAATTCCAACAATAAAAATTGCATGTTTAGATTATTTATTCCAGAAAATAAATGTTTGCGTGTGTTTTTAAATTTTACTCAATCATACGTAGCTTATACTGTGTAGAGAGATGATAGTCAAATAAATTATAATACATTTTAGGCTAGTCACGTGCCTTATAGAAACTCGAAATTAACTCATTTGTTGCAAAACTCTCTTGGTGGTAACAGTAAAAGGTTGGTATTACTGAATATATGTGTATCAGATTTTCATCAATGTACGCACGTCATTGTAGATGACATGAAGTATTAACATGTGTTAGTTGTGATAATTAGTGTATGTGAATAATACATTCATATTTCAGTTTGATGTTCGTGAATGTTTCTCCTCGCGAGGACTCTTTCCAGGAAACCCTATGTTCACTTCGATTTGCCACTCAGGTATGATTCGTATATGTCATAGCATGATTTCGAGTGCAATTCGGGGAAAACATGCACGAGTGAGTTTTTCAAAGACTATCAAAATTGCACGAGTCTGAAGGACGAGTGCCTGTTTTTCCCAAATTGCACGAGAAACCATGCTATTACTTATTAATAATATACATGAAAAAATTTCTCAATCCTGCCGGCAAGTTGTAAATATCGACCAACTCGTATTTTTGAATTCCGTCAAATATTACTTTTCATAACACCATAGCTTCCGCACACGCAGCTAGAACAAGGTATCTACTTTTAGCAGTGTTCATGTTTTCATACAGAAATACTTTGAAAACGGTGAACTGTAAACTCGTTCGACAAAGAAAATCAACTTGAAACTTCGCTAGCCATTGTAGTTGCTTTGTTTACAATAACTTAAACTTTCCCCCCTTCGAAATATTGTATTATGATTGGCTCTTACGTAGATCACTTCTTTGTTTGACTAACCAATTAGGAGCACAGTTTTCAAAAATAAATTGCACTGCTCATAACCAATTGAGAATTTTTTTCATGTATATTCTAAATACAACTTTACACCATATGACCAACCTTACACCATATGACCAACCTTACACCATGTGACCAACCTTACACCATATGACCAACTTTATACCATATGACCAACCTTAACACCATGTGACCAACCTTACACCATATTACCAACCTTACACAATATGACCAACCTTACACCATATGACCAATCTTACACCATATGAACAACCTTACACCATGTGACCAACCTTACACCATGTGACCAACTTTACACCATATGACCGACCTTACAACATGTGACCAACTCCACACCATATGACCAACCTTAAACCATGTGACCAACCTTACACCATATGACCAACCTTACACCATATGACCAACTTTATACCATATGACCAACCTTAACACCATGTGACCTTACACCATATTACCAACCTTACACAATATGACCAACCTTACACCATATGACCAATCTTACACCATATGAACAACCTTACACCATGTGACCAACCTTACACCATGTGACCATCCTTACACCATGTGACCAATAATAAGACTTCTTCACTCTCACGTTCATGTAGTATTGCAGTTTGCTTTTCAGCTTGACGTTGATATTTTATTTTAATTTCATCAACCTTTCGTTTCATTCTTCAATATGTAGCTTTGTTTGTTTTATTTTAACGTAAACAATTGTAATATTGGTACTGCTCAAAAGTGAAGAAGTGATTTCTCAAGGCTAACTTTGTAGATAAATAAAAATTATTTGCGCGGATTTGCGTTGCAGTTTTATTGATGTATATCATTAGAATGATAATATAAGAATTTGAGAACTACTTCTTCATAGGAATAATAGCGTTATAAAGTATTAAATGATAATTCAATGTGCACAAGACAATGTCTCAGTTCATATAACGCTACATTCTGGGTCTCATATAAACTTATATTGCTGGCGGTGAAAAATTGATATGAGTAGTTTAGCACCTTTTGTTATAACATCAGACTAGCACGCTAGTAGCAAAGATTAAAACAGTTTGAAATGTTCTTGTTGAATGAATATGTTACATTTAAGAAATAGAAAAACATTTCCAATATTCTGTAGAGTTATATAAACACGCGTTGCAGGTCACTGTTGCAGGTTCGCTACCTGCAACAGTAATACAGTTATGTACGAGTAATATTTTATAAATGTTAAATAATTATGCTTTGCTGTTTCCATTAGCCATTAATTAGATCATGCTAAAATGTTCAAAGTGGAAGTTATTATATGATACATTGTACTGTAAAGCACATTTTGAATCAACCATATTCAATGTTTTTAAACATCCATGATTCTGCTGAAATTACAATCGAATACGAAATACTCTAAAAAAGAGAATTTACAAGTCCGAAATGAGTATTAGAATATGGAAATGCTTTAAACTTGCAAAATTATTCACTTCTATTCATTTGGATGCTTATTTGGGGAATAAAATTATTTTCAACTTACAAACAGTAAAAGAATAGACTGGCTTGCTACATTTCACATCCAATTGAAATCATTGAATCATATCAAATGAAGATAAGTATAGTCAAACAACGTAGTATAGCTATCTATACTACAATTACTAATATTAAAATAATTAAATGACTATTGCATGGAAAATTTTTACAGAAGTAAAAAGCATCAAATTTTTTCACTGATTACCTCCATCATAATTTCTCTAAGGATTTCATTTTTTCATGATGGCAGTCCTTCACAAGATTAGAAGGGCCAAGGCCTCCTTCTTGTCAGCCTTACTCTCAATCAATCCTTTGTAAATCCCTTGCAACAGTATTAATATCATAAATGTTACTTACGAGCATAGATCTTACCGTGTTGTTTCAAGTTACTCTTCTTATTAAACGTTTTACCAAAATGTTCACATTGATAAGGTTTTTCTTGTGTGTATCCTCATGTGTCTTTTAAAACTATTAGACTTATTAAATCTTTTACCACAATGTTCCCATTGATAAGGTTTCTCTCCAGTATGTATCATTACGTGACTTTTTAAGTTACAAAGCTGTGTAAATGTTTTACCACAGTGTTGACATTGATAAGGTTTCTCTCCTGTATGTATCCTAAGGTGTTTATTCAAATCACAATTCTGTGAAAATGTTTTACCACAATCTTCACATTCATAAGGTTTCTCTCCTGTATGTATCCTAACGTGTCTATTCAAGGCACTATTGTGGGTAAATGTTTTACCACAATGTTCACACTGATAAGGTTTCTCCCCTGTATGTATCCTAAGGTGTTTATTCAAGGCACTATTGTGGGAAAATGTTTTACCACAATGTTCACATTTATAAGGTTTCTCTCCTGTATGTATCCTAAGGTGTTTATTCAAATCACAATTCTGTGAAAATGTTTTACCACAATGTTCACATTTATAAGGTTTCTCTCCTGTATGTATCATACCATGACGTTTTAAGTTACCAAGCTGTGTAAATCTTTTACCACAATGTTCACATTTATAAGGTTTCTCTCCTGTATGTATCATACCATGACGTTTTAAGTTACCAAGCTGTGTAAATCTTTTACCATAATGTTCACATTTATAAGGTTTCTCTCCTGTATGTATCATACCATGACGTTTCAAGGTACCAAGCTGTGTAAATCTTTTACCACAATTTTCACATTGGTAAGGTTTGTCTCCAGTATGTATCCTAACATGTTTATTCAATTTAGAAAGCTGTCTAAATGTTTTACCACAATGTTTGCAATGATAAGGTTTCTCTCCTGTTTGAACCCTCACATGTCGTTTTAATGGTGGATTTTTTCCGCATTCATTTTTCATGTGAACATTTAGATAGTCTTCACTACTGTACTTTCGACCACAACGTGGACATTCCCAGGGATTCGTACAAACAAGCATTGGACATCGTTTTAAATGTTTCTCTAAATAATCGGGATAACTATACATCCTTCCACAGTGTCTACAGCTGTGACCTCCAACTAAAAAGAAAAGTTAGAATTACATCACAGGATAAAGAACTGAATGATCATACATAATTCCATTGATGTACTTCAAAGCAATGAAATTTGTTTGAAAAAGTTCTCCATCGTTAAAACAACTGCATTGTTCACAATTTTAAAGCAAATATCAAATCACAGTAATGAACTGATGTTTAAAATATTCTTGACTCTACACTAAAAGTAAAGTACTTACAAATGTTAAGATCATCATCAGGCACATCTTCCACTGTATAAATCTTTTTGGATGGCTTTCTTAATGATCGTCTTAAAGAAGTCTTTTTCAGAGCTTTACAGTTATATTTGATGGATTTTCTTTTAATGATGGATTTAGTTTTTTTGTCATTTACACCGTTGACCTTGGGTTTTGACGTTGACGAATTACCGATTGTTTTAGAAGAAACCTGTAAAAACGTTTGATTGAAATTCATCCAAAAAATGTGAAAATGTTTACTTAGCGCTCATCCTTTCCTTTTATCCATTTTCTAAAACATACCTGTTTATTTGCAAATTTCTTCATGACTTCAGTTTTTAATGTTGTTTTAAAAACTATAAGAAAGCAATTTCATTTTTAAAAAAACTATACTTCTTACAGTCAAAATTGAAAATTACAAAAGAAATTCCCAGGGAACGACGTGTCCTACGCTTGCACGAAATCTTTCTAAAGCAAATTGTTGGAGATGTAATGTTTATCTCAAAAATAGTTTTTGTTCAAAATCGTAATGAACTTGTAACTTTGTTGATTTATACAACAGCAGACAGAAAAACATGTCGATCATTTCATACGCTTCAGACGAAACTGAAACACCATTACCGTTGAAGCTGTTCTATCGTGTAAACGAGGTTTGTCAGATACTATCAAAAATGAAATCAAGATTAGGGCAGCCTCCACCATACAATTGTCCTCTATGTGTGAAAAGAGATTTATTTCAAGGTAACACAGGTGGCGCAAGCTCGATAATTTTTTTTGGGGGGTGGCAAATACTCATATATGCATGTCCTACCTTAGTAGCTTCTATTGAAATCAATTGTGGGTATGGATTAAACAAAAGATTAAAACATACCAATATATAAATACCTTCTCCTTCAATTATCAATCTTGCCCCCCCCCCTCCGCATAAATGGTCACACAATATGAGCTTTTATATTTTTTTAGTACAGTGTTTGTTTTACCGCCGCTTATGGACGGCGAACATAAGGGAACTAATAAGAGCCGCGGCGTTAAAACGAGCATTCACAGTAAATAAGCTGTGCATAGATGATGTCATAAAAACCTTTAAAAACTTCTTATGTATCATGTTTCTACATATTTGATTCCTTATAAATGATGGAGAATATCTAAAGGTTTCAATTATATTTCATAATCTGATATGTAGTGAAATCACTCAAATACAGTTAAAGTACATCATGTAAAAAAAATTTAATGAAGATAACAACATTGAACTAATATAATTAAAAAGTAAAGTTCCATCGTTCAAATTAAATACGTTTCATCATTGCAACCTACTTCAATCCAGAGACGAAGCAACTTGAAATTGTCGATAAAACTTTGTTTGATGTAGAACGTTCCCAAATGGTTCAATTTTTTAAACTTGAATTCAGACGTTTATTGCTCTTTAAAATCATACGCACCAAGTGCCAAGTAAATATTCAACGTTCACCGTAGGTTTTGAATGTTTTGTATCACATTTCAAGTTTTGGCGGAAATATGGCGCATGCGTGGTAGGCCTAGTCTAGCAGCCGGAAATCCCCGTATCATGATCGGAGATCTTTTTTACATTTAAATGTCGTCTTTACACACTTTTGCACTGTGTTTTTCAACATTTATTGAGTTGTATGATAATCAAGACTGTGTCATGATTAGTTAGTATGCAAGAAGAACGACACAAAGTATCTCATACTTTATCATATTCAGGTGAGGGAGAGGGGGGGTGTACTTGTTCTTGGTTTAATTTTAATGACAGAGAGGATAGAGTTGAGCATTGAGTTGAGGAAACTGTCAAATTGACCGATTCGTCGAGATTTCTAAATGTACATGACTTTCCATTAAAGCTATGAATTACATATGAGCATTGATACATTAAACAATGTGTATTGAGTTAACAAATGCTTGTTAATAATTTGACCATTTGTTCATTGTTGTGTTGTCATTAAATTCAAATGGAGATTTCATTTGATTTGCATACAGATTAAAAAGATGATGGCTGCAAATGGAAATTACTTGATTTCAACATAATTTCAAATTTTGACAGTGAACTTGTTGTTGGTTTCTTTGAAATATCATAAAAATTCATCTGCTTGACAGTAAAAGTTCGCATCTAGTTTTCATTGTGAAACATGCAGCTGACAAGTTGCAGAAGAAACAAACGTTACAAAAATGCATTGCTGAAGTGGCAAAAAATTGAAAAGATTTCATGGAAAGAAAACTTTTACTAAAGCACTTGGTAGGAGGGGTGGTTATTTTATGACAGAGTCAAGAGGGGGTGAATGCTTTAACAAAAGCAATTTAGAGCAAGGATGGTTACTTCATAAGTTGAAGAAGGTATTACTCGCCATTCATAAATGTGTTTTGAAACATAAACATATATCATGATTATTAGCATTTATCTTATCAACAAAATGATGTGAATATTTTCATTTTAGTTATGAAATATGTCCTTTGTAATCATTGGTTCCCTGTTGTTTGTCTTTGTTCTCCAGTTCATGAATGACATGATCATTAAATGATTGGTGTTAACAGTTGCATCATAATTGGTTATTTCAAAAGTTAGCAAGGTATGAGTTAAAATGATGAATAAATTTGCACGTAGGTAATAGCATGGTTTCTTGTGCAATTTGGAAAGAAACTTGCGCTAGTGAGTTTTTAACTATCAAATCAAAACAGCATGAGTCTGAAGGATGAGAAGAACTTAGAAGTCCATGTTTTCAAAACGATGCAATTACTTATTATTAATATGCTTAAAAAATTTCCTCAATTTTGTTGATTGTTAGCTTCAGCACAAATACATTTTGAACCAAAAGTTGATGAAATCAATCGACTTATATTTTTCAATTTGTTAGATATTTTTTTTGTTGAATCATTGCCTGGTTGCACACATGCACATAGCCAAAAACATGGTACTTTTGAAAGTGTTCATAATTTTGGCAATGTCATGCAAATGCTGAATTGTAAATTGGGTCACCAAAGACAAAGAAAAATCTACTTAAAATTTACATTGAGTTATGGCAGGCACTGTTATTGCATTCTGTTACATTATTGTATATTTACAACTTGCAAATGTTTCATTTCATTGGTTTTTATGACTTTATCATTGTTTTGAGAAACCTTAAGGAGGGTTTTAAAATATGACTAAATGATATTGACTCCTGGATGCATAAGCCAGAGGTTGATCCAAGAGGAATTTGTATAGGGCATGCTTTGGTTTAGATTTGATTTTGAAAGCAACTTTGAGTGTGTTGCTATTGATAAGATGGGTATGACCCTACTGCAACTTTGATAGTAAATCCATCTCTACTTGTGTTTTTAGATAATGAGAGACAAAGTTGGCTTGATTGCTAAAAAAATGTGTCCAGCAAACCTTGTTTGTATCATATACAACCATCTTAACCAACTGTGTTTTTTGTCAGTTGTAAAGAGATTTTGATGCTATGCTGTACTTATGTAAGATGTCATTTCGTATGCTACCTGTGGACACATACTGGCGTTTGACTGAGGATGTGGTCTTTCCTTGTTATGTATTTGCTGTGGTCTTTGGTTTTACATTACTGGCTGTTTGTGTTCTTGAAGAATGGAGGTATACCTGTATTTTTGTTACATTCTGACTAGTTCTACTCGATTAAAACATGATCATGATTTTAACATTTGAAATTTATCGTTGATCATTTTCAATTTTAAACATTGATTTGTAAAACAAAGAGGGAATTTATGTTTCAGTACCTGGAGCTTTGATTACAAGTACATAATGACTTGTTGGTATTGTCCATGGCTGGTATTCTTGGGTTCAGAGAAATGTTAAAGTGTTATCACTAGTGATGCACCAATATACATATTTAGCGTTATAACAATCAGCAGATATTTAAATGCCGATATTGTGCCAATACCGATATTTTATGCCATTTTACGAAACTTAAGCATCATAAAGTATGCCAATTTATGCTCACCATTGACTGTTCATTTCATAAAAAAATATAAAATTCAAAGCGGTTATTTACACTGCAGCCATATTTCACAACACAACCCAATTGTCAATGGAAATTGATATCATGTGGAACTAAAAAGTTTAAAGTAGTATTAATTTAACAAAAATTGTTAAGGTAATATATATTTAGTATTGTTAAACTATGATTAATTTCAATTGTATTTCTATTTCGATGCAATGTTTAAATGTCGGTATTATGAGCAATGAGAACGAAAAATACCAATGGCGTTATTCTGTTTTGGAGACGGTACGCAGATATCGATGTCAGTATATCACTAGTTATCACCTTGTTCATATCGACTGCCTTTAATGCTGGTACTATACAAAACATATAGACTGTACTTGTAGGGATAGAAAGGGCTATAGTGAGGGTTAAATACCGATAATTTTTCTCACTTGAAAAAAAAAACAACATACTACATTTCTTTTTTAGTGGTAATGATTTTATTTCATGGTGGAAAAATGTTCATACTTCGTTGAAAAGACGTCCTGAAGTCGTTTATCATCTTGTACAAACATTCTTCTTTACCTTTATGGCCGTAACTACGTTGAGATTTAAGTTTTTATGGATGCCACATATTTGCATTGTCGCCGCAGGAATAATTTGTTTGCAGGATTTGTGGAGCTTTCTCTTGTCGAAAATTTACCTGACATGTGCAAAGGTATGAGATTATATTATTTAATATGAAATGACTTGTTTGTAAATGTAGATCGTCCAGGTTTGTAAAGTCCTGAGAAGGACTGTTTTCGTTGTTGTTGACTGAAGTTTCGACAACCTTAGCGGTAGTCATCTTCAGAGTCAAAATGAATTTGACTCTGACTTTTGACTCCGAAGATGACTACCGCTAAGGTTGTCGAAACGTCAGTCTACAACAACAAAAACAGTCCTTCTCAGGACTATACCAACCTGGAAGATCTACATTTACAAACATGTAACGATACTCCCGGGTTCAAACCATTTACTTTAATATGAAATGAATTACAGAAACTCAAATCACAACTCGGTTGTGCATTTTATGAGCAACTTTAAGGTACATACATCAAGGTACATGTTAAACACTAGATCGTTTAACGATCCATAAAGATACAACTAAAAGCAATTTTGAAATACGCCATGATAATTTATAAAATTCATTTAGATACATTGAGACATTAACATGCATTATGTAAGATACATTAACATACATCAGCATACATTGTGTAAGAACTTTAACATACATTAGGATACATTTTGAAATTAAAGATCCATGGAGATACATTGTAAGAGACATAATTTTTTACTGCTAGATGTTCGTTTTATTTTTGAACTAATAGTGATTTGTCGTCATTGTTTTACGATGAGATGAGACTGTCTCAGAAGATACTCATTTAAAGTTATATGTGACCAAGTATCTTTATCATGGAATCATCGTAAATTTGCTCTTTTTCACAGGCTAAAATTGGAAGTTCCTTGGTTCCGATAATTTTGATTGTTTTGGTGTTGTGTCAGGTACGATGTGATCTTAAATATTAACAGTTTCTGCTGAAGTTATTTTATATTTTAATCAAGGCGAGATTTTAAGGGGAGGCGCGGGGAGGTGGGCACGTCTCCTAAGATCGCTTTTCCCCTGACATGTTTCCCACCTTCCCTTGAAACGTAGAATTTTTCCCATTCACTGCCAAACACACGCCACAAACTCGAAATATAAATTCTTAAGTAGAACTGTAGAAAATGAGACATTTCCGTTATCTGTCAAATGAAATCCGACAAACCATGAATTTGAGGAGAATTCAACCAATCGGAGCACAGGTTTTTAATGGGCTATTTTATAATAGACTCTAGTGTATGCAGTATTTGTTGATATTTATTAGTATACTCGTTAAAAAGTCTTAAATCACATGTTAAGTAATTATGTTCACAGGGTTATCGAACGTTAATAGAGAGGACCATATTTATATATTCAGCTATGCCAGGCTGGTTTCTTTTGAAACTGAAATTGTTTTCAAAAGATAATAGCCAAGTATAGCTGAATATATTAATATATTGCCCCACCTCCAATTGACGTACATATCCTGAGAAGGCAAACAACCAGACCTCCACGCACCTTAAATCCGGTCTTGAGTTTAATCTGATGTATGTGATTACTATATAGAGAATGGAAGGAGCGTTGAACGAATTAAAAGATTTGAAAATTCATGGTCCATCTGCAAAATTCTCTTTGATTGATTTGATTGATTGAGCTCAGATCGAACGGAGCTCACATGCTTATGCAATCAGCGCATGCGTTGCATTGATTTTATTTTATAATGAACATTGAATAACAAGTAAATACTTCATTTACTTATCATATTAATCCATCGCAATGACCATTGACACAAGCCTTCGGCAGCAGTGGACGCAGTCTTGATCTTATCGGGATCGAATTCCGGATTCGAGGTGTACTTCTGACGGATGGTTTTCACAACTTTGGCGTCATTTTTGTTCAAAATCATTATTAAATCTTCATAAAACACTGACAACGACCCCTAGTTTTTTAATCTCTTTGTTTCCAATGTTTAGGTTAGGACAATAAAAATTATACGATAATTCTTGCTACTGACCAAAACTGTAGTGATCACATGAACGATTTGGCGGAATTTTTTCGTTCATGATGATGATATAATAGTTGAGATTTAAGAATGTTATAATTTTGATCTTGTTTTAGTTAACAGTTAGGGATGTTTTAATTGAGACGTGACATAGACAATACTAACATTCAACTCAGTTCTTTTAATTCACTGTTTCTCCCTGTAGAGTAGATTTGGCTTTGGAAATTATGAGGGAAGAAGAGCATTGTAACCATTGCCTTTTAGAAGACCAGCTTCAGAGTGAAAGCGTGGAACGCAGAATCATATATGTAAATTAACAATTACTCACATCTTGCTGGTTAACCACGTACCTCAATCGCATTGCTATGAATGTTTATACAAAACTCAACACTAACTTCTATGTAACTACTAAATAGAGTTAATTGCATAAATATTGAGACGAAAGTGGGGTGCTTTATTGGGAAGTCTGACTCTTATTGAGACAAAACTGCTCTAATTTAAAGGCAATAAATATTTGAGGAAAAATACTAACAAAATCCTGCCTTGTTTTTCTTCCTCTTTAATCCATGCTCTTTCATTCCTAAAAAGTAAAACAAAAGTACACGAATTTTGTTTCAAGGGACTATATATCACGAATTTTCATGCAAAAGACTATATATCACGAATTTTCATGCAAAAGACTATAGTACACCAATTTTCATTCAAAAGACTATAGATCACGAATTTTCATGCAAAAGACTATAGATCACGAATTTTCATGCAAAACACAATAGTACACGAATTTTCATTCAAGGGACTATACATCACGAATTTTCATGCAAAAGTCTATAGTAGACGAATTTTCATGCAAAAGACTATAGTACACGAACTTTCATGCAAAAGACTATAGATCACAAATTTTCATGCAAAAGACTGTAGATCATGAATTTTCATGCAAAAGACTATAGATCACGAATTTTCATGCAAAAGACTATAAATCACGAATTTCGATGCAAAAGACTATAGTTAACGAATTTTCATGCAAAAGACTATAGTTAACGAATTTTCATGCAAAAGACTATAAATCACGAATTTCGATGCAAAAGACTATAGTTAACGAATTTTCATGAAAAAGAATGTAGATCAAGAACTTTCATGCAAAAGACTATAGTACACGAATTTTGAATCGAAAGGGTTGTATCTTATTGAGACGAAACTGGGTGCTTTATTGGGAAGTCTGACTCTTATTGAGACAAAACTGCTCTAATTTAAAGGCAATAAATATTTGAGGAAAAATACTAACAAAATCCTGCCTTGTTTTTCTTCCTCTTTAATCCATGCTCTTTCATTCCTAAAAAGTAAAACAAAAGTACACGAATTTTGTTTCAAGGGACTATATATCACGAATTTTCATGCAAAAGACTATAGTACACCAATTTTCATGCAAAAGACTATATATCACGAATTTTCATGCAAAAAACTATATATCACGAATTTTCATGCAAAAGACTATAGTACACCAATTTTCATGCAAAAGACTATAGATCACGAATTTTCATGCAAAAGACTATAGATCACGAATTTTCATGCAAAAGACTATAGTACACCAATTTTCATGCAAAAGACTATAGATCACGAATTTTCATGCAAAAGACTATAGATCACGAATTTTCATGCAAAACACAATAGTACACGAATTTTCATTCAAGGGACTATACATCACGAATTTTCATGCAAAAGTCTATAGTAGACGAATTTTCATGCAAAAGACTATAGTACACGAATTTTCATGGAAAAACTATAGTACACGAACTTTCATGCAAAAGACTATAGATCACAAATTTTCATGCAAAAGACTGTAGATCATGAATTTTCATGCAAAAGACTATAGATCACGAATTTTCATGCAAAAGACTATAGTACACCAATTTTCATGCAAAAGACTATATATCACGAATTTTCATGCAAAAGACTATAGTTAACGAATTTTCATGCAAAAGACTGTAGATCAAGAACTTTCATGCAAAAGACTATACAAGACGAATCTTCATGCAAAAGTCTATAGTAGACGAATTTTCATGCAAAAGACAATAGTACACGAATTTTCATGGAAAAACTATAGTACACCAATTTTCATGCAAAAGACTATAGATCACGAACTTTCATGCAAAAGACTATAGTACACGAATTTTCATGGAAAAGACTGTAGATCACGAATTTTCATGCAAAGACTATAGTTCACGATTTTTCATGCAAAAGACTGTAGATTACGAATTTTCATGCAAAAGACTATAGTACACGAATTTTCATGCAAAAGACTATAGATCACGAATTTTCATGCAAAACACAATAGTACACGAATTTTCATTCAAGGGACTATACATCACGAATTTTCATGCAAAAGTCTATAGTAGACGAATTTTCATGCAAAAGACTATAGTACACGAATTTTCATGGAAAAACTATAGTATACGAATTTTCATGCAAAAGACTATAGATCACGAATTTTCATGCAAAAGACTATAAATCACGAATTTTGATGCAAAAGACTATAGATCACGAATTTTGATGAAAAAGACTATAGATCACGAATTTTGATGCAAAAGACTATAAATCACGAATTTTGATGCAAAAGACTATAGATCACGAATTTTCATGCAAAAGACTATAAATCACGAATTTCGATGCAAAAGACTATAGTTAACGAATTTTCATGAAAAAGAATGTAGATCAAGAACTTTCATGCAAAAGACTATAGTACACGAATTTTGAATCGAAAGGGTTGTATCTTATTGAGACGAAACTGGGTGCTTTATTGGGAAGTCTGACTCTTATTGAGACAAAACTGCTCTAATTTAAAGCCAATAAATATTTGAGGAAAAATACTAACAAAATCCTGCCTTGTTTTTCTTCGTCTCTCAGATCGCCACACCGACAGCAATATGTACATCACAAGTGCTACAAGCGACCAGCGCGTCAGGGTACATTTCTTTCCCAATGGAGAGAGAAATATTTCGATCATTGACAATATTTTCGACACTCACCAAGCTTGCTAGTTATGAATATGTCAGATCTTTTAAGACCATATTTTGGTAACAATGTTTTCAAGCTTTTTCCGATGTCTTCTTCATTCTTGTAGGCAGAAGCAGTGTCTATAATACACAATAAAATAAAAACTATAATTCTCTTATCAATTTCAACGACCATTATTTTACTCTACTTATTTTCAATCATTTTTGGTGTAATCCTTGTGAAGTATGTAAATTCTTTCTCAGTTTATTTGACAGGCGCAATTATGATGCAGAAAACATTTACAAGAGGTACAATGCATGCATTATTCTTTCTTGGCCATGTACGTATGCACAGGATCTTGCTGGATAATTTGGTCGAATAAATTTTATATTCCCTTCACCATTCTTCTAATTGATTACAACATTGATCCTCGCGTTTAAGTTGCGCTGCTTTAGGCCAATGAATCAGATATAAATCTAAATATTCGTATCCGATGTTTTCTATTGCTCGTAAACACGCACTGTACGCAGTATCAAGACATTGATCATTTAGAGCTTTACACAAATATAAAAATATGGTTACAACAAACTGTCTTCAGATTGGAATTTCCATCGAGCAGTTACCGTACAGAAGTAAAAAACCGTCTTCCCGTTTTACGGTTATTGTTGTAGCTAGATCCCTTCAATTATTTACGCTTACTGTCTTGTCTATTTAGGAATACGTGTCCTCTCTTCACCAATTACTGCAAAAAACTGACTTAATGCAGAGCGGTTTTGCTATGACATAACATGCAAATTGGAAATTGCCTATAGCAGAAAAATAATTCAACTGATTCGCTATATCAAAACTTCATACATCTGCATCCGCTCGCAAAATGAAAAAGCCTTGCTGAAAAATTTTGTATCACGAAAAAAACACGACATCACAAATTGTCCTAGACAGACCAACAAAATGTGAAGCTCAAAAAATATCTCAAACTGGTCCGGGTGTGGCGGTCTGAGTTAGCCATTATACTGAGATTGTATTCCGTACACTCCACAGTAATAACGCATTATATAGTCCTAATACTTACAAACATTATACACCTATTTTTCGGTTGATTTCTGAATATTTTAATATTCTCAGTCTCTCAGATCGCCACACCGACAGCAATATGTACATCACAAGTGCTACAAGCGACCAGCGCGTCAGGGTACATTTCTTTCCCAATGGAGAGAAATATTTCGATCATTGACAATATTTTCGACACTCACCAAGCTTGCTAGTTATGAATATGTCAGATCTTTTAAGACCATATTTTGGTAACAATGTTTTCAAGCTTTTTCCGATGTCTTCTTCATTCTTGTAGGCAGAAGCAGTGTCTATAATACACAATGAAATAAAAACTATAATTCTCTTATCAATTTCAACGACCATTATTTTACTCTACTTATTTTCAATCATTTTTGGTGTAATCCTTGTGAAGTATGTAAATTCTTTCTCAGTTTATTTGACAGGCGCAATTATGATGCAGAAAACATTTACAAGAGGTACAATGCATGCATTATTCTTTCTTGGCCATGTACGTATGCACAGGATCTTGCTGGATAATTTGGTCGAATAAATTTTATATTCACTTCACCATTTTTCTAATTGATTACAACATTGATTCTCGCGTTTAAGTTGCGCTGCTTTAAGCCAATGAATCAGATATAAATCTAAATATTCGTATCCGATGTTTTCTATTGCTCGTAAACACGCACTGTACGCAGTATCAAGACATTGATCATTTAGAGCTTTAAACAAATATAAAAATATGGTTACAACAAACTGTCTTCAGATTGGAATTTCCATCGAGCAGTTACCGTACAGAAGTAAAAAACCGTCTTCCCGTTTTACAGTTATTGTTGTAGCTAGATCCTTGCAATTATTTACGCTTACTGTCTTGTCTATTAAGGAATACGTGTCCTCTCTTCACCAATTACTGCAAAAAACTGACTTAATGCAGAGCGGTTTTGCTATGACATAACATGCAAATTGGAAATTGCCTATAGCAGAAAAATAATTCAACTGATTCGCTATAGCAAAACTTCATACATCTGCATCCGCTCGCAAAATGAAAAAGCCTTGCTGAAAAATTTTGTATCACGAAAAAAACACGACATCACAAATTGTCCTAGACAGACCAAAAAAATGTGAAGCTCAAAAAATATCTCAAACTGGTCCGGGTGTGGCGGTCTGAGTTAGCCATTATACTGAGATTGTATTCCGTACACTCCACAGTAATAACGCATTATATAGTCCTAATACTTACAAACATTATACACCTATTTTTTCGGTTGATTTCTGAATGTTTTAATATTCTCAGTCTCTCAGATCGCCACACCGACAGCAATATGTACATCACAAGTGCTACAAGCGACCAGCGCGTCAGGGTACATTTCTTTCCCAATGGAGAGAGAAATATTTCGATCATTGACAATATTTTCGACACTCACCAAGCTTGCTAGTTATGAATATGTCAGATCTTTTAAGACCATAGTTTGGTAACAATGTTTTCAAGCTTTTTCCGATGTCTTCTTCATTCTTGTAGGCAGAAGCAGTGTCTATAATACACAATGAAATAAAAACTATAATTCTCTTATCAATTTCAACGACCATTATTTTACTCTACTTATTTTCAATCATTTTTGGTGTAATCCTTGTGAAGTATGTAAATTCTTTCTCAGTTTATTTGACAGGCGCATATATGATGCAGAAAACATTTACAAGAGGTACAATGCATGCATTATTGTTTCTTGGCCATGTACGTATGCACAGGATCTTGCTGTATAATTTGGTCGAATAAATTTTATATTCACTTCACCATTCTTCTAATTGATTACAACATTGATCCTCGCGTTTAAGTTGCGCGAGGAACTATGAAAAAAAGATAATTATATATTTTATATAAATTATCTCTTCTTATATATTATATAATTATATATAATATATATTATATAATATATATTATATATCATATATAATATATAATTATATATTATAATTATAAATATATATATATATATATATATATATATATATACATAATATATACATATATAATATAATATATGTATACAACTAAATATATCCCTTGATGTCGGACTTCATTTGTCTGTTTTGATAAAGAATGGTCTAATTTTCGAGGCGTTTCAATTTCAGGTACGAACAGCCTTCTCAATAAATTCAGATTACCGTCGGTGGAATGGTGTGATTCTAGTGACTAACTACTTTGAAATGTGAGACTCGTTTTTGATGGCAGTAAACTTGACTCGTTCATTATCTTGATGATAAATTTGGAAAACGATAAAAATCAAGCTTTATTCAGTTAGATAATGTATCAGTGTATCGTATTTTTGCTAAACTTGCTGAAATAACCTTGCCGTTATCTAAGAAAAAATGATGTTTACCGTGTTTGCACAGGCTAGTGCAAACCGAGGAGACCTTTAGGAGAACTCGAGAGCTGACCAGTGCAAGCCCGAGTCTGAAGTTCGAGTATTGCATTTCCTCGAGAGCTCCGAGGCTTGCATTAGCCAGCTCAAAGAAGAAAACATCTTTTATTTCTTTCATGAAATAATAATATTGCAAAAGAAAAAAATTTGAATCATGATTGTTTTGCAAATTCTCTTTGATTGATTCATTGATTTGATTGGTTGAGCTCAGATCTGTTTTGCACAGGCTAATGCAAACACAGCTATAGACTAACCAGTGCACGCGTTATACTTTGTTTATTTGATGAATGTTAATAAATATATCCATTATGGGGAGTTTTTCATTGAAGAAAGGTGGAAAACACAATTTTATTGTTAGCGTCACTTTGCTTATCTTTTCAGCGCGAATGTCGTGACCCAGTTAGAAGAGAAGAGCTCCTGCACTATTTCTTTATGGGATGTCATGAATGTAAGTACGCTAACGGCTCATACGAGTGATAACAACAAAGTTGTTGTCGGCTTTCGTGAAAATCCAAGCTGTCTGTCTTGTGTTGGTGAAATTAACCATAACATGACTCCTCAGATATCTTTATGTTTCTTGTTTTGTTTTATGTTGCTTTTAGGGGGTGCTTGATCATGTTTCCGTTTGTTTTTTGAATTTAGGCAAGAGTATGAACAAGATTTTAAAACTTCCTTTGGGTAAAGTTGAAGAGGTTAGAATAAATATGCTGTGTTTGATCCATTTTGCACAACGAGTGTAATTTTATCAGGTGTTAAATTGTTCGCTGAAGCTAGAATTTCGTTTTTCACGATAACATTTTCATCTTGCCGCGTTGTAATTTACAGCAACATTAAAGCAACCTTCTTTTGCTCACGTTCGCATTTTTTAAGTCATTCATCGCATCTTTTCTCTCTGTGAGAAAACAAAAAGAGTTCGAGTTATTTTAATCAGCAGCCATAATCCTCCCACATTCGCGTGTTGCTAATCGATCCAGTAATTTTGCCGCCAATTTTTTTGTTCGACTTTGACACGTCAACATATCATTGGACTACATTTGGCTCTTGCTTTTGTCGCGTCAAGTGTTTTGCCATATTTTGTAATTAGAGTAGACAAGTTTTAAATTTAGTTTACATGAGTATGAGGTTATAGACCTTTTCAAGGTTATCGCAGCCATATTGCAGGAGGTGCAAAAACATTGGGCCGAGCGCGCGGGCACGCATGGCGTCCATATAAATTACTAATAAATGCGCAAAAATTACCCTTATACATATTGGCCATTTCTTTCAAAAATATTTCTTAAACTCGTCCATTTTAATAGTTGAATTATTATTTGCGATTTTTTATACACGTGAGTCCAATTTTGTGGTAATCAAAAAGCGGAAAGTTAAAGAAAACATTTGTTTTCTTTGAACAACTTGACCGTCGTTTGAGCGATGTTCTTGAGTTCGCAACACACGCACATGTCTACAGCAAAGTCAGCAAGTATCACGAGGAACTATTCTACGGCAAACTCTTATTAGTATTTTCAATTATTTGTAAAGTGACATTGCTACTTTTATTATTATGTAAGGCTACTAAACAGCCAAGTATTCAAATACACACTTAAAACTGTTAGTCGATAGCAGGCCGGTGTGAAACCTTACATCATACTATCTCGTCAACTGTTCAAATTCCAAAGGGACAGGGAGTAAAGATGCCTCAGATTTTGCTGGATTTCCATCAAAACTTGAATCAGAATCCTCGGTGTCATAGGCTTAATGAGGACGCTTTGATGTCGTCCATGTTTCTTCTCCTTTACGTTTAAGCGGGGTCCTCGATTGCTCGTACTCTGATAGCGTAATAAAAACCAAAGGATAATCCGTTCCGCTTTTTGGGGGGGTTCTTCTTACCAAGGGAAAATAATTTGAGCAAATGAAAGTACCGTGTGCACCAGGCTTTGGGTTAAAGTCATCGGCTCTGCTGTTTGCAATTGTTTTCACCAAATTTCAGGAAGTGCTTGATCTTTGGGCCACTTATGAAAAACTAAATTTTCTACGTGAGACCTCTTAACTTGGTAATAGGGATAGCGTTTATCATTATCGCAATATCCAACTGCACAACGCGCATTTTTTACCATATGACTGCTCACGGCTACTCGGCTAGTTTAGGGTTTAGTTCGTTTGACTTGGCTTATGAGATCCGCACATTTGCGAACTCAAGAACATCGCTCAAACGACGGTCAAGTTGTCTTGTCTTCAATGTTTTCTTTAACTTTCCGCTTTTTGATTACCACAAAATTGGACTCACTTGTATAAAAAATTGCAAATAATAGTTTGACTATTAAAATGGATGAGTTTGAGAAATATTTTTGAAAGAAATGGCCAATATTTATATTGTATAAGGGTAATTTTTGCTCATTTATTAGTAATTTATATGGACGCCATGCGTGCCCGCGCGCTCGGCGCAATGTTTTTGCACCCCCTGCAATATGGCTGCGATAACCTTGAAAAGGTCTATTATGATGGATCACGGTGGTCTATTTTTACAATTTGAAGATAAATAAAAAAATCATGTTTAAACTAGGATTTTGTGATTAAATCTTTCAATTTTTTGTTCTCAATGTAAGAGGCCAAGTGCTGCAAGTAAATAGTTGGCTTTCACTCGACATTTTTTTTTAAATGGATACTAAAATATTTCAGTTTATAAAGAAAAATTACAACACAATAATCTATTTTAAAAAACGTTCATTGAATTTCTAAAAGAAAAAATGTCGCTAAGTAATTGCACGAAGCATAAAAACTTGTGCGATCAACAAAAAAGCAAGAGACACCAAGTAACAGGAGTCAAATTGGAAAAGAAAAATTTTAAACTGCGACGTTATTTGAAACTGAATCAAAGGTTTTACCAAAATCAAAGGAGACCACTCGAACAAAATCTGTATTCTCGTTCAACCATTTTAACCGAAGTTACCGACGTTTGTAACCCTTGCAACTTAACTAACAAATATTACTGAAAGTACTTAACAAAAAAACGGAAAATGCCAAATGAGAAATTAATTTAACCTAGTGCAGAGAAGCCTAACCTCATCAAAGGAGCCTTTGTTAAAAGATATTATATCTTTTCTTAAATGAAGTACGATTACTCAATGTTTCCTGTTTCTAGTTTGTTATTTGCATTTTTATTTGATGGAGAAACTTTTCCTTTTTGTTTCAATGTAATAAACCATATTTAATCATTAGTACTTTGCTTGAAGTTTTCTCTTGTGCCAAAGAAGACAAGTACCTCTAAAGTTTGAACGCTTCTACCAAGGTATTTATAAAAACAACTAATATTTGAAATACCATCGATCAATTTTCTCTAAAAGCGATTGTCTCTCAAGTTTAGTCACGCTATGAAAATTTCAGAACTTTATGATCATTTATTTCTTTGGAAACCTATTGTTTTCATTGAGAGTCTTTCACTGATCATCAGAAAGTTTAATAAAATCAATTGTGTTTTTTTAATGTACACCGTGAATGTTTAACGACATCAAAACTCAATGTTCTAAAGCTATTCATCCGACATCACTATTTACTTAATAAAAACTTAAACAGAGAAAAAACAACTTAAACTGTGTTTGCATTAGCCTGTACAAACGTGCGTATCTGAGCTACATGAATTATATCAATCAAAGATAATTTGCAAATGAATCATGAATACTTGTTAGAGAAAAATTTTAAACTTTCTTGAAGTTGTCTGTTTCGCATTACTATTATTTACAAAAGAACTAAAAGATGTTTTTTGTGTTTGTACTCGCTTAAGCAAACCTTGAGACTTAAGTGAGAACTCTCTAGCTGGTGCAAACTGTCAACTTTCGGTGTAAAGCTTGCACTAACATTGTCTCCAGTTCTACCAAATATCACTTCTGTTTGCTTAACCCTGTACAACAATTAAGCATCTTTTATTTCCAAATCCCATCCTATATTCAGTCTTTACAATCCTCTCGTTTAAATTTTTCGTGGGTGTGCAAGAGGTGAGGTGTGACCTTTCCATTACTAATTATCAATATACCAACAATTAAATTTTTTATTTTATCTTCCTGTCATCCATTAATATCCATTCATATTATCCATTAATGTCCATTCGTGTCCTTTATTGCAGAAGCACAGACTGTCGTTGATATATATTTAAATTACGACTGTGAATTCGCTTTGTCGAATATCTTTCAAAGATTGATCAATGATTTGTCTAAAGTTGCCCAAGGACGTCAAGCTCTATTGAATTAGGAGCGACACCAGTAAGTTGATGAATATGTTTCAAACTGTTTAGTTCTCTACATTTTCTTGTTCATATCTATGCCACTCGAAAAGGACTGGAACGTAGTCTATTATTATGAAAAAAACTGGGACATAGTCTATCAACATGAAAAAACTGGAGCATAGTCTATCAACATGAAAAGGAGTAGAACATGTCTCTAATTTTTTGTGCTGACAATGTTGATTATAATACATCTTTTATCACGTTTTTATATGAATAGTATCAATGTCATCTTGTTTTTATATGATTTTCCAGGTTCAAGAACGCAGTATTCGTATCAAAGGTCTGGTATCAAAGGTATTAACAGTATATATGTGCCGACGGGGGGGTGTTAATTTTAGGGGTACAATGTAAGACTTTAGTAATGTTTGAAAATGAGAAAATACTAAATAGTAGAAGAGAAAAAACAAGTTGGAAGAAGGTGAAAAGAAGAACAAGAACAAGAACAGGAAAATGATGAAGAAGAAGAAGACATGTGACATCCGTGAAGGGGAATGACTCTGGAAAGTTCTTATGTCTATTTCAATCATAACAAAATTCGACGTCACCTTACAAGAAGCAGCTCTTTTAGAGAAACTTCCTTTTTAAAAACGTATTGTCAGTACATAAAAATCCGATTGAAAATTCAACCCTGATGTTATAGTTTTCTTCAAAAAAGCAAAGTCAAGAAAATCATTTTAGTTTAAAAGAAATTTTCGCATGAGTTATTTAACTAGACATGCATGAAGGTGCACGGACTGTGGAAAGTTCTGTCCACTACAATAACACAGACACAGACGTCACGTTACAAGAAGCAGGCATTTTAGAGAAACGCCTTTGTTAAAAACTTATCGTCAATAATCTTAATCGAAAATGCAGTTCTAATGTTATAATTCGTTTCAAAAACACAAATTCAAGAAAATTAATTTAGATTTTATGAGCTATTTAACTAGGCATGTATGAAGATGCAACTGTGCAGGGAATCAGGAAATTATACAGACACCGACGTCGCATAACAATATCGTTACTATACTCAAATGACGCCCTCCTTTGTGTTATAATTAGCCCTTTGTTGTAATAACCTCAAATAAATACTGAAATCTAAAGCAATGTGTTAGCTTAAATAAATGATTAACTTGATTGATCTGATTTTTGGTGGGCACAATCACCAAAATAGCCAATATCTATACTTTAACTATCTACTCGTAAAAAGCGTTCCATGAAGTAAATTTTTTAAGCAGGGAATATCGATACATATTTTATACATATTGTATACATATTTTATTTGATATTTGAAATTTTGTCATATATAACACTAGACGCAGAAGAAATTTAGTTAGTTAAATGTGCGACGATCTAAGACTAAAAGAAATAAGATTTACGATTACGTCGCTGTCCAAAAATGTTAATTATCTTTTCCATGTCGTTCTTTAAAGTACTATTTGCATAGGCTCTTTCCACATTGATTAGGGCAATGCTGTTTAACCGTTTTGACCAATTGTACTTCGAAGATAGGTTTTAAGCGACGAAGAGCGCTAAAAGATCTTTCTGCTGAGCAGGATGTTGCCGGGATCGCGGCCAGAATCGAAAATACTTTGTAAGCCACAGGCAGGACTTCATGAACACCATTTTCGAACATTCTCTTAACAATTTTGGCAGCGTTTTCTCTCTCAGCACAAGGGAAATCAACGTCAATATTCTCAAAGACATTTTTCTCGCTACTAAGAAGCTCACTGTCGATACCATAGAAGTGTTATACCAACTCAACATTCGCCGTGGTTGGAGACCTGTTGAACACAATATCTGCAAGTGCCAATAGGACCTCTTGATCACTACCTTCAAATCTTGATTTCATCTCCGCCACAATCTTGTCAATGCTTAGGTAGTAGCATGTGATACGATAGTAATCTTTTCTGTTCGATTTTCCACTTCTGCATTTACTTCAGCCATTTCACCGACGAGAGCTTGGAGCCGCCGTGACGGCTGTTGGAATCTTGGTACTTTTGCATCTTTGAAATTGAATTCTGTACCTTCAATTTGCTCCTTAATTTTGTGTGCTATGATTTCAGCCCGTGACCATAACAGTTCGAAATTTTCGAGGGAACGACATCCAATTAATGTCTTAATCACGCCATCAACACTCTTCTTTGCTGTGGCGACATCCATTTGCTTTCCTTGTAGGTACCTGCTCAAACCATCGGTGTTAGATAAAATAACCTTTAATACCATCAAACCAAAAACGAACCGAAAGTCGCAAATCGAGTTAAGTAGCGAATTGCTGTCATTGTAGGTCTTCGGATCGCGATCTTTTGAGAGTGTAAGGAGAACCTCGATGATCTTAGGTAATTGGTTTACTACTGCTTTACAGCTGCCCAACGACAAGACCATCTAGTAGCACTCTGCGATTTAATAGTCAGTGTAATATCTTCGTCCTCATCTTCGACCTTGATGTCATTGAAGATGGAGTGGCGTTTGGGACTTCCTTCCAAGAAATTATGGAGACTCTGGATCACACCTAAAGCTTTCTGAAGTGGCTCAATTGTAGTCATCGTATCTTGTAGCGCCAAGTTAAGCCGATGCCCATGGCAGTGAACATAGATGCTAAGAGGTGAGCACTCCTTCATGCGCGCAGCAAGTCCTTTGCGAGGGCCACTCATATTTGCAGCGCCATCAAAGCATTCTGCGACAATGTTTTCCAATGTCAACTCTAGCCTGCCAATGGCTGTCTTTAACAGCTCATACAATACTTCTCCTTCCGTAGATTTGGTTGAATAGAAACCAGTGAATGTCTCTTTGGTTTCGCCATTGAAAACATATCTGAGGAAAAGAGATAATTGCTCTGTTCGACTGATGTCTGCCGTTTCATCGACAACTATTCCGTAGTAGTCGCTACTTCTTGCTTCTTCTGCTATCCTCTCAAGCATGACACTTGCTACTATTTCCAGTAGTTCATTTTGAATAGCAGGGGATGTCCACTGAGCATGTGTCTGCAGCTGGCTTTGAAGTTTAGATTTCAGCCAAGGCAAATCGTTGCATCTTATGCAAAGTAACTCGAGAAAGTTTCCTCTATTTATATCAGATATCTCCCATATATCACCCCGAATCTCTTCATGACCTCTAATTGCAACATTTTGTTGTGCAGTGTACATCAAAGATTGTATGATTACTTTTAAGTATTGTCTGTTAATAGCAACCTGGTCCTGGTGTGCACTATTCAGCTGTTGTAGTACGGAGGTTTTCTTTCTTTCCATTGCTTTAAACTGGAGCCATCTTGTCATGGATCTGACGTGGTTCTCACTCTTGCCATGTTTTGCCAGCTTTGACGACTTCTTCCAATTTGTAAGCACAAATGAAGTATTCTTCCCAAATTCTTTACAGGCAAAACAAACGCATGCATCTTTATCCACTTCGTAACTAATCCATGGATATTTCTTGTACCATTCAGGCTGAAATCGTCGCACAAATGTTTCACTGCCGAATTTTCGTGCAGGATATTCACCTAATATAGGCTGTTTTGGGGCGTGCAAGGTGGAAATCTCTTCTTCATTCATACTGTTAAGGGAAACCTTTCTAGTCTGTTCATTTAGAACAGATGCTGTTGAATCTAAATCTTGTATTGCTGTTGTGTCTAGAGTGTTAGACGTCGTCGTTGATTCTGGTGTTGCAACGCGTTGTATATTTTGATTTAAGTTAAATTCTTCGATGAACAGTGCGTCACTGGAAGTAAGATTTTCATTATCCGTGACCGTATTCAATTCTTTATTTTCTCTGAACTGCGTCAGTGGATTTAATTCATCAACATCAATAAACGTTCTCATTGGTTCCGTTTGGTCTTCGCTTATGGGCTCCTTCAAATTAATCTCAGGTAGATTTTCCTCAAAAGACCCAGTGGCTGCTAAATCTTTACTAGCACTCGATTCTGTTTCCTGTAAGGTTAGGTTATCATCCTTGGTTGTCATGTTACTTTTTACAAAGAAACCACTGATCTTTGACTGCGATAAATCCGATGAATCCATCACTCGATGACACTTAACTTTTCATTATTGTGAACTCGTCGAAAGTGGACCTCCTTATAATCACTGTCAATTTCCTTGCTGCATTCCTCGCACCAAACGCGATGTCGATACGGTCGTTTACGAGACGCCATATGTACGCTTTATTAGAGCTTGGCTACTAAATGTTTTCCCCTTGTGGATAATAGTTTCCTTGAACAACAATCATAGAGTGAATGGCACTAATCTAATCAATGGAATGGACAGTGCCTCTCCATACGAAGCCTAATTTTCATGCAAAATTAAAAATCACTTTTGGGGATCGCAGCGATTGTTAATCTATATATTAATGTATAACGGATAGCGTGTGGGGAGACGATTTTTCGCAATTTCAAGACATTTCAAGACTTTTACTGACCTCAGCCCTTTTTTATAAATGGAGAACGTTATGTGGATAAATTTAATACCAAAAGCTTTGCTCTGATTGAAAATATCGGCGTTCGTGTTCGTTTAAAAGTTGTAAACACCGAATATATTCGTCGCAATATCGCTAGTAAATAGACCGATTTCTCGTGACGTAATTTGTTTATATTATAATGGGGCGGATGTAAAATTCTCCTATTATGTCTCAAGAAAAATTTTGCACCCAATCACTTTACGCGATTTTTTATTTTACCTCCTGAAATTTAAAGTGGTACTAAAACGAAAACTGAACGTTAAAAAATCATCGATTTTAGCATTCAATAGTTTAAAAACATATCAATTATTGCTTTAGTAAAATTTAAGCAAAAATAATAGTATAACGAGGGAGTTATGAACATTTGAAATGTCTAATTTTCATGTCCGCCATTAAAATCGGCCATTTTGAATATTTGCAACAGTGAACTCGACATTTGAATAACTGGAATGATAACCGAAGCCAAAAATTGAAGCCAAAAAAATATTTGTCGTCATCATTCGTCATTACACGTCAGGCTCTAGTCTCTCGCGTGTTCATTTTAATTTTTTTAAATCATTTGTCCCTTGGTAATGGTAGAGTTCGGATCTTGATCAGAGCGTAAAAATAACGAAAGTTTTGGAATGAAAAGGTTCATGGAAAGTGAATCAAAGTGATAAATCGAGAAGCAAGATGAGGTGAACTTAGTCGATCTGCTCTTACGCTGCGGTTTTCCTTTAAAACAAATCAAAGTCTTTAAGGATATTCAATTATTGATATCGAGATGACAACCATTTGGTATTTCAAGTTTCAAGCACTATCAAAATCGATGAAAAATACAATCGCTTTGTAAAAAGTAAAAATGCGAGTTATAGACTCAATATTTTTTATGAAACTGGATATTCAAGTTTCTTTTTTATTCGGAAAAAAAATCTTTAAATCCACTTAAATGACAAAAAAGACAAACACTGTCTGACACCGTTTGAAAGTTTACCTTCCGACGAAAGAAAAATTTATGCTTGAATATTTTCTCGTCATATTTTCTATTGTATTGTCTTTTTAGCAAACAGTGTAATTTTCAGTTGGCTTTTCCTCGTTACAAGTTGTAAGTTACAACGAACTCACTGTAGTAAAGTTTCAGCTGTAAAAAATAACCTTTTGCGAGGAGTTGGCCTCGTGTGTTGTTTGTCGTGATGTTGTTTATATGTTTATGCTTTTGCAATTTGTATTCAAATTTATATTGGCCGTGTATGTTTGGCACTCGGGGGAATGAAACTGACGTACAAACCGCGTGAATATTCGACTTTGAAGGACTGGAACTGACGTACAAACCGCGCAAGAGACTAGGACTTTGGCTTCAACTTTTTATCTATAAAATGTATTGTCGTTATCATTCCAGATATATATATATATATGGAGTTCACTGATTTGCAATCAGCAAAGGTCTGTGACGTCATATTCTTAACACGGCAAGAAGCGCACATTGGAAAGTATACAAAGTAATATATAAACAGAGCAAAAAAATGTCAAATTCATCGAGATCTAGCTCGCTTTCTGAGTCTTCGATCGAGACAAACGCATCAATTTCTTCATCGGAATTCATGACGGCAAATTCGGACGAATCTAATTCGGAAATTTTGCCATTTGCCGATAATATTGAACCGCTTGCTTCGCCCGATGAAATTGCTGAGTACGAAGCTGCAGTCGCAGAAGAACGGCGGGTTGAAGACATGCTGTAAGATCGTTTTGATGCCCGTGTTGATGTTACTTCGTGGTAAGATGTCATTCTTAGTGTTTTACTTTGATCTGAATCGTCTGCCGTTAGCTATGATAACTTTATGGAAACATACAATTTGGCCAATATTAAAGGTGTGAATGTGGCCATTGTTCGTTGGATCTTGTTGTCAACCCTCAAGAGTGCCGATGCTGCATGGAAATAGAGCAATGCCGTGGTAAAATGTATCAGTTCGAAATCGATGAAAGGAAATGCATTTTGGATCACCCTGGCTTTAACGAAGTTTGCCTGAACGAATTTGTTCTTCAAGCAGCTTCGTTAGGTTTAAAGACCAAAGGTCATCGCATGATACAGACACTTCATTTTGTATTTCTTTAAAACCTTAGTATAAATGTATATTATATATTGAAAGTTTGCCTGGATGTATTATTGGTTCTCTCAAATTGTGAAAATTTATCATCTGCAATATGTGTAAGTATATAATAATTGCAACTTGTGCTAACCTGACGCCGCTCTCTTGACGTTGTTGGTGTTTGTGATTTCTTCTAAATAGTAGGTACGGCACCAGGTTTGAGCCGTCTAGTCATACCACCCAAATGGAATAAACGCTCAAAACAATCATCCGAGAAGTGATTCGAACAAATCATAAATCGAATTTCGCGCGAACTCGGATTAAAGTTTGCGCGCTTCGTCTGAACAAATTTAACTCAAATTCTTCTCAAAGACTCGTCGTTTTGGCTTTTATGTAATGTAATGCCTGTAATTCTATCAGACTTGTTACTGCAATCTTGCACGACACAGCGTGTTGAAAGCATGTTAAAAAAATTGAGTTATACAACCTTTTAAATCTCTATTTCTATATAGTGTTATATTGTAAACAGCCGCGAGTTAAGACTATGACGTCACAAGCACCTTCCTTCTTGAAAATTCAAATATGGCGCATTTTAATGGCGGCTCTTAAAGTACAAGTTTTATCGCTACGTAACTCGAGCAGCATTAAATACATTGCGCTAAAATTTCGCCAGAAGAGATTTTTTTACATACACTATTAATCTATGAAAAAAAAACGGGAGGCAAAATTTTCGTTTTAGTACCACTTTAAGTAATTTAAACAATTTAAAAACCATCCATTAAAAGACCGTTCACGCTCAAGAACCGAAGCAGTTTATGATATAGAAATGATGTAGATTAATATTGAAAATTTAAAAACTGTAGTAAGTATCTTGCCAGAATATCATGTAAATGCTTGCCCGAATACACAAATTCTCGAGAAATTGGGGGGGCTGCAGCCCCCCAGCCCACCCCCCCCCGTACGCCTATGGTTACAGCTAACCTCGGAGATGAAGCTGTCGATTTAAATGCTGATAGAATTACGCTTCAAGACTGGGATCCGATTTTAAATGCAACTAAAATCAATAAAAACTTGAAAACAATTGCTGTAAGAAGTTACTGGCAGGAGAAAATGGATCCCAGAGAGTCAGGTGCAAACTTTAAAATTTCGATCCACGTAATCTGTTTATCCAAAGTGATGAAAAAGTGGCAATGAGAAGGGATATTCTGACATAAATTATGCCTAAGTTAAGAATGTTGCTTTTAGTATGGCATTTGATTTGTTTATGACAGCCAAGAAACTAGGAAACTGTTTTTTGTGAGTTGTACGTACAAATAACAAGGTGACCTAAAGTTGTAGCAAATTATTTTCTGGTTTATGGTGTTTTATTGACTAGGATCACCAGTCTTTAGACAAAAATTACAAAAAAATTTTGACCTCTCATAATTAAGAAAGTACAGCCTTTGTACCTACCCAGATTGCTATTGTATCAGTGACTTTACAAAAACTTGTTTCTGTCTTTAGATTCCTCTTGTGGACAAATATATCGAAAAAAGATACCACATATTCGATCAAAAGAGCTAACTTATAAATTATGCAGGTCCAATTGATATAGCTCTTTTACTCATATGCTCCATTTAATTTGATTATAAAGTTTTGATCATTTATAGAGCCCTAAAAGAATGTTTGTGCTTAACGGAAGCTCTTGAGGTCTTAATATTTCAAAATATACCTCTAAGGCAAAGGGATCTCAAATTTTTTTCAAAGGTTACAGTGGATTATTTTCATAATTACTGCAATTCTTTTTATTAATTGATAAATTTGTGTTTTACATGTAGGGAATTTCTTGTAACAAAACCTTAAAGCACCATTCTTTTGAAAACTGCCAAATTGGCGATTGTGGACTTGAAGGTATGTATACACACCTATAAGCAGAAGTATGCAAGCATCTTACTATATATAAGTAGAGCTATTTGCTAGAATTGGTCATTATAGTAAAGAAGTCTCTGACTTTCCCACTAAACCCATTATTTAACACAACATGATGTTTTTGTTGTAAAATGTTCATTATTTTTATCATTGCTATGTTCTGTGTACATTGTTTATCATTGCTATGTTCTGTGTACATTTTTTATCATTGCTATGTTCTGTGTACATTGTTTACCATTGCTATGTTATGTTTCATTCCATTCCATTGTTCTTCTACATTGTTTATCATTGCTATGTTCTGTGTACATTGTTTACCATTGCTATGTTCTGTGTACATTGTTTACCATTGCTATGTTCTGTGTACATTGTTTACCATTGCCATGTTCTGTGTACATTGTTTACCATTGCTATGTTCTGTGTACATTGTTTACCATTGCTATGTTCTGTGCATTGTTTACCATTGCTATGTTCTGTGTGCATTGTTTACCATTGCTATGTTCCATTGTTTACATTGTTTACATTGTTTACCATTTCTGTGTACATTGTTTACCATTGCCATGTTCTGTGTACATTGTTTACCATTGCTATGTTCTGTGTGCATTGTTTACCATTGCTATGTTCTGTGTACATTGTTTACCATTGCTATGTTCTGTGTACATTGTTTACCGTTGCTATGTTCAACATATTCTTGTTATGCTTTCTATAAATTTAGTTTTAAGTATGGCCATCAGAAATTGTTTCTCGTTACAATCATTAAATCTGACCGGATGTTGCATCACTTGGCATGGGGCTGAAATACTAGCCAAGATTATTAAGGTACATTATTTATCAAATTTTTAATATAACTGCTTTAACAAGGGTGATTGGGCAAATAATAAGAAATTGTTTGTTTGATGTACTTATTCACAAGCAATTTTGTTTGGCTAATATAAATGTATATTAGCATTAACAAGATTTTCAGTCCATGAATAGAGAGCATGCTAGAATTTTATGACGTACAGTACCGACCTCGAGTAACATGACATGACTCGCGAGTATCGAGTGGCGAGTGGGCGAGTGACTCGCGAGTGACGAGTGGCGAGTGGGCGAGTGACTCGCGAGTCAATTGCGAGTCACTCTCGAGTGTGAGAAGTTTGCGAGTGAATAAGTGACTCGCTGTTTGCGAGTGAATAAAATAACTCGCAAAAATTTCGGACAACGACTATTCATTTGAAGCAATATCTCGGTACCTAATGATGTTAAAATCTTTTGAATTTTTTTACAAAAGCATTTTAATAACTTCACATTTCTCATGGCACCAACGTTATACGTAAAGCGGTAGAGACCATAGAGAAATTAGTGAGAAAATCTCTCAAAGATTTTCTTCTAACAGTCTTAGATTGTTGACATATATTATTATATATATTATCTTAAGATAGAACACATTCAAAAACGAATATTGTTTGAGGTCAAATATTTAAGGAATGTAGCTATGAGATGAGTGTGCGTATAATCTTTTAAATTTGGTTCTAAAATTTGGTACTGTCATAAATTAGCCATATTTATTAAATTTTGAAGCTTATCGTTGCTTGCTATTAATTAAATGTGTATAGTGCTGTGAAGTCAATGAAATTATTTCAGAAACAAACCTCATTTTTAAACATTTCTACTGGTAAGTGAATCGCAAAAGCTATCATCTAGCCATTAACTATACACGTGGTTTTATTTCATTGATTGCTATTAAAAGTCTATGGCCTTTACCAATATCGTCTGTGTAACACATCGAAAACGTGAAGTCAATGAAGTTCTTTTAGAACCAAATTTAAAAGACTATACGCACACTCATCTCATATATGTCAGCAATCTAAGACTATTAGAAGAAAATCTTTGAGAGTTACTTTGATTTTCTCAATAATTTCTCTATGGTCTCTACCGCTTTACGTATAACGTTGGTGCCATGAGAAATGTGAAGTTATTAAAATGCTTTTGTTAAAAAATTCAAAAGATTTTAACGTCATTAGGTACCGAGATATTGCTTCAAATGAATAGTCGTTGTCGGAAATTTTTGCGAGTTATTTTATTCACTCGCAAACAGCGAGTCACTTATTCACTCGCAAACTTCTCACACTCGAGAGTGACTCGCAATTGACTCGCGAGTCACTCGCCCACTCGCCACTCGTCACTCGCGAGTCACTCGCAAATGACTCGCGAGTCACTCGCCCACTCGCCACTCGATACTCGCGAGTCATGTCATGTTACTCGAGGTCGGTACTGTATGTAGAGCTATTTTAGCTGGAATTGGTCTCAATGATAAAAAGCAAAATCTTTCACTTTGCCAGTCATCGTTGGCTGGCGATTGTGAGTAGGCATGTTTAGCTGTTATCTAAAAAAATTTTTTTGCTATTTGCTGATTGTGCCTGGTCTCTTTGCACCCTAGTTGATGGACCTCGGGGGTCTCACAATGAAAATTTTCCACAATTTTAGAATCAAGCAACAAAAAAGTTGGGCTTAGCATGGCAAGACAGTTTGCGTTATCGTGTGCCTGACCTAGATAGAATGTCTGGATTGTGAAGAATCACCTTGTGTAAGAACAGTTTATTAGGAGATAAAGGTGTTGAAGTACTGACTGAAGCTTTGAAGGATGATTTGTGGCTCAAAGGTAAAATGGTTTATTTAACTTGTGTCAACGGTGACGGTGTGTTTTACCCACAGAAAAAACATTATCTTTTCAGTTAAAGCATAACCAAATGCACAAATACGTTTCTACGTATAATTAAAGCGTCTTTTCTATGTACTATTCAATATGAATTTAAAGTTTACCAATGGAATCTTTAATTTTTGCAGCTTTGGATTTGCAGCAATGTGGTATTTCAAATAAAGGAGCGCTTGCGTTTCAGTCATTGTTAAGATGCAACAAATCACTGGTTGTCGTCGACGTAAGGATAAATCCTTTAATAGGTAAAATATAAGCAAAGAAAGGGTCTATGTTTAGTGCGCGTTACAATAGAATATACTTAGAATTTAGACAATTTTAGATTCTCCAAATCAATTTTATATTTACCTCTTAAATTGGAAAACCTTAAAATCCCAAGGCGTCGCATGCGCAGTAAAGCTCCTTTGTAAGGAATCAGCGTTTTGAGTTTGTGCCATGCTGTTCAAAGATACTGAAATATTTTACACCATATTGTTACCTCATGATAGAAAGAAGTAATAATCGCTAAAAATGGCTAAATTTAGAGAGAGGGTCTTAGAACAAACTTTTTTTGTTTGACCGTCTCTCTTAATGTTTTACATTCAAACTGTTTTCTTTTGTTGTGCAGAAAGAGAACTGGTGACATCCATTACACAACATGTTATAGCTAATTCTGGTCATGGGGAAACTGAGGTATGTAATATACATGCGTTTGTTTATGTCATTTATACCAGTATTTGAGAAAAAGGATGTTTAGTTAATATTTAGGTAAATATGTCTGCCTGAACAAACATAAACAAGTAGCTCTTCACCATGTAACTTTGCATTAAAATGAGAAATAAGATTCTATCTACAAATGTTTTGTGTTTAAAACACCGAAGAAAATTTGAATATCTTCGGTAAATTTAAATGGCGAGACACAATAATCAGATCACGTGGTTGTTTAAGAGTAGTATTTTATATCTCGTTGATTATTTTTATATTTTTTCGCACATATTTCATAATTGTCTTTTACTCACCCAGTTTCCATGGCTTCATACCAAAGGAACAGACTCTCCAGCAACTAGAACGAAAAAAAAACAAAAGAAGAAAATCCAAAAATGGATTGTCAAGAGAAGGCTCTTCAAAGTATGACTTTTGGATTTTTGATCATTTCACGGCAAACCGTAATATTAGTCAAAATTTAAGTTTCTTTTTTATAAGTATAAAAAATCCTATTTATCAAACAATAGATCTCGAACATATGGCATTCCATGGAGAACTGCAGAGAGAGTAGGCCCAAACAGGTTTGAAATATTTCAATGTTTTCATACGTAACTATATATGTTCGTATGTTTATAACTTTTTTGTCATTATTTCATGTATTTCATGTCCTCAGAAAGTAAATATTTTTTGCACATACTATTTGTGAACGTACGTATTGCAATTTTAGACATAAGAAAAATGAGACTTGGCCATTTGCTTATTTACAGGTACGTAATTTAGATTTTCACGTCGTCTACCTAAATACATCTTTAGAAAGCACAATTTTTCCATTCGAAATGGCTAAATGTGCTCATGGCGCTTTTTATAGGACCTCTCTGCTTCACCAAATACGACTACAAACGTGACTGTTCTGCAAAACTTAAAACATCATAAATATCCATGATGCCTACATACCTAAAAACATAGTTCGTATTTACAGCTTAATTTTTTTTCAATAACAAGCTAGATGAGGCTTTTAAAAAATCGATAAATTTTTCAACATAAACATGTTTTGAATCACGTAACATTAAGTAATCTTATATAATATTTCATATAAAAATTTTTTCATTTTCTTTTATAATGCCTCGTTAATCTTGTGTTAATGAGATCCTAACAAGCAAATCTTTATGCGTTAGCTATGCTCATATTGATCACGCTTCCTTTCTCATGCACGGTTTGTCTATTTATACATATCATTTTTAGGACAAACATGACGTTATGGATAAATGTAACAAAAATAATAATAATACAGAGGAAAAACCTGCAGAAAGTGACGATGAACTGTTTGACTTAGCTGGTATACAGAAAGCTTCATTTTCTTCTAAGATTTATGCATTCTTTTTCATATCTTTTTATCAATTCTTTTCAGAGCAAACTTGTGGTTTCTTATCCGAAAGAGTGCGACAGTTGGAAGTAAGTCCACTTGCATCTTTATATAAATTTTCCGTTATCCTACGTAGCTATAAAGCGTGGTTCCCGGTTATTATATTGTAGTACGTCCTTTTCAATAACGGTTAAAGCGGGAGGTGAGACGATTTAAAGAGAGGATACTTCTATAACATACTTGCAACAATTTAAGTTACAACGATTGAAAATGAGTTTACGTAATTAAGATTGGATAACATAGATCTGAGAAGCGGATAGCATGCCACCATCGTCATGAACAGTTACACTCGCATTATTGCAGTTTAACTCTTCAATGTGAAAAATTCAAAAACAAGGCATTTGATCAATTATTTGTAACTTGGCTCTGTTTTTTATTCATTAGCTTTAGGCAAGCAACTGCGTATGCTGGAAATTGTTTCCATCTTACAAATTTTCCGTTTTTGCCGTCTCTGAAATTCCGAACAGGACATGCCAATTTCTTTGTTTTTACAGCAAATCTTTCTTCGCTCTTTTTCCCGGATTGGCCCCAGAAATCTCTTTTTTCTGTTGCCATTTAATGTACGTAAAATGGTCTATACAAATATTACATGTTGCATATTGAAGTAGAGTTTCTTAAACATTGTCTTGAGGAGGAGAATCAGAGAAGACTGCAACAGTCTGAGATGGTCTTAAAGGTATTCTTTCAAATTTAACTTAAGTTTTTTCATGAAAAAATTGATATCATCCATTCTACCCACAATAATGATGATGTACTAGAAAACATATACTTTTGACACCAGTTTTTTTTTTACCAGTAAAAGCAAACTGACTTTACGTTCTATAGCTTCAATTGGAGAATAGAGGACTTCAACGAGAAATTGAACTTTTGAGAGCGGTCGGCACGGTTTGTGTTATTGTGTTTCATACTATATTTTATTGGACATTGGAAAGCATTTTTTTGATTGTTAGAAGCCTGGAAATGATCATTCTCATAACTTGGCTCCTACGGAACAACATCAACGTACGTGAGGAGAATAACTTTCTTAAAAAAACATATGCGTATATAGAACGTACATTTAGAGAATCATTTATTTATCAAAGAAAACATGTTCATCATACGAAGTTATAATGTTTACATTTTATTTACTGCTGTGTTGCTAAGCTGAAATCAAGTGTTATACGTAGTTCTGTACTACACGAGTCCATACACGTATCTTAAATGATTTAATTAACGCTCGCTTTCTCACGAAAGCCTCCATATCACTAATGCCTACTTAAACTGTCTCTCGAACAATTTCTCCCTCCCCAGTTAATAAAAACTCTCTTCCCATGAAAACTACATAAGCTGGAGACTATTATAATACCATGAATCAATGCATTTCTCTTCTTGTTTAATTAATACTGATGAGTGTAGTAGAGATGCAGGTAGGATTTTTTATGTTTTTGATCCTTGTGCTTTGGATCTCAGCAACCACAAAAATTTCCATATTTTGTACGTTGTAGGTAACCTGTTTCTCTATAAATGTGACACAATGAATGACAATATTGTATTTTGGCTTCAAATGTTGCATCTAATACCACTTCTTATAACCATGATTTGATGGAAATGTTAATTTTTTTAGTTTCAAGAAATGACTTACTTGACGACAACGTTTTGGAAAGCATCGAAGCATCTTTCAAACAGTTTCACGCGTTTTTAGACATGTTTAACGGATCAGAGTAAGTTCATCATAGCACTACTGTATTGTAGTCGAATAATTTGCAAATTAAATTGAATAGCAGCCACCAAGGCCGTAACTAGAACGCTAATTTGGGGGTAGGGGGTGGTGTGTGTATTCATGTATTCAGTTGTGCCCGACTAACTTCTTTTAAAAAGTGATTTCGCTTTCCAGGGCCGTAGCGTTATCTTTAATGGCTGTGTGGAACAGCATTTTGAAACAGGTCCATTAATAATAAACTTCTAAACGCCAAACGTCTAGCTTAGGCTTATTGCCAATACCCCAATTCTCCCCACAACAAACTTTACACTGTCAAAAGAAAAAATAACATTTCCATTTTGTTGGAATTAGATTACAAGATATGCAGAATTTGCTTCATGAAATGCGATTAGAAAAGGAAGGAAATGAAATCCAGCATGCAGGCAAGCGCTTGCAAACGAACATCTAAAAATTACTCAATAATTCAATGTTATTTTTATAAAATATCGTCAAAAAACAATGGTTTTATCATACGTAACAGGATGTGGAGCGTTATTGTTTAGCTTGCTGTGATTGACATAAACAGAATGGTGTATTTTTGACGATGTTGATGTAGTGTACGATGGCTATTCATCAATTTATATCGTTGTTTTTTACTGTTCATAAATATTGTAGTTTAAAACGTTGTCATTCATATTAAGGGCTGCCTATATCTGTAGATGAAAAAGGAGACCTTTTGAATTCAACCCATTGCTCAAGTAATCGTTCAAAAACAATTTATTCTCAGCTTTATTTTTTTTCTTTGCATCAGACCTCACAACTCACTCGGATTTATCGAATAGTAAAACAAATCTCGACATCATCCGATTTACGATTGTTTTCAGCTCCCCGATTTTAATTTTTGTAATTGTTTTTTTCTGGATGTTCTTCAACATTTTGTGAGCTTAATTATATCTTCCGTCATATTTGCTAAACCATTTTCTAAAAAATCGAGTTAGCCAGTTTTTCGATGTGACCGTCAATTTCCACTATTTATGCTAATAGTAATCAAGGTAATAAGTTACCGTCGAAGTTCTGCCACGGATATCTCCGACATTATTATTACAAAGATTTTGGAAATCTTTGTAATAATAATGTCAGAGATATATCGATGTTGTGATGTTATGAAGTGGTGTGACATTTTATTCAGTTACACACCATGTAGTGGGACGTTTTATTCAGTTACACACTATATGGTGTGACATTTTATACAGTTACACACTATATGGTGTGACATTTTATTCAGTTACACACTATATGGTGTGACATTTTATTCAGTTACACACTATATGGTGTGACATTTTATACAGTTACACACTATATGGTGTGACATTTTATTCAGTTACACACTATATGGTGTGACATTTTATTCAGTTACACACTATATGGTGTGACATTTTATTCAGTTACACACTATATGGTGTGACATTTTATTCAGTTACACACTATATGGTGTGACATTTTATACAGTTACACACCATGTAGTGGGACGTTTTATTCAGTTACACACTATATGGTGTGACATTTTATACAGTTACACACTATATGGTGTGACATTTTATTCAGTTACACTATATGGTGTGACATTTTATTCAGTTGGTGTGACATTTTATACAGTTACACACTATGTGGTTTGATGTTTTTTTACACATTATGTGGTTTGATGTTTTATACAGTTACACACTATTTGATGTTTTGTTTTACATGTTGATGTTACACACTATATGTGACGTTTTGTTCATTACACACTATGTGGTTTGATGTTTTACACACACTATGTGGTTTTATGTTACACACGTGGTGAGACGTTTTGTTCATTTACACACTATGTGGTTTGATGTTTTATACAGTTACACACTATGTGGTGGGACGTTTTGTTCATTTACACACTATGTGGTTTGATGTTTTATACAGTTACACACTATGTGGTTTGATGTTTTATACTGTTATATACTATGTGGTTTGATGTTTTATACAGTTACACACTATGTGGTTTGATGTTTTATACAGTTACACACTATGTGGTGGGACGTTTTGTTCATTTACACACTATGTGGTTTGATGTTTTATACAGTTACACACTATGTGGTGGGACGTTTTGTTCATTTACACACTATGTGGTTTGATGTTTTATACAGTTACACACTATGTGGTGAGACGTTTTGTTCATTTACACACTATGTGGTTTGATGTTTTATACAGTTACACACTATGTGGTGAGACGTTTTGTTCATTTACACACTATGTGGTTTGATGTTTTATACAGTTACACACTATGTGGTGGGACGTTTTGTTCATTTACACACTATGTGGTTTGATGTTTTATACAGTTACACACTATGTGGTTTGATGTTTTATACTGTTACATACTATGTGGTTTGATGTTTTATACAGTTACACACTATGTGGTTTGATGTTTTATACAGTTACACACTATGTGGTTTGATGTTTTATACAGTTACACACTATGTGGTTTGATGTTTTATACAGTTGCACACTATGTGGTTTGATGTTTTATACAGTTACACACTATGTGGTTTGACGTTTTATACAGTTACACACTATGTGGTTTGATGTTTTATACAGTTACACACTATGTGGTTTGATGTTTTATACAGTTACACACTATGTGGTTTGATGTTTTATACAGTTACACACTATGTGGTTTGATGTTTTATACAGTTACACACTATGTGGTTTGATGTTTTATACAGTTACACACTATGTGGTTTGATGTTTTATACAGTTACATACTATGTGGTTTGATGTTTTATACAGTTACACACTATGTGGTTTGATGTTTTATACAGTTACATACTATGTGGTTTGATGTTTTATACAGTTACACACTATGTGGTTTGATGTTTTATACAGTTACACACTATGTGGTTTGATGTTTTATACAGTTGCACACTATGTGGTTTGATGTTTTATACAGTTACACACTATGTGGTTTGATGTTTTATACAGTTACACACTATGTGGTTTGATGTTTTATACAGTTACACACTATGTGGTTTGATGTTTTATACAGTTACACACTATGTGGTTTGATGTTTTATACAGTTACACACTATGTGGTTTGATGTTTTATACAGTTACACACTATATGGTGTGACATTTTATTCAGTCACACACTATGTGGTGTGACATTTTATTCAGTCACACACTATGTGGTGTGACATTTTATTCAGTCACACACTATGTGGTGTGACATTTTATTCAGTCACACACTATGTGGTGTGACATTTTATTCAGTCACACACTATGTGGTGTGACATTTTATTCAGTCACACACTATGTGGTGTGACATTTTATTCAGTTACACACTATATGGTGTGACATTTTATACAGTTACACACTATATGGTGTGACATTTTATACAGTTACACACTATATGGTGTGACATTTTATTCAGTTACACACTATGTGGTGTGACATTTTATTCAGTCACACACTATGTGGTGTGACATTTTATTCAGTCACACACTATGTGGTGTGACATTTTATTCAGTCACACACTATGTGGTGTGACATTTTATACAGTTACACACTATGTGGTGTGACATTTTATTCAGTTACACCCTATATGGTGTGACATTTTATACAGTTACACACTATATGGTGTGACATTTTATTCAGTTACACACTATGTGGTGTGACATTTTATTCAGTCACACACTATATGGTGTGACATTTTATTCAGTCACACACTATGTGGTGTGACATTTTATTCAGTTACACCCTATATGGTGTGACATTTTATACAGTTACACACTATATGGTGTGACATTTTATTCAGTTACACACTATGTGGTTTGATGTTTTATACAGTTACACACTATGTGGTGGGACGTTTTATTCTGTTGGGTTTGTTTTGATTTTCACGTGCCCTAGATTTGCCACTGCCTAAAGATCTTGTCTGTCGTAACCTGTTATCATAACAAGTACACAATGCTCCTAATGAGTCCCCATTCCTGGTAAATGTTTGAAGATAATTTTTCTTCTCCTCTGAAGTGTTGCTTTCTTTTGTAGTTGATGGTCAACAGCAACAACAAGGTGTTCCAGCTTTCCTTGGATCTCATGAAGGAAACTTTATTCGTTGTACTGAATAATCGCAACGAAATAGCTCATTTTGGTTTCACGAGATGCTGTTTAAACCTTTCTCGACCATTTTGATGTCTGGCGAATTGGACATCGTGCATGAAGACAAGGTTTCTTTTTGTTCTTTTATTTTCAGTGGGAAAACGTATGAGAATGTAGAATCTTCCAAGTGTACGGATGTTCGTGTTCAAATTCAGATCTTGAGGGAAGACAGTGGAGTTGTAGAAAGTTGTGCATATGGAAGTTATGCATGAAGAAAGTTGTCCATTGGTTAAATTGTACTAGGGGAATTTATACAAGGGAGAAGTTGTCTATTGGGAAGTTGAACATGTGGGAAGTTGTCCATAGGGGGAAGTTGCACATGTGAGAAGTTGTCCATAGGGGGAAGTTGTACATGTGAGAAGTTGTCCATTGGGGAAGTTGTACATGTGAGAAGCTGTCCATAGGGGGAAGTTGTACATGTGAGAAGTTGTCCATTGGGGAAGTTGCACATGTGAGAAGTTGTCCATAGGGGAAGTTGTACATGTGAGAAGTTGTCCATAGGGGAAGTTGCACATGTGAGAAGTTGTCCATAGGGGGAAGTTGCACATGTGAGAAGTTGTCCATTGGGGAAGTTGTACATGTGAGAAATTGTCCATAGGGAGAAGTTGTACATGTGAGAAGTTGTCCATAGGGGGAAGTTGTACATGCGAGAAGTTGTCCATAGGGGAAGTTGTACATGTGAGAAGTTGTATTGTGGGTGAAGTTGTACTAAGAAAAGTTAAACAAGTGGAGAATTTTTACGTGGGCATTGAATATGTGAGAAAATTTAAGTGTGGGAAGTTGTATGTTGGAAAAGTTGTTCATAGAAAAAGTTGTACGTGAAGGGAAGTTGTATATAAGG